GTTCTTTGTCATAATTTTCACAACTGCTCCTCCTGTAAGCTTACATTTCTTCCTTGCATATGGTTTTCTCTGTGTAACCCTGGAATAGTTGCCTGAATTGTCCTTTCTCATTCAAGTCCTATTCAAGGATTAGTCTGGCATATGATTTCAGTTGAATGATCTCTGCTATCTCTATCCCGCTTCAAATCAACATTTGCACAGATCCTCTGTGTTGGGCCTGCTAATTCTGGCCTTCCTTCATGTTGTGTGTGTGTTTCTTCTGGTGTTCCTTTCACGTCGTCTCCCATGTATCTCCACAACGATGTATCCTTTGACCTCAAATATATCTCCTTGTCTTCTTTGCCATTGAACATTTCTTTATATATACTACTGAAAAATCTTATCAGTAGCACACGTGACAATATGGAAAAATTACGTAATCGGAAATCATACAAATGGAGAAAGAAAAGAAAGCAAAATTAATTGACATAATTAAAATCGATCAGCCTCACTCACTTAGCAATACTGAATGCAGTTCAGATAACACTGAAAGAAAGTCACGTCAAGGTCAATGAATACTTCTGGGTTTTCCAAGTTGTAGATAACGAATTGACATTACCTTAAAAAAACCCAGTGAATACCACGAAGTATTAGACAACGATTATTTTGTTCTAGTTCAGAATCCTTCAGCAGTATGAACCTATAATCCTACTGAGAAGTGAATCTAGGAGCTTTCAAGTTACTAAGCGACTGAGTTAGCCATTCAATACCCCCGGTGGGGGGTGGTGATGGAATCGAAGTCATAATAAAACATTTATCTATAATATCACATATCGTTTGAAGCGGTAGACCCTCATCAACAATATTGCAAGCGGTCTGGATTCGATTCCTAGTCGATAGATGCTCTCCCAAACCTCACTCCTAGTTTACCAACCAATAGTAAGCCTGGATAGGAGAAAAAAGGTTAAATCTGAGGTTAGCAGATCCAATGAACAACGCCACTGCTACGGAAACTTCAAGTCTTTAAGCCTAAGGCTCTTTTGGGCTCTTCCTTTCAGAACGCAAAAGAATGAAGACAGTATTTTCATTGATAATTAATTTGATGTTCACTAATGAGTTCTGGTGAGAAGTCGTGACCAGGGGGTCTAATCACCGGCGACATTGGCTGGTGGTTGTGTACCACATACACATCACGAAGTCAGCAGTGATTGTGAATGGTCTACAAGCTCGCCCTATGTTTGAAACCTATAAGGGCATACCGATGAAGAGTCCCAAATTAGGACGAAACAGTTGTCCAGTACTCCGCGTTGGCTTTTCAATGCTTCTTTAACTGATAACAGCTCATGAAGAGACCGTTAACCAATCAAACCTGATTGTAATACATTTGCAATACACTGATAATCACATCAAATAAACCAAAATAAAATCAATCCTAAATGTTGTTACGCAATCCTACCTTACTCCCCACCCTCTTCAAATTGTTTTACACTATCAACAAACGTAATTTGGATTTAATTACAATTTTATTCACATAAAAAATTTACGAAATAAGCATTTCGTAATTTTGTGCGTGCATGTATAGGTGTGTGTATGTGGGTATGTACATGCATGCATGCGTGCGTGGGTGGGTCGGTGGGTGTGCGTAGGCGAAAGTGTATATATCGCTGTCATTGCGGTTCTTTCCTTCTCGCGCCACCTCATCCCCTCTGTCATTTCTCTATTCATTAAATAAAACTATTTTAATACTTCCGTTGAATGTGTTTATTCACCTGAGGCCCCTCCACATCCACACACACACACACGCGTACAGTAAACAGACGGAAAACGGGAAATTGAAAAATGATCACCCTTCACGATATAATATAATATATATATTGATACACTGAACAACATCTGTTCCCATTAATGCACACACACGCACACACAGATATGTGCGTTTTATTTCATTCTCTACGATTAAATAAATTTGCGTAGAAACTACTTTTCAACGTTTTTTTGTACTTTAGAGATACGTGTGTTTGTATGTGTGTTAATTCGAGGGAAAAAAATAACTTCGGAAACAACCTGCTTTTTAAAAAATCTTTTAAAAGCATTTCAAACTTATTTTTACATCAATTAGTTTTATAGAAAATACCTCCTTTTTTAATTTCATTTTGTTCTTTTTATGATGGGGTGGGGTGGGGAGGCGACGTACATATTTCACCTGCTTTATTCACCTTTAGATTTTCCCATCGATTGATTGCAATGAAGTTCTCGGTCTTAGGTTGACATGTCTGTCGGCTTCTTCTACTTCAGATGCTTCGATGATGTCTAGGCATGTAATTCGAAGTTAATTGGTGGATGGAATCCAGCTTGATGCACATTTCATCCTATTTGGGACTCGTCAACTGGCTGGATGTGCCTGCATTCCTCAGTGAGTGATGATGATGTTCCCACCGAGATTCGAACCCGGTGGCCATAGTTTCAAACGCCAAAGCGTTATCCACTAAACCAGTCGGTGGGAATATCATCACTCACTGCGGAATGCAGGTACATCCAGCCAGATGATGAGTCTCAAATAGGACGAAACTCTCATTAAGCTGGATTTCATCCACTGCTAGTCACCACCTACCAGTTACATTTTATATTTCATATGCATTTAGTTTTCTAACGTAGTGATCACTGATTGATTGAATGAATAAGTGAGCGAGTGAGTGAGTGATATCAGTTAGAGAAGAACCATTGAAAACCAACCCCAAGGAGTACTGTATAACAGTTTTGTCAGCCTAGTTTGGGACACACCTACCAAGGTTCACATCTACGACCTTCCTGGAACAAGGCTATCTAGTCACTGGGACCCGACTCTTCAATAGCCAGCCCATGAATTCTAATTCTTACCAATTCGTGATTTTAATGCGACTAGCACCGGCCAGTGTCAATTTCGGCAAATATTTGTTATCAATCCCAGCTAGGTGCATCCCACTGGTTTCAACTTCTTACTAGATAGAACTCACTCCGAGCAACTTCATTCTGTAGCCAGTAGTCACTAGCCAGCATCAGATTGATCTACAAGCTTGCCTTGTAACCGGAAAGTCCTGGTTTCAAAACCCAGTGGGTGAGTATTGACGATAAGTTTCAAACTAGAGCGAAATAGCTGTTCAGTACTCCCTGTTGGTTTTCATTTGCTCTCCAACCGATACCAATCTGAGATTAATTTATTTATTTCCCAATTATATTTGTAAATTTTCGCATTTTGTCTATTTACTACTACCTTCTCATAAATATCAGTAGTAAGCAGAATGAAAACGAAATAACCTTGTAACATTAAGATATCGACTCGATCACGAGATGGCATCAGTTAGAGAGGAACCATTAGAAAACTAGCAGGGAGTGCTGAACAGTTGTTTCATCCTAGTTTGAGACTCTCCTTCAGTGTACAGCTATTGAGGTTCGAATACAGGATATCCTGGTTACGTGTCAAGGTTGTAGGGCGTTAAGCCACTGGGATTCGACTTAATGGCCTATCCTTGCAAACCGATACTTGAAAATTATTCCGATACTCACTGGTGACGGGCTCTATGCAGCAAGTCACCTGAAGGAGTTTTAGTGAGAATTCGTACCTAGCGGGGTCCATACAAGCTAGAAAAGAGGACAATTAATTACAGATGACGTTGTCTGGCGGTTGAGGTATATATATATAAATCGCGAAGCTGGCAGAATTTGGAATTCACGAGTCATCGGCATGGCACACCAAGAGAGGCCTTTTCAAAAGTCTTCAGGCTTTCATCAACATTTGACCCCCTTCGCTGGCTCCATTTTGAAGATCAAATAGTCAGAAAGAATTAACAAAACTGAACTCTGAGAACGATCTAATCAACAAATTTGTGGGAGAAAATGGAGGAGGACAGGACACACGCGGAGGACTTTGTCGGGTCACATCCTGCGCCAGACTTGCCCTCGAGTGCGACGCGAATGGGAAATAGTGAGTTGGGTCTTCAGCCGAGGGTGACATGAAGGATATCGTGTGAGGAGATGAGAACGTATGGACAAACGTGGGGCTAGCTAAAGGGGACTGCAGATAACAGGACAAAATGGAGACGAGCTGCTGAAGTTCTATGTTCCAATAGCAAGCCGAGGGAATTATTATGTTTCCTTTAGTTCCTAGAGGAGAAACATAGGGTTACAGACGCATGTCTGCATTGTGTTCGATTCTCTGACAACGTTTCCATCACCTAGCTCCACGTCTACCCACATGCTTTCATCTCCTCTTCTCAACAAGACCTCCTCTTCCATTTCACCCTCGTACTGAAGACCAACTCGCCACTTCCCATTTGGTCGGATTCCACTCGAGCAATGGCCTGGCGTGTGATGTCACTCACTTGATGGTTTGTTTTCTCAAAGTATGGCCAATCCAATCCACCTCCATTTCTTCCTGCATATTTGTTGCACCATTGATTCCTGTTGGGTTGGTTCATTCATTGCCAGAGATCTATGTTGCTGATCTCTTTTTGGCCGGCCATCTGATCTTAAGCGAAGTATTGAGCGAAGACAGCCGAAGGAATAATCACAATAAAAATTGGTCACTTTTTTAATGACTTGAAATCTGACTAATTTTGCTATGCGGCTTATTCCTTACTAATCGATATCTGTTGATAACTGACATTTGTCTGAGTGCTAGGCTTCTAGGAACTTCGTGACGTTCCTTTTGGTGTTTCTACACTGTTTAATATGTTTAGGTGTTCATAGTTATTTACTTGCATCGACATAAAGTAGACATACATGTCGTGTATCCTGGACGTCAGCTACTCTATGCTCTTGAACTCAGAGTCGAACAAGATAGCTTCTGTGATGCAATTTACTTTGTAGATTGTACTTTGATCTTGTATTGATTTGTTGTTGGGTGGGTCTTTTAATCTACACAATATACCGAATGATCTCATCGTTTTGGTTTGTGTATAATATCTATTCTGAATGGCTTCAGTATTCTAGTCATTATTTCAGAATCATACTATGTTTCTTTATATATCTATTCCCTTTATTAGCTCCATCGAGTCCTCCACTACATGTTCATGCACAAGCTCTGTCCAACGCTGCTGTCACTGTCTACTGGGATCCACCGAATGAACCGAATGGCAGAATAAGAGTAAGTATGATTCTATTACATATTATATACATATATATGATCGATTATACACCTCCATAATAAATTCACTGAAAAGAGCCTCCTCATTGAATATTCTATTCTTAAATTACGTATATTTCTATATACTACTGATTAGTGAAAATGAGTAGTTTAACATCATCCATATCAACTAGTAGTGCTTATTAGGCAGTCAGATTGAAATGAAATGATTTAAATTGCAATTTGCAAATCTGATTTAACGTATCATCAATTCACCCAAGCAGCCAGTTAACCATATTATCTGGCAATTTGATCTGAGCTCATTTCTCTTGGCTCAGATAAATCAGCCTGAAATGGGCAAAATAGTGGCTGTCCAGTGTGGCAAGCACAGACGTTCACAGGTGATTAGATCACCTCAATGTAGCTAGTGAGCTGGTGAGGATCTTAGTGAGTCGTATACAACTACTCATCACAATTATTTATCAGTAGTATATAGTGTCGTGCACTTATCCTTTCTTTCTTGATCAAGCATTTATGATATCGCGTAGATCACACCATATATTGTCATTTAAATAATTTTCCGTCTCCAAAATTAAACTGTGGTGAAATCATCACTTCGAATTATGCAAACAACAAATCTCGAATTAATTCGATTTTATCTTTTTTTACGAGTTGATCACGGAGTGATATCAGTCAAAGAACCATTGAAAACTAGCAGTGAGTACTGGACAACTGTTTCATCTGCAGAGGATTTGAACCCAGGACCTTCTGGTTACAAGGCAAGCTCGGTTACCACTCAGACACTGGGACCCGACTCTTCAATGGCCAGTCCATGAATTCTAACTTCTACCAATTCGTGATTTAGCGCGACTGGCACCAACCAATATCATCGTCGGTGGGAAATCCATCCTCACACGTTACATCTGGATGAACCTCACTGGTCACGACTTCTCACTAGAACTCCAGGCAACTCAGTCTAGTACCAAGTCACTAACGAGCATCAGATTAATTTTCCATAGTTGGTTTGTAAGGATTAGATATGTGTTTTACGAGTTTGACCACGGTGAGGCGCTAAATCACGAATTGGTAGAAGTTAGAATTCATGGGCTGGCTGGCCATTGAAGAGTCGGGTCCCAGTGGCTAAATGGTACACGAGCTTGTCTTGTAACCGGAAGGTCCTGGGCTCGAATCAAGGTGGTGTGTGAGTACTACCGATGATTCTTAAACTAGAATGAAACAGCTGTCCAGTACTCCAGTGCTGGTTTTCAATGGTTCTTCTCTAACTGATATCAATCCGTGGTCAAACTAGTAAAAATATTATCTTATCAGACCCTGAGCGTCCTCTGTTGACAAAAGTCTCTCTCGTTTCTCAATATAATCACATAAAACCAGAAGCAACTGTAGAAGACTGCATGCTCGAACGACTACGTATGAGAATTCCACAACAGCTTATTTTGCCGGGAAACATTATATGTGATGAGAAAAGTGTAAGGCAGGACGCCACGAACTTACTGAGGAACTCCAAATAAAAGGCCTTACTTTCATTCCACTATAGTATTGTTGCTGATATCTTCACTTAATTTTATATTGAACGACAACGGCACATGTCAAGTGATCCACAACGGAAAACTCAGCGAAGCGTTTGGAGTAAACACAGGAGTCAGAAAAGGGTGCTTATTATCACCAATGATATTCCTAATTGTGGTGGACTGGATTATGCATCAGACAGTGGGAAACGAGAAGACAGGGATATCCTGAACTGACGTGAAGAACCTAGAAGACCTAGATTTCGCAGATGATTTTATGTTTGATGTCACACAAAATCGAAGACTTACAAGCGAAAATTGACAAACTGGTCGAAGAAGCAGCCAGAGAAGACAGGACTCCAGGTCAACATAAATAAGACGTGGTTATGAAAATAACCAACCAACAACAACAACAACAGCAGCAACATCCAGCACCATTCACCATCAACAGGAGGAATTTGAAAGAGGTTACCTCATTCACTTATCTAGGGAGCATTGTCTCAACTACAGGAGGAACGGACGAAGATGTCAAATCGAGAATCGGGAAGGCGAAAAACACATTCATCAACCTGAAACCAATCTGGAAATCTCCTTCACTTGGCATCAACAACAAAATTCGGATTTTCAATACAAACGTCAAGTCAGTCAGTTCTTCTATACGAATCAGAAACTTGGCCAGTGTGTCACAAAGAATATTTCCAACAGCCTGTTGCAGACCTTTAAGAACAACAACTGTATTCGCTCTATACTGAAGATCAGATGGCCTTTGGAAAGAATCACCAACAAGAAACTATGGGAACAAACAAGACGAGACCAATCGCCCAACAAGTATGCATGAGAAAGAGAGATGGATTGGACACTCGCTGAGGAGGCCGCTGGGTGACATCGCGCGTCAGGCCATAGCTCGAGTGGAACCCGAAAGGGAAGCGACGAGTGGGACATCCAAGGGTGACATGGAGGAGATCGTGTGAAGAGGAATTGAAACAGTATGGATTAACATGGACGCAGGTGAAAAGTACAGCAGAAGACAGAAACAAGTGGAGGCGTGTAGTTGAAGCCCTATGTTCCACTAGAAACCCAAGGGAACAATAATAATAATATCGTCAATGTGAACGCCTTGTTTAAATTATTACCACTGAAATGAAAAAGTTAGATGCAATAATGTACTACTACTATGGTGACAGCTGTCTGCTTACCAAAATTATAGACACCAATTTACGTCAATGTTCATGTCGCGAATCGGCGTCATGAGAAAAAACAATAACAAAGCCTAACCTTGAGGAATTCAACAACCAATCACAGCAGACTTAACGTGCGCAAATACGATTTGCAGATATATGGCTTAACTTTCTAAGAAACGGTCACAGGCAGTACAGAATAAGCTTCAGCCTAAAGACAACCAATCAGAAAACGTTGTTTCTCTGCTAACAATAACGCTAATGGTAAGGTACATAAAAATCTATAAATATCTGTTGATTTTCTCAATAAACGATCTGTTTCCTGGCCCTTGTCTTCTGTCGTTACACCACTACATGCTGAAAATTCCATAATTGTACCCAAAAGGATAGCCTGAAATAAAGCTGTCATTATTCTTATTATTAATCCTCATTCTAGGCATATCGAATTTACTATACAAATAATCCTACATTGGAGTTCTCTTATTGGGATACAAGTATTGTGAATTTACAAGCACTGAAATCTCCGTCAGCGAGTAGCACCTCTGAAAGCAGAAGCCTACCTGGTCATTTATCGATTTTATCACATCTCACTACAAATGCTACCTATTATATACGTGTTAGTGCAGTCAATGGACAAGGTGAAGGACCGGCGTCAGATGTATCAGTTGTAATTGTTCGTCCTGGAGGTGAGTTAACAAACATTAGATGATTATTACTGCCACTATTATTATTATTATTATTATTACTATTATTGCCAGTAGTAGAGATTGTAACGAGGTGAGTAGTAGTAACAGTAGGTCGCTGTTTTGTCCTTGTTTGGGATTCTTTGCCAGTATATACTAACCAACTGTAAGCGCAATATCGCTTGAAATTAAGTCACGCGTAGATAAAGGCTATCCCAGTCCAGAACAAACAAGAAGCCGGTCACTGTTTCTACGGCACTATTAATAAACAAATCAATAATTATATATACAACAAACCTTAACGGCTTCAAGAGTACAAAACACAACGCTTAACAGAAAGCAAGATACCGCTATCAGAGCGGAATAACGTTAAAGCCAAAATTGCGAACTAGCCGGAATCAGACACGACCGTTCAGGTAAGCAGTCAGTAGAAGAATGAACCCAAGTAAGAGATAGACAGAGCATAGGCACAAAGATAGAATTTAATTGGCTACTTAACCAATCAATAAATAAGATAAACTCAACAGAATAATACAAAGTAAGACATGGGTCAGCAAAATAACAGTTCGCAAAAATACTCTGATTGGGTCATGGGTTCAACGGTCTGACTAAACGGATCGATGTAAAAGACACACACACAATTCATTAAACAAGGGGGAATAGACACGTTAGGCATAGATAATTGGGTTGCAACAACGCTAGGCTGATCCGGGACAGGTTGACTTGATTCAAGGATGGGAATTGAATTGATCTTACACCACCCTCCCTCCAAGGATCGAACCTAGAGCATTTAAGTTACAAGGAGAATTCCTTGGCAGTCATTCAATCATTGAGAGGGAATTCAGCGGCTCAGAAATCCTATCCTCCTCTTCTAATTCGCGATCTATACTGTGACCGTCATACATTTGTTTAAGTGACTGCAGTCTCTGTAGTCAGTCATCTGTCGCTGTCTCTTAGCGCGAACACTACGACAATGTCTGACGGTAAATATGCTGTAATATGATGGATAGATGTACTGGAATCAAGGATGTATCTTTCGTCCATTTTCGGACTCATCAAGTGAATGTACCTGAAATCACCAGTGTGAATGGTGGATAGTGTTCCTGTACTGAGATTGCAACGCAGTCAGTACCCATCGTTTCAAATACCATCATTCACACTAAGGATTTGATAGGTATACTCAGATGATGCGTCCCCAGATAGGAAGAAACATACATCCTTCTGGATCGCTATGCTGGTCACCACACACTGCATAAAGTTCCACGTAGTAAAAATGAAATAATAACAATAACGATCTAATTCACTGTAGATTTTCTCATCGATAGACTGGACCGAAGTGCTCGAACTCAATTTGACATGTTGACCTCTTGTGCAGACCCTTCGACGATGTCTGGTTATGTGACCTGAATTCAACTGGTGGATGGTGACTGGCAGTGGAATCTAGGACTCGTCAACCAGTTGGATGTACCTGCAGTTTGCAGAAAGTGATGGTGTTCCTCTGTCGAGGCTCGAACCCAGTGCCCACAGTTTCGAATACCAAAGAGTTATCCAGCAGACTACCTGAGCCACGAGAGCTATCTCTGATGCAACAGGCTTTATCAATTATTTAACAGGACGAAATGCGTATCCTGGATTCCACTGAAAGTTACCATCCACCAATTAACAGCAAAGACATTACCGGAATGAAATGAAAGCGCACTTCGAAAACTGATTTCAAATAACTTATCTGACTTGTTTGTCTTTTATTGCCTTTAGCATGTCAGCGTATCAGTTCTTCACTGGAGAAAAGCTTACGGAGAGATTTAGTTTCTGTCCACGGTTAAAACTTTGCGATACAATATTTAGCTACTTATAAATACGTCAGTAGTTTAAGGAAGCGCTTAAAACTGGAGGATATTGAGACTAAGATGGTCTTCTGTCGGTGAACTACAATTAATGTAATGAATATTTACTGAAGGTGAAATGAATGTCTGAGTCGTGGCAGAATTCAGGAAAACCACCGGTATCCAAACCACTTTCCTGGCAGCTGAACGATAACCAGAGTCATTATTTCACTACAATTATCAAGTTTAGTGTTCATATTTTCATTTTACCTGTAGGCATTACCTGATACTACAATAGCACTTGTCGGAAAATCCAAGTAGATCACACGGCAACATAAGTGTCCTAGATCTATCCATAAATGAAGTCTTCATTTTTGAAGCTGAAGGGTGTTCTGTAATGAACAACATGATGGATAGACTGAATTAAACTAAACTATTGAACAACAAGTGTGCGTCGGTGGCATAGCGGTTAGGACACTCGCCGACCATGCATATGGTCCGAGGTTCGATCCCCGGTCGGCGCACTCCTTCACCTCACTAAGCTAGAAATAAAGCTGGTGAAGAGGAAAGGTTGGGCATGAGGCTAGCAACCGGATCCTGTAAAAATAAACACTGCTACAGAAACTTCAAGCCTCTAGCTTGGAGCCCGATGTTCCACTGGGAACTTGAAGGAACAAAAAAATCGAACAACAAACTCTTTAATAAAATGGAAGGTTCATAAATACCCTTCCCATGCTTATTTACGCTTATCTAAAGAAGCAGTTACCTTAGAAGAACAGAAATAAGGACATATCTTAGATTATCTGAACATCTACGAAGCACTGTCCTTCTCAAGGGTACAAGTGCTTTGAATATTGCTATTTCCAAACATCATGTTGACACCGGTCAAGAAGTACACAATATGAAATGCTTCAGAATTATTGACAGTCAACACAACTCAACTCTTCTCAAATTTTCCCACGTAATCTCTATTAAATGTCTATTCAAAAAGATTCATTTATTAGTCTCTCCTAATCTTGATGACTCAACGCCTAGTCTCTTCGTCTCAGTTGCTTTAACACACTTCCCAACCACCCCCATGTTTTGCTTTAGAGTAATTCGCTTCTTTCCTGTTACCACTGGGGCATATGCTACTAACGAGATTTATCAGTAGTATATGTATATGAAGATATATTCATCAGCTTAAAGAACATCAAATAGCAGGGAGATGGATTTCATGCCAGAGAAAGCAGAATGATACAACGTTGAGGAGACACATGGGTGATGACGTCAAACGCACACAATATGAATGAAGGCCAGAAGTAGAAGGCAGAACACAGAGGATCATTTCGCTAATATACAGGTACCAAATTGCAAATAAACATTCCTTTACCAAGTCTCTCGTCTTCTACCGTTACACTATTGTGTTGGTGTGACACAGATAGTGTGTTCCAAAAGAATATTATTCTCACATATTCCCACAGTTCAATACTGCAATACCAACAGAATACTCTGAATATATGTGTACTTGAAGATTCTATTTCATGTCGTTTAATGTTAACCAAAATCACACGCTCATTAACTGGCTGAAGAATATAAAACTGTTTCGATATAAATAGCTGGTTGATCACTTGAAAATATACCTTGGCTTCCGTGTCTTGCCTTCTGCTGTTAGACTATGACATGAATTAAACTCACTGTTCACATTGATACTCCTCATCAACTTCTCTCTCCTCTGGTCTTGACTGTGCAATTCAATTTCCAATGGAACCGACTGTTAATTTTGCATTTTTGTATTTTGTTATAACCTTGACCTCCTTCTTCAAAAGTTGTGATATAAGTGGAACTTCTTAACATTGTTTATAAACATATGTGACCCCGCTAATAAAAATCAAGTTGATCTTTGCGGGAATGACAAAACTCTATACACTTCTACACAATCAACTTTTAGGTTGTAAGCAGCTGGTGAGAATTCGGTGATATAATTTCTTTTTATTCCTTCACGTTCCAAGTGCTGGAACATAGGGCGGCTTCAAGCTAGAGGCTTGAAGTTTCCGTAGCTGTGGTGTTTATTTTTATGGGATAGGGTTGACGCTAGCCTCATGCCTAACCTTCCCTCTTTACCAGTCTTATTACTACTGGCTTAGCAAGGTAAAGGAGTGCCTCGTCGGCCGGGAATCGAACCCCAGACCACTGTGCCACCGACGCATTGATGAAATAAATAGTGACCTCATATGATTCTACAGAAATATTTCTTGTTTTTGCTTTGGTTAAATTGAGCACCATCTACAGGCTTATTATTATTTACAATAATAATTATTAATATTTCTCTAATGTTACTGCCTTCTTTATTCTCCCCACCCCCGCGCATCCCCATTTGATAGTTTTATCCCGACCCCAAAGTTTCAACGCTACAACTAGATCATCTCATGAAGTCTACCTGACCTGGAAACCACCAAGTGATGTTGATCCTAATCTGCGTCCATTGGAATATTATGAACTGAACTATACAAAAGTATCCGATCTGAAAACATCTGACCGTCTCATAACATGGTATAATCAGCCTCAACCACAATCACAACCAAGCCACCTACAGTCACAACAACAACAACAGCAATATTCAATGAAAGATCGATCAGAAATATCAATAAGAATTAATTCAGTGACAACCAGTTATTTAATCGATAATCTAGAACCAGATACACGTTATGCCTTCAGTTTGGTAGCTGTCTCAAAAACAGGACCGGGAGTGAAAGCTTCAGCATTTGCACAAACAAATCCTTTCAGTGAGTTAATTGAGAAATTGATTATATTTGTAAAATATCTTATACATAATCGATATCATGAGGTTTTGTTTGTAACATTTTGATCTGTGGTAGAAATCACAATCAACCAATCAATCTTCAGCAGCACGCACCCACTAAGGTTAGAATCCACGACCTACCAGTTACAGTGGCGGGCTCGTGGAACCCGATAGTCATCAAACCTTGCAAACTAACCCTCGAGAATCAATGTTATTCTAACTAGCGATTGGATCTATACAGGAAGTCCCGTGACAAGTCGTTAGATGCAGTTAGATCCAACAAGGCGAAGAAGAGAAAAGTTGGTCGCCTGTAACACTGACTGGTTTTATTATTATTACTTTGCGTTTCGCCAACGTTTCCATCACATAGCTCCACGTCTGCCCACATGCTTTCATCTCCTCTTCTCAACATGACCTCCTCCTCCATGTCAACCTCGCACTGACGGCCAACTCACCGCTTCCCATTTGGTCGGGTTTTTTTTACTGGAGCGATGACCTGGTGTGTGATGTCACTCACTTGATGGTTTGTTTTCGCAGAGTATGGCCAATCCAATCCACCTCCATTTCTTCCTGCATATTTGTTGCACAATTGATTCCTACTGGGTTGGTTCGTCGTTTCCAGAAATCCCTGTTGCTGATCTTTTCTGGCCGGCCATCTGATCTTGAGTAGTGTTGAGTGAAGACAGCTGTTGGTGAAAGTTTGTAGTTTGTTCGAAGTGCCTTTCGTGACGCGGCATGGTGCCAAGTCTCTGATCCATATAGGAAGTAGCACTGACTTCTCACTGGAGTTGAAAATCCATATCTCATTTTTCATACTGAGTGCTGAGTTCTGTTGACCTCCACACAGACTTGAGAGTAATGAAAGCTTGCCTTGCTTTCCCGATCCTCGCACTTTGATATCCTCGTCAGTTCCGCCCACCTGTAGTAGAAACGATTCTTCCCAGGTAGGTGGGTAGGTAGTTAAAGGAGGTTGCTTCTTTCAGATTTCTCCCATTCATGCTGATTGTTGTCGGTTGTCATTGTAGCTGTTGCTGTTGGCCAGGAGTCTTCAGCACCTACCTCCGTTTTCTCTATGTTCACCTGAAGTCCTATCTTCTCTGGATGCTTCTTCTGTCAACTTGTTGCTTTTCATCACTTGCATATCTTCCAGTTTATTGGAAATCAGACATATATCACACCAGGGGATCAGCTAAAGAGGATTGCAGAGGATAGGATACAGAGGAGACGTGTGGTTGAAGACCTGTGTTCTACTTGGAACCCAAGGGAGTAACAATAATAATATTATCATAATATAATACATTAGTAACTTTTGATTCGACACTAGTAACTAGTGTGATGCGTCTAGTTCTCTCTTTAGGGCGGACTGAATTCTATCAGTCAGGTTGTAATGTGGCCACCATTCTAGGTAGCTTGCCATCACGGCTTCCTGCCAATTGACTCCAACCATCTAATATCATCACAAACAATGTACACCGTGATGGTGAGCTACCTAGAATGGTGGCCACATTACAACCTGACTGATAGAATTCAGTCCGCACCAAAGAGAGAACTAGACGCATCACACTAGTTACTAGTGTCAAATCAAAATATCCGCTACAGTCCTACAGGAGGTCAATCGCGAGCCCGAATAGCTTACTGGTAACGTCTCTGACTGCAGCACTGGGTGACGCGGACTCGAATCTCAGAGGGGTGGCACATAGGTTCCTTCAAGGTTGCAGATACGCCTTGCTGAAGAGTGCAAACTAGCACGAAACCTAGGTCCAAGGCTTCCTGTCGATTGCCTCCAACCATCTAATAACATTAGTAACTCGTCAAGTTTCCACTTTATATTTCGCATGTGGTCAGTAGAATCCACTTCAAAGTTAACGATCTACTTACATTATACTTGGAAGAATATACTTCTCCCCACAATTTTCCAATCTTTCCTAATATTTCTTAAAATAACTATATATATATATATATATATATATATCATTTTTTAAAAAAACCAATTACAAACGCATTTATACGTGTTATTTATAGTTCCTTCGGCGCCAAGTAATTTATCTGTACAAGCAATTAGTTCAAATCAACTTCAAGTGAAATGGCAACGCCCAATTTTTAATAATCCTCACCTTAATAGCCAGTTATCTACTTCACGTATTGCATATTATGATTTAAATTGGCGTCAATCAGATAGTGAAGTAAGTTTTTTATTTATTTATTATTATTGTTATTACTACTATTAGTAGAATTAAGTAGTATAATTATAATTTCCATAAAATATATATTCAATATAGGAAGGAAATTTGATTTAAGTGGAATAAGATGCATTTGAATCGAATTCAGGCCTTTCTAATGAAGTTGATGGTGCCAGTACATGGGTAATTCAGAGATTTTATTAATTTTTTAATGGTTTCTTTGCTGAAAAACATACGTATTTATTTATCGCACTCTAGGGTATAGTGATATTGAATTGTTTTGTCTTAAAAGTGGTTGAATTTGTAAATATGTATCATGTGCTACTGACAAAACTTATCAGTAGTATATATACATGTACATATAGAGACGTTCATCAGCACACAAAAGTAATATTAAATAGCGGAGTGATAGATTTGACAACAAAGAGGGGAGATGAACCAACCAGTATTGATGAATTCCTCCAGCCAATCAAACAAAAATCCCTACAAAAATCAATAATTGAAAATCAATTAATCTGATACTCACTAGCTAGCCCTATTCACGCAGTTAACCTCGGGTTCTAGTGGGGAGCCGTAACCAGTAGGTTACACCAGGTTGAAGGTGAGGCAGTAACTCATCGAAGAAGACATTGAGACGTGGTCGCGCTATGTCATTCATGAATTGGCAGAGGCTGGAATTCATGGACTGGCTGGCCATTGGATCGGTTGGGTCCAAGTGAGTGGCTTAAGGGTCTACGACCTCACTGGCCTTGTAATCAGAAGGTCCTGGGTTGGAACCCTTGAGGTGGGTGTATACGTACTGCTGAAGCGGAGTCACAAACTAAGATGACGAAACAGCTGGCTGTCCAGTACTCCCATTGGCTGGTTCTCCAATGGTTCTCTAACCGATGCCAGCTCATGATGAAAGTGACGTCAAATCATGATGAAACCCTCCATCCAACTATTGAAAGTGTTTATTCCCTTGAGACGTAAGGTTTTTATTTCATATTATGAAATTTCTTTTCTCATAGGGGAATTGGCTACGTGGTAGTGATACCTTATCGGTGAATCCTCATCAATCATCATGGGCAAATCAACAAGGCAGTAATCCTGCTGCACTGAATGAAGCCAATAATTTTGGTAGTCTTCAAGTACCAGTTCATAGAGAGTCAACAGGAAATTATACGACAACGTGGTATACAGCGAATATCACTGGTCTACAACCATCTACGTATTATGTTGTCCAGTTGAAAGCTGTTTCCCCATCTGGTTCGGGGGATAAAGCAACTTCAAGACCTGTAAAAACTTGGGATGAACGTAAGTTATTCACCGTTAAAATATGACTTTTTAAATTTTCAAAAGAATGGATACAGGAACAAGGGATACTCTTTTCGATAACTTCATCATCAGGCTCTACAGTTATATATACATTATAGTGGATGAATGAATGAATTAGTGTTATGAACAACATTAATGCTGTTTAAATAATATGGAATCAATAATATTGATAAATTACAGCTGAACAGCATCAGCATAAAATAAACTGAATGTCAGAAGAATTAGGAAAGGTAATAGTACAAATTCATGAGTTTATAGTCTCTACTGAGGGCCAGGGCAGTAGTAGGGGCTGGACTTGTTTCTTCTGAACACAGAGCACTGGTTGTTTTAGGCGAATTGCAATAGCCTCTGCTGTTTGGAGCATGCGATGCTTCGATGATTTTGGCAATTTACTACGTACCCGGTAGATTATAGAGAAGGATTCTTCACTGCTGGCTGCCTTTGTGGCCGGTTTGCACCAGATGGTCCAATATCGAACTGTTGATGGTTTTTACTACACCTTTACTTAGCCATACTGGGAGATGTTCTCGAGCACGAAAAATCAAGTTCCTAGAGCGACGGCCAATGTAACTCGCTCCATCACAAGCTCAGTTGAATTAGTGGATAAAATTGAAAGTGTCTAGTCTAGGCGCTTCATCTTTCAGTCGAGGAATCACCATCGATCGTGTAGAGAATAAGACATGTAGTTCACCAGCAATAAAAGTGCTTTGAATTGATTTTCTTAATTTATTCGTAATTATTTCACTTGGTATATCGCCCTTGAATAGTTCAGTCGATTAGTCCATAAAGACTCCTGAGGTACCTACTTAACTATTAACTTCCAAGTGGAAAGATTTTCCATCGGTAGTCTGACGGTAGACTGTTCGCCAGTCATACGCACACAGGAGATCCATGTCTAGTTCCCCACGGATAGATGCACTCCTAAATCTCCTACCTAGTTTACAAGCCAGTTGTAAGACGAGAAAGATGGAGGTTTCGGCGCGAAGCTGGCAACCTCACCAGACAGAAACAAACAATTCGACAGCCATTGGATCTTGAAAGCTTGAAGCGGTGAAGGAATAAAGAAAGGTCACTTGTCGAAGAATACATTCCATCAGTTTAATCTACTTTTGTTCATCTCTAATAACCAGAGATCATGTCTGGCTAATCTGATGCTCACTAGCTAGCGACTGGCTCTCTTCATGCAGTTAACCTGGGGTTCTAGTGGGAAGCCGTAACCAGTAGGGTACAGCTGGTTGAAGGTGAGGCAGTAACTCATCGAAGAAGACATTGAGAAGTGGTCGCGCTATGTCGTGAATGAATTGGTAGAAGTTAGAATTCATGGACTGGCTGGCCATTGGATCGGTTGCGTTCCAGTGAGTGGCTTAATGGTCTACTAGCTCGCTTGCCTTGTAACCAGAAAGTCGTGTGTTCGAACCCTGGGTGTGGGTGGGTGAGTACTGCAGGAGTAGAGTCCCAAACTAGGCTGACGAAACGGCTGTCTGGCAGTACTCTCTATGGCTGTCTTTCCAATAGTTCTCTAAATGATATCAGCTCATGATGAAATCCTCCAACCAATCAAACAAAACAATCCCTACAAAACCAACTATTACTTGAAAGTTAATCACAAAAACGCTTCCAAATAAATTCTCACTATCCATTGTTTTTTGTTTTGTTTTTTGCTTTCTGTTGGTATTCTTCTAGCTCCACCTGCTCCACAGAGATTACGTTTACTCAGTCAAATTATTCCCCAGCTGAATTTAAATCAACCGCCACAAATTTTGATCCATTTATCCTGGGAACCAATACAATCAATCAATAATGATATACAAATTGACAAGCCAATTGTCTATAGAATAAGATGGCGGTTAGTTGGTAATAGTTATAGAGAACAGAATTATCAAGGACAGTATCTAACTCAAAGAAGAAGACGAAGACGAATGATACCTTCATCATCTGATAAAAGCTCTATTGAATCAACACTATACTGGTCGATTATTGATTCTGGTCAACAGCGTGAAGAAGGAGAACTTCAACGCCAAGGAGAAAAGAATCCATTTCAATCGGAATTACTTATACCAGGGAAATATTTACACGGTGAAGTTAACCTGACTGAAACCACATGGAATTCACCATCTGACATATTTTGTAAGTTGATGAGATAAAATAATTATGTCATTGATATAAGTATAAAACTTGGGCACTGCGTGGTAGAGTATAACTCCATTATGGATAAGATTTTATTTTGATAAAGCGTCACACAGTATGGTGTTATACAGTAATATTAACTGATGCGACCACGTTTCGAGCACAAAATATTGACGCTCATAATCATATCAAGTCACTACTCACACAACTTTTTTTCCTTCATTTATATGCATGAGTAAAAATTGATGATTAGACATTTGAATAAATATCAATATATTTCATACATTTATTCCCCTTAATGAATTTGAACAAAGCAACAACTACAGTTTTAGCAGAATAAAATGGTATCATCAGCGCTTATTTCGTTGCCTTCTCGTCAGTTGCTTACAAGGCAAAGACATTATTAAATGTATCTACAAAAACAATTTAACATACTTACACAGAGTTCATTTCAAACAAAAATCAATCGATCACTATACGCATACACTCATAATATATGCATATATATATATGCAATATTAAACACTGTTCCAAACAATAATAATCATACACAGTCAAAACTTTTCAGCATCTCGCATTCGGATGAAAAATATCCAGTTACCAGGCAGGGCAAAGAAAGACTGATAACCACTTCTTTCTGAACGCATAAATCAGGTTCCAGGCACTTGATGGAAATGGCTTCAGCAAACTTGAGGAGAATTGAACTCTTTTGCACCTGTTGATAATTTTGAACAACTTTTCGACGTCCACCTCATGACCTGTGTCGAGGAGATGCCTGGCTATGGCAGTGTTTAAAGCATTTGTTCCCTTTAGACATAAGCTTTTTGGTACATGCTCTAACAATGTAACTGCTCCCGCAGATACATGTAAATCAATATAGGATAATGTACATTCAGAAATAATAGTACGAGTGTTATTGATCAATTACAATCAGATGGGAAATAAGACGAGTGATTTTATAGACAAAATAAGTTAGTTGTTAGAATGTCATGATGTACGTCAATCGAAATAGAATTTTAAGATTATTTATTATCCTCCTCTGATTTGACTGACTGGTGGTAATAATATCTCCCATGCATATCTCTGGAATTCGCATTGAGTCACCTCTATTGCATTTGTTGGGTATAGATTCACTCGATGAACCAGGCAGGATTCAGTAATCAACCTCCCTCTCCACCTACCTATATTACTTTTTAGAATTTTAACCCTATCTCGCCGTATTGTGTGGTTGTTTGTTAATGCGTGAAGTGCAATTGCTGAGCTTTTTTCTAAATTACTTATCTTCTCAGGGTCAAACATTCTTACCATAGCTAAATTCTAGTAGGTCGTGGGTAGTCAGATTATCAGAACATAAGAATTTCTGAATGTACATTATCTCATATTACGAATTTTATTCCAATATCTAATCGATTCCATACATGTATATAAATGAAGGAAAAAGTTGTGTGAGTAGTGATTTGATATGATTATGAGTGGCAATAGTTTGTGCTCGAAACGTGGTCATCAGTTAATATTATTATATAAAACTGTGTGATTTATCAAAATAAAATCTTATCCATAATGGAGAAAATATAATTATATATCATTGTTATTATAAATTATAAATTATTTAAATTAATCCCAGCGTGTTAAGAAAATCAAAACAAGATTTTTCTGAACGTTTCGCTGTGTAAGCCATCAAAGCTTGTTCATCAGATTTATATAAATAAATCTGCTGAAGAAGCTGTGGCTTACACAGCGAAACGTTCAGAAAAATCTTGTTTTGATTTTCTTAACACACTGGGATTAATTTAAATAATTTATAATGAATCAATCTGACTCGGCGCTCAAATTATTTCAGAAAGTTCGTAACACCTACGGCCTGGAAACCTATAATTGTTATTATTGTTGTTCGATTGGGTTCCGAGTGGAAACAGAGGCTTTCATAAGTATATTCCCGTTTCATTTAGTTCTGTGAAGTCTTTTATTAGCTGGCTTCATGATGGTCCACAAGACTTCGTCTCCTAATTAACTAATCTCCTCCATGTCACCATGTCTAAGTGAAGTCCGACTTCTCGCTTCTCACTGGAGGATGTGTGATGTTACTTTTAACCATTGTTCAACGCTCTTGGTCAGTTCATCCTTTTTGTTTGGAGACAGGTTTGTTAGTTGGATAGTTGTCAGACTTCCATGATGCTTAATCCTTCCGGTCTACCAACTGATAACAGTGTTACTGAGAGGAGGCAGATGCTGATGAATGTCTGAAGCCTGTTCAAAACGGTTTGCGTGACACACGAAGTCTCTGTACCATACAGAACAGCTGACTCAACAATGGTGCTGAGACTGCGAATCTTCTTCCACACTCTGAGAGTAACAGAATCCCACACTGATCTCAGAATGATGAAGATCTGCCTTGCCTTCCTGATCCTGGCTTTAACATGCTCATCCATGCCGTTGTCTTTATTTGAAACGATGCCGTTGATAGTGACTGGTGTTTGTTATTGTTGCTGTTCTTTATGTTTCATCTGAAGTTCTGTCTTCGCTGCCTGTTTCATCAGCCAGCTTCTTGGTTTTTGCCTGGGGATCTTCAAGTTTGTGTGACATTAGACATAAATTGTCCATGGAGTCCAGACCTTCTTCAGCCTACTTGTTGACCCAATGTATTCCCACCTTACCCCCCTCATCAGGGACTACCGTGTGGTCTAGTCCACGACAATTACCAATATTATCAGTGATATTGGGCATAAAGCCTTGATTTACTCCCGCCTTCACTTCGAATGCCTCTCTGAGTTTTCCGCTGTGGATCACCTGACATGTGGCCGTGTCATATAGTCAGCTGTTGAATGAGGTTGGTAAAGATTCGGGGCACTGCAATCCATAGTTTTGAAAAAGTCCCCAAATTACTTAGCAATTTACATCGTTGAAGGCGTTTTCAAATTCAATGAGGTTGAGGTAGAGATTTAACTGCCATTCCACGCTCCATTGGATGATGATGTGTATAGCGTTGCAATTTGATCCTCACATGATTTGCTTTCCCGGATTCCAGTTTGTTCCCAGTGCAATTTCGCATCTTTTGGAGATAATTGATCAGTATTACAGCTTATAATTATCACTATTAAAATATACGTTAATTAAAATTCAATTCCTTTCAAATATTTATGTTCTTACTAAAAGTAGATGCCATTTTATTTCAGTGCTTGGAATGACTTATGAATTTCGTGTGGCTGTAATCACACCGTTACAAGTTGGCTATGAAGCTGTTGAAACGTTGGCCTTAGAAGGAAGAGGTAATGCTATACAATTTCTATAAACTTTCTTTTCTTTGATTCTGAGACGGTATTCTATGATTCTGTGTCACTAATTCAACGGTACAATTCTCACCGACGACGCTGCAAGTAGTTTGGGTTTCTATTCCTGAAGGACTGACGTACTCCTTAGCCTCTATTAGCTGGTAAAAAGCCCGGTCAAGAGGAAATATAGAGTATGGGGATAGAGATTCCATTATGCAAATACATCCACATCACTGCACTGCTCATGAAACTTAAAAGCGCAGAAATACTCACAATGTTAAGGAACCAAAAAAAATTCCATGGTTATGAGTCGACGATCTGATAGAAGAATGCTCACCAGCCAAGCAGAAGGTCCGAGATCTCCTTCAGGTCGACGAATGCACTCCTACTTCTCGCCTAGTTTCCCAACAGACAGTAAACCTGAGAAACAGGAAAGATGCGACTTGAAGATAGCTAACCCACACGGGTGCCGATATTGAAGGCTATCATTTTTCCCAACAGTAACTATTTTTAAGCTAGTTACTTGAACTACTGAATACATTAATAAGTAGTCAAATTTCATATCACAAACTTTTCAGGTAACTTTGAAATAACACCAAATGGAAACTAAATTTCTTCATGAGATTCTACAGGAAAAGAACTAATATTCTCATTGATGTCTACCCGATGGATCTCAAAGATGCTGTATTGAAGATTCTCGACCACTTAGCTCAGCCATTTCAGAGTGAAACGGATGCTCATAGGAGACACTGATCAGGGTATTGTTAAAACTCATTGGGTTATTGGATTCCGGCTCAAATGGTCAACAACCTCGGCCTCCAGATCTGGAGGTCCCGGGCTCAACTCTTAGCAGTGGAGCTGCAATTTTGCATTATAAACAGTCACAAAGTAGGACAAAACAACTGTCCAGTATTTTCCACTCTTTTCTAATAGTCTCTCTAGCTGACGTTGGTTTGTGACAAAATCTAGCAACTGAAACCTTAAATAGGTCTTCGAAATTGAATCCTCAAAGTTTCAAAGTTGATAGCATCACACTGGATCAATCTCCCCTCTTTTTCAGGCTTACTAAACCGTAGGAATCTGCGTGAGGTTTAGGAGTACATCTTTCGGTAGGGAGTCGAACCCTGAACCACTTGAGATATGATGGGCGTGTTTTCTATCATTGAACCATTACAGAAGTTGGATTATGATCCTGAATAGCTTAGCAAGTGACCTGGGTGGTTCAAACCTCCCGAATACATGGTGGCATTTATCTGCTAGCTAGCTAGCTAGCTAGCTGCCAAGCTATGCCACTAATAAACGAAGCTTCTAATTCCCATCTCTATTGAATAATTGATTTTCAGCATTATTCCAACTTCCTTTCTTTTTCTCATCCCTTTTTATTCTAGCCCCAAGTAATACACCAACTTCCCTACAAGTGACCTATTCCCTAGATCATATTCTCCTTTCATGGAATCCACCTGAATGGCTTCACAGACATGGAATATTTGAAGCTTACGAGCTGAAGTGTTATTCCCCTACAGTAGTCGGTTCATTACAATTACAACAAAATACAACCAACAATCAAGGCTATGTGCTGCAGAGCTACACCAGTTCACAATATTCACGTTATCAACAACAAAATTTTAATATCACCCTGCTGAATAGTCGTATACAATGGCCAATCTCAGCACCGAATGATTTAGTCAATATTATCCCATGGCCAAATGGACAGATACAATTGAGTATACCACAAGAATTTAGCTACAAGTACAGAGGAGAGGTCGATAATTCTGAAACCAATCAGAATGACAACGGTAATAATAATAACAATAATAACGAAGTTTATGCTTGTATCATTCGGGCAAGAAATATGTATGGTACTGGACCATGGTCGTTAGAGAAGATAATACTGCCAAGAAAACCATGTAAGTTCATCTTCCATTTTTCCTATAACTAAAAGTTCTTATTATCAAGATTTGGTTTGTAAGGGTTAAATTTGTTTGTCCTGAAGTTCTAGTGAGAAGTCGTAACCAGTGAGGTCCAACCAGCCAAGTGTGTGAGAATGGATTTCCCACCGATAACATTGGTTTGTGCGAGTAGTGCTAAATCACGAAGTGGTAGAAGTTAGAATTCATGCACTGGCTACTGAATCGAGTCCCAGTAGTCGAAAGGTCTACGAGTTTGCCTTGTAACCGGAAGGTCCTGGGTACCCACCCACCCCAGTGCATCGAGCGGGTGAATACTGCCGATGATTCCCAAACTAGGCAGAAAAAACAGCTGTCCAGTACTCCATGGTTTTCAGTGGTTCTCTAACTGATATCAATCCGTGGTCAAACTCTTAAAAAGTTCTTATTATGAAAAACCTTATCCGACATGTAGAAACTAGTTAAGGAAACCGCTTGTGGAAATCAAGTAATCAATGGTCCTACTTCAGCTGATTCTGGTATGCTTAATAATTCCTTCATATGACGTCTAGAAGATGTGATGATTTCTGATGCTACAAATGTGAAGAACGATCCCTTTTCTGGTTTCGATACAGAAGATGTTCCTGAATGTCTCTAGTCCCTGAGACACCTATCCAATCACTTAATGCAGATGGCGTGCCTGTTACTGTATTTTTCAGAAAATGGGGGGATATTTTAAGCCACCCTCTTACTGATATTTTCAGTGGATCATTTTCCACAAATGTTGTACTTACCCCTTGAAAATACATTACAGCGGTTCCAGTGACTAAATCATAAAGTGTATCATGTTTGATTCGTTGGAAGGTTTCATCATGAACTGACATCAGTTAGAGAACCATCGGAAAAACAGCCATAGGGAGTACTGGACAGCCAACTGTTTCGTCCTAGTCTAGGATTCTTCAGTAGTGCGCGCCCACCACAGGGGCTCGAACCCAGGACATTCTGGTCACATGGCCAGCGAGCTCGTAGACCATTAAACCACTCACTGGGACCCAACCAATAAAATGCCCAGTCCATGAATTCTAACCCCTGCCAATTCACTACAAAGAGTGACCATATCACGATGTCTTCCTTGATGAGTTACTGCCTCACCTTCAACCGACTGTACCTTGCTGATCAATGGCCTTGGGTTCGAACCCTGGAGGTAAGCTGGCGCGTACTGATGAAGAATCCCAAACTAGGCTGACGAAAAGTTAGCGCATAAACTGTACGAAGCCACTGTTTAGAATGAAATGATTTTTATTATATAAGCCATCAGTGAATGAAATCAGCCAGAGATTCCAATTATCTTCACTTAACATGCTGTCTATGGCACCTACGAAACGTCCGCGCCTGCTAATTCTGTATGATGATGTTATGCAGGAAAGCTATTCTTTTGTGCCTAAATACTTTTCCCATATCATTTATTGATTTTTCTGTTTCCCACTCCCCATTTAGCTGTCCCGCCTCCACCAGAAAATATACGTGCAATATTTATGCATAAAAACCTAATACGTATAAGTTGGTCCTTACCGCCAGACATGATACAGACAATTTCACCGAAATTAATACGTAGAATGAAGGATAAAGAATTGGAGAAATTCATCGCATATTCAGGGAATAGTTATTCACGTTTTGCTGTATATATTAGTCCAAAGTTGAAAACCAATTGGAAACGTTATGTGACAAAAGGTCCAACAACTGAAATTGTTTTGGTAAGTTACTTTGATTGATTTTTTCCCCATTCCTTTGTGTTGAGAGTGGCACATAGGGCTTTGAGCGTGAATCTTGAGGTTTCATTAGCAGTAATTGTGTTTGCTTTTAAAAAAAGGGATGAGATTGCTAGCCTCACATCAAACCATCCTTGTCCTTTCCTGGCTTAATACCTGTTAATCGACGTCTAGGAGTGTATCGACTGGTCGACAATTGAACCTAGAACACCCCCCCCTCGTTTTGCACGAATCACCAACACATGAATTTAGAAATACACTATTATTTAATAATCAAAATGCAGATGGGTCTAAAAGGGGAATTTCAGTAGGAGCATCTCTGAAAACTCACTAGTATTATGCAGTCTACTTTACACCGTAAAGTCTTCCAAGAAATCAAGGAAACCGTTCACGACACCACATAGACTACTGACCGATCTGAGTATTAGTCAAAGAATACTCATGCCGACCAATCGTCCCTGCTGGTAATCAACTCATTCAATTCTCTGGGCTGGGGTAAATATTCCCGTGAAACTGTCGGTGATTATTATGACTATAATTCCCTTGGGTTTCGAGTGGAACATACGGCTTCAACAGCACATCTTCGCTTATTCTTGTTCTCTGACATGAGATATAAATAATCCTCGAAGTTCAAGTCTTCTAGAGTTTTCGTGTAGGATGGAGGTGTGCTTGTCACATGATGCAGTCCACAACAAACAGAAATATCATCGGTAATAGTGCACAGACAGCCTTCTCTTACTCCTGCCTTCACTTCAAATTCTTCGCTGATTATATACTGCAAAAATTTAGCAGACCAGTGAGCTGAAATCTGATTGGTTGTCTATCTTGTTGATGTGTAGGCGTCTGTCAACATAGTGAAATTTGATTGGTTAGTTATCTGAATAACCTTATAAAAATCGATATTTGTATAGTTTAATTTCTGACTGATAGACTATCGATCCTGTCTGTAGTTACATGCATAACATATGTATCGATTGCAATCCTTAAGGCTGTATTACTAAGCATATCAATGATTCATTCATCCGTTTTCCTTTTCTAATCTTTACATTTTTCGCACATCACAGGATGAATATAACGAAGAAACTGCTTATCTAGTACGTGTTAGTTCAATTAGTACAAATGAACATGAAAGTAAATGGTCTGAACCGATATCAACACAACGTATTAAACTCAGTCGACAATCTAGTCTATCCACCAAAGTATACAATTTACAATGTCAACCATTTTATCGTACACAAACGAATCTATGGGAATTACAACTGACATGGGAAATACCAAAACAATTACAAATTAGTCCACAGTTTGAGAAACTTTCACATTATCGAGTGAGTAGTTTTGCTGATTTTTATTGATATCTTGTCAATTTTTGATAGAATCCAATAATTTGGAGATTAATCCAGGCCTCATCAGTAACTGACTGAAGGGATGGATTGTGCTTGAAGTTCTAATGAGAAATTATCACCGATGAGGTTCATCAAATCGGCTGTGAGGAAAGACACTTTTTAGTAATAATAACAATAATAATTTGCTTTATTCCAAGACAGTACTTGTGATACAGAATGGAATTCTCAGCATTTTGTTTACTACAGTATTGCATCCAGTTAGTACATTATCAATAAATAGAATTCTACATAGATTAAGGGTAGTCTCAGTTCATTATGACAACAACATGTTGGCATGTCGGTAGCAAAGCCAAAGTTGAACAGTGTTTGAAGGTGTTAGAAAAGTAGGTGCTATCATATTTACTGGCGTAAGCGGAAGAAAGAGACAAAGCAGCACATAACGGAAAAAGAAGAGAGAGAAAAGGAACAGAAAGAAACAAAATGTTGTACCTATAAATGATAGGAGTTTGAAAGACGAGATCCAGTTGTTCTACTGACTATTTAATGAGTTATAGTTGTCACGCCTAATGCTTTCTTTATCGCACAGAACACGAGCTAAGTAGGGTATGGTTGAGTTTTTGCACTTGCTTGCCGGTGCGAGCATATAGTTTCCCATATAGGCTTCTGGTTTCACCTGATGAGATGCAAGGGGAGAGTTGTGAGTGAAGAGGGTGGTGTGAGTTAGATCAAATGGATTTGGCCCATTTCTCACAGGAGTCCATGTGCCTGTCAATCAGAATATTAACAAGCTGATTAAGTGGCACGTTGCTTACCCTGCTGACAACCTTTAACATCCTGCGTAATATGTTATAGTCTTTCTTCAGTAGCCCTGGAAAATCTAAGGGGGAACAATAGAGAATAAAAGGCAGAATGCGAGAGTTAACGAATTGTAGAAGTAAGGGTTGGGTTATACCAGAATGTCTTAACTTCTTGATGCAGAAGGTAAGACGGAATATTTTCTTAGAAATCGCCAAGATATGAGACGACCAGGAAAGATCAGCAGATAGAATGACACCTAGGTATTTAATTTCTGACTTGGTTTCTACTTCAGTGCCATCTATGTTGCACACCTCGTGAGAGCTAACCAGTTTGTTTAGGTTGGATTTACGCCTAAAGGTGAAATTGACTGTTTGGCATTTGGAGGGGTGTAAGGTAAGACCGTTTTCCTTGCTCGTGTCATTGTTGGATGGAGATGCTACTATATCGTGAGATGACAAATGTTAGAATTCATCAGTTATTGGATTTCAATGAGTTCGCCTTGGAATCCTAAGGTATTGTTGTCGACTCCTAACGGGGTTCATGAGTATGCCCTATGGAAGTTTCCCCGAAATGGGAAGAAATTGATTGATTCGAAAGTCAATTCTGTGAGACATTCACACTAATTAGGAAGATATTAAAACTCTTGATAAAAGACTAATTAAAAAATATTACACATTTATTCTCCTTAATGAATTTGAATAAACCAAGAACAACAGAAGTTTTTGCAGAATAAAATGGTACCATCACATAGTTTATTTCGTTGGCTTCTCGTCAGCTCAGCTGCTTACAGGCCAAAGTCATTATTAAGTAGTATATCTACAGAAACAATTTTAACATACTTGCACATATGTGCATACAGTAATATTAAACACTGTTCCAAACAATAATGATCATACACAATGGAAACTTTCAACATTACGTAATCAGATGAAGGAGAGATGAAAATATCCAGTTAACAGGCAGCAGGATAAAGAAAGACTGAAAACTGTTTCTTTCTGAATGCATAAGACAGGTTTCAGGCGATTGATGGAGATGGCTTCAGCAAACCTGAGGAGAATTGAACTCTTTTGTGCCTACTGATAATTTTGAAGGATCTTGAGACGTCCACCTCATGACCCGTGTCAAAAAGACGCCTAGCGATGGCACTGTTTGAAGCATTTTGTTCCCTTTAGACTTAGGCTTTTTGGTACATGTTCAGAAAATCTGCGGGAGGAGTTACTTTGGAGGAACAGAAGAAAGGGCTTATTTACGATTTCCTGAACATGTACCAAACGCTTATGTCTAAAGGGAACAAATGCCCTAAATAGTGCCATCGTCAGGCATCTCCTTAACACGGGTCATGAGGAGGACGTCGCAAGATCCTTCAAAGTTATCAGTGGGCGCAAAAGAGTTCAATTCTCCTCAAGTTTACGGAAGCCATTTTCATCAAGCGCCTGAAACCTGATTTTTGCGTCCAGGAAGAAGCAGTTATCAGTCTTTCTTTGTCCTGTATGGTAACTGGATATTTTCACCTCTCTTTCATCTGATTACGTAGTGCTGAAAGTTTCCATTGTGTATGATCACTATTGTTCGGAACAGTGTTTAATATTATATATAGATATATATATAATTACTGTATGCATATATTGATTAATTGATTGATTTTTGTTTAAAGATGAACTCTGTGGAAGTATGTTAAAATTGTTTCTGTAGATATACTACCTAATAATGACTTTGGCCTGTAAGCAGCTGAGCTGATGAGAAGCCAACGAAATAAGCGATGATGGTACCATTTTATTCTGCAAAAACCTCTGTTGTTCTTGCTTTATTCCAGTAAAAACCATTACACTGCATCGCGACCCACCTAGCTTCTGAACCGTATTCAAAAGCTGATTGCCAGAATTCTGTTCGCTCCGACACCGAGAACTGGAATCATGAAATTGGCTACGCAGTCTAGTAACTTCTCTGACTGCAGGCAGAAATGGATGACGCGAGTTCGGACCCTACAGTGAACATAAGTTCCTCCTTCAAGGTTGTAGGTAGATATGCCTTCCCGACGAGTGCCAACAATAATGAAAGCTAGGGCAGGCCCAAATATCTAACATAGGTCTGGAATTTTCTACAGGTTGGTTTGTAAGGATTAGATTTGTTTTTACGAGTTGATCACGGATTGATATCAGTTAGAAAAGAAGCATTGAAAACCAACCACAGGGGAGTACTGGACAGCCAGCTGTTTCATCTACCTAGTTTGCGAATCATCGGCAATCACCGGAAGGTCCTGGCTTCGAACCCTAGTTTTTTTTTTCCTTCACGTTCCCCAGTGGAACATAGGGCTTCAAGCTAGGGGCTTGAAGTTTCTGTAGCAGTGTTTATTTTACAGGATGGGTTGCTAGCCTCATGCCCAACCTTTTCTCTTCACCGGTATTATTTCTGGCTTAGCGAGGTAAAGGAGTGCGCCGGCCGGGGATCGAACCACGGACCATGTGCATGGTCGGCGAACGTTCTAGCCGCTATGCCACCGACTCTAACCCTAGTAAGTCTGGAATATTATTACCACCACTAATGTGCTTGGTAAGACTATCTTGCAGAGTTCTGACCCATTTTTTTTGGCAGCTTACTTTTCACTTGTGAGTATCTTTAGATATTGTGAAGATAATTCACTTAGCTTTTCTGCTTCTGTTTTTATTTTCACCTACAGATCAATTATACCCTGATCAAACCATCGACAACCCCCTCCTCCTCCTCATCCAAGTACACATCTGTCCACTTATCTCAAAGCCGTGAATCATCTTTACACGTACTAGAATCATATAAACATCAATTTATACTCAGACATTGGTTATATACAGGCGAATCGAATTCTGTCTATTCTGTCTCTGTAAGACCAGTATTCAAAGGACTACCCACTACTGATGAATATATCAATGAACAGCCATATGGTGTTATAGAGAGCACCTTGTGTTATATACCAAAGAAAGGTAGGCATAATTTTAGCAAATATCATTTTAAATGTTTATAACTGCGAAATACAGCGGAGAGTACTGAACAGATGTTTCGTCCTATGTTGGGACTCTTCAGTGATGAGCACAACTAGGGGTTTGAATACAAGACCCTCGGGCTACAAAGCAAGGTTGTATACGATTCAGCCGCTGGGACCCAATCTAATGGCCCATGAATTTTAATTTCTACCAGTTAGTCATATATTGTGAATTTCTCCTGAAAGAAATCCGAAACCATAATCCAAACTATAGATTTAACCACACGTAGAGTGACGCGTAAAGTCCGAAATACAGGATATTCTGCAATACGGTACTTTATTACATAAAAATAGATATATAATATTCATACCTCAAAATGTGAGGTGTCTGTGGCTAAATGCTGTCAAATGCACAACCACTGTGCAGTCAATAAGTAAAAACAGCAATGCTGTGTCAAGGTCGATCCACGTGTCGGTTCAAACGGCCCGCGAATGCCAAGCAAAGAATAAACAAATATGAACAAACAACTTTCAATAGTAAAGCATACACTATAGGGTAAGGTCAGCAAATCATGTTTAAGGAGAAGAAAAATAGGAACTATACATTAATAGAATGATAATAGAACAAATAATTTAACTGCAGTTGTAAGTAAATGTCATTGTTATAAATTAACATATAAAATCATACTACTTGCTAATGGCAAGTAGTATAATGTTGAACAAAGGAAGGATTGAGAATGAACAGGTAGGAAAGGAATTAACATATATATAGCGCAACCAATAGGTGACTAAGTGTCTTCTTACCCGACTTGATGGACTTCACTGGTCACGGGTTGACAAAACGGCTGAAGATACATATTACATGATCTGTAGCCGACAAGGATGCTTTTGATGTTGTCAATGTTAAGCTTTTATTGTCCATTAACAGGACAATATCTTAAGAGCTAATAGAATTCTCCATGAATAGAATCACCGGCTTCCATGATGACCGCAGTCGAAATTTAGTTGTTGTATATGTGGCTCCATGACTTGGCGCACGCGTTGCCAAAAGTATTTTTAGCAAACTAATGCAGACTTTCACCAACATCTGCCTCCACCTACTCTATGTTGAAGACCAAATGGATGATTAAGGAGGATAAACACCATGGAACTGCGATAATCAGCGGACCAATCAACGAACTTTTGTCCTTCCATTATGGGTAAATTTTGTTTTGATAAAGTCTCACACTGTTATACAGTAATGTTTAATGATGACGTTTCGAGCACAATTTATTGCTACTCATAATCATATCATATCACCTTGATGGGATTATGAGCAATAAATTGTGCTTGAAACGTGGTCATCAGTAAACACTACTGTATAACACTGTGAGACTTTATCAAAACAAAATTTACCCATAATGGAATTACACACTACCACAGTGCACAAGTTTTATTCTTATACCAACAATCTTTTGTCCTAGAAATATTCAGGAGGAAATGTAGAAGGTTTGGACATACGCTGAGGAGATCGTCTGACAGACCTTCAACTGGAACCCGAAATTGGAAACGAAGATTTAGGTGTCCACTCGGCAGGTCGACAACTGTTACTTTGTTGTGGTGGTCTGGCTTGAAAACCGCTTTGATCCAACAAGCTACACTGGCTGAGAATTATGTTCCTGCAGGTTCTACCCATGTCACGAAGGTTGTTTGGATAGCTATTAGACTAAAAACAGTTACTATGGGATACATGGGTTCCTGACTCAAATTTGATCAAATAGCGTATGAACTTGTATTGGTCAATGGTAACTATGGGAATGTAGCTCCTGACACCGCTCCACTGGCTTTCGGATTAGACTACAAGGTAAAGGCTCAGGAGGTGGTCTCTTATGACAACCATCTGCTTCGGTTTGGGCGCCCGGGTATTATCTCAGCTCTCCTCACCTGTCATATGGAGGAGACTGTGTGAAGAAGAGGAAATGAAAAAAGATTTCAGAGAGGAGAGTGCAACAGAAATGTACTTCTGAAACCCTCCCTGTATTCCACTCAAAATCCAAGCTGAATTACAACAACAAGAACGAATTTTAGCGGTGCGTCATGTTATGCAGCTAACCATAACATGCATAATCCACTAGGACAGAATCCTGGGGCCACCCGCACCAATTCTAACTTTTACTTATTCGCGATAAATAGCGTAACCACCGGCCAATGTCAACAGCTGTCTTAATTTCGATCCTCAGAATTAGAGTCATGGGTGCACACCACCTCCTGAAGAATCCGAAACATGGAAAAACATCTTGCTGGTTTCCGATAATTGTCTGACTGATATCAGTCAGTTTGTGGTTAGTTTGGAATTCACTTGAGCCGTTTCTTCTAACCAAACACACATGAAAATGAATCTAGAGCTCTCTGGTGTAACTGACTGCAGGATTGAGGTTGCCCTGAAGTTTTAGTGGTGGTGAGTAATTGCAGCCGACGGGGCCCGCCAAGTTGGCTGTGAGGAAAACTACTTATTTCTAATTATATATATATTTCTGATTGATATCGGTTAGTGAGAGCCACTGAAAACCATGGAGTATTGGACAGCTGTTTCGTCCTAGTTCGGGATTCATCAAAAGTACACACCCACTGGGTCTCAAATCCAGGGCCTTCTGGTAACAGGGAAAGCTCTTAGATTCACTGATTCATGAATCTTAACTTCTGCTCATCAGCTACTGGTACTCTAATAGAAATTACCTGGAGTTCTGTCGATTGAGAGATCATAAGCAGCAGGTCAGTTAAAAGGACAGTTACTCGCTGATGATATTGAAGGTTGTGCTGAAATCACCAAAAGTGTAGGAGTTAGAATCCATGGGCTTGCCATTGAGTCAGGTTCCAGTGGTTGGATGTTCTATGAGCTTCCCTTGTAACCGAAATGCCGTGTGCCGAAACCTCAGTGGGCTCGTACTGTCGATGAGAACAAAACTCGCTGCTGGCTTTCAGTCGAAAGTTTTTTTCTCACTTCCTTGATTTCTACCGGAATCTAGGGTTTCAAACTTTAAAGTTCCCGTAGCGATGGTGTTGTTGAATATCCGAAAGAGATTTAGGATTGCATCGGTCGGGTTTCGAACCTGAGAATAACGTTTTTTATATTGTTATCTCATATTTTTTCTCATTTGTTCCAAGTGAAATCTAAAATGTATTCTGTATGCATATTTCAGACACAATCTATGTTCCAGTCCCATCGATTATATCCAATCCGTTAGTTGATAAATCATCCTATTTTCTGATTGGTCTAAATCTTATCAAATGGGTTTTCCCACTGATGGCAACAACAACACCAACAACGACAAAAACAAGAACCCAAGATATACCGGTCATCTATGAGCTGATAGCCTACAAACTGCCAATACCACAGAATTTACATTCAGCTGATGTGATCAAATTAGGTCAGTGGAATTCAAGTCAATTGACTGCTCATACAACAAGTGAATCACAACAACAACAGCAACAACAACAACAAGTATACATTGAATTGAGTCAACCTTTGCATGACACTTCGTTAAGATATGAAAAAGGATCAGCTAAACGATTGATCGGTAAAGAATTGCCAAGAAGTCAAGATTATGCATTGTCTACAAGAGTTTGCTTAAGAGTAAGTTGTTCAGCCTGTGTGTCTGTATGTGTGTGTATGTATTTTGATGTAGTTTTGTGTTCTCTGAGCTAGCTGGGTGGGTGGTTTATAGTTGCGAAGCTTTCATTATTGCCCTACTAGACAACATTTTTCTTCAGCGCATACACTTCAACTTGAATTGAAGTGAGCTTTTAGATTTCTCCTAGAGTTTGTCAGTCATCCCTCTCGGTGGGTGACGCTGAAGGTGATTGGTTGTTTTCGTGTATTTTCACAGACTCTAGGCTACTTGCATGGGAACCAGTTGTTTCTTTTACTAGAACTTTGACCCTTTGTGTATGAGATTTCATTCTTATCGACTGGTAAATTTTGTCAATCTCGATGTATCTATTGATTGATGATTCACTGGAATACCAGGGAACCTTTTAAAAGTTCTCTAGCATTCTTGTTGTTTCCTCTGTCTAATATATGAACGCTGGTTGTCCCAATCGAATTGATGTCCGTCGTTATCTGTATACAGCGAGTGCTATGAGTGAGGGGGTGGATGTCATGTCGTTTGACGGCTAGTTTATGTTCATGGATACGAAGACAAAGTGGACGTCGTCCACACTGGCCAATGTAGTGTTATTTGCAGTTGTTACAATTCATTTGGTAGTTGATGTTAGTTTTATCTTCTTTCGCTGTTGAGTCTTTTGGTTGTCGCAGAGCCAAATGAGTAAAGTGATTTTGTTGGTTTGTGTGCTGCATCAATTGCTAAAGCTTTTGGAGAGTCTTGCAGTGATTTCTGAGGTGTCGTCTTTTATATATGGTCGGCGATTTCCATTGTGCTTGCATTGGCGGCCTTTGATTTGATAGGTTGGCTTGGGGGCAGGTGTCTTTTGATGAAATTCCATGGATATCCATCCATTCTTTTGGAAGACGTCTATGAGATGTCTTTCTTCAATTTTCCTTAAGGTGGGAGTGCTGCAATGAGTCCTGGCTGGCCCTCTTGAATAGTGTTTGTATACAACTCCTTTGTGTGTGTGTTATTGGATTGTTGCTGTTGTAACTGAGTGAGTATTTGGTCCGTGTGAGTTGATTTTCTATAAACTTGAGTTTGTAATTCCCCTGTGGTTGTTCGCTTGACTAAGACGTCCAAAAATGGTATGAATGTACTTATGGGTTTCATATGCAATTTAGAGATTGAATTAATGTGCATAGGTTGAGACGTGCCGGTGAAATGTTAATATGGATCACGGCAACAATCACACCTGTGAGCTCAAGAGGTGAGAAAATAGACATATAGGTGAAATTAAAAGCTCATGTTGAAGGTCAAAATAACAATGAAGATCAATCACTAAACCAAATCACAGAGGTAATAGCACATAAATCTGCCCTGACTAGTATCAAAACAAAGTTTACCAAGGAGAGTAGGTTTAGTGTGATGACGAATTGTTGCTTTGAACGCATGAAGGTGGTTTAAACTTTCTAATTGCCAGCTAGGGCTTGCACAAACTTTAGAATACACCCTCCATCAAACACATTCTATAGATAGGTTTAAAAGATGTGTGTTAACATCAGTTTTATGTCCTGTCTTCTCTGTAATATGTTTCGCAATATAGGAGCCTAGTCGCCTGTTCTCATCATCAGTGGGTTCTGGGGATTCTGTTTGTTTCTGGAGCTATTTAGGAATATGCTCTGAAGCCAGCACTTACTTGCAGAGATCGATGACAACTAGACGGAGATTGAACACTGCTGTTAAAAAGACATTTTGTGCAGATAGGATGAGAATAATTGAGAATGTGAAGCCAATATATGCATCCATCTAAGCCCTTTTGAACATGCGAAAAATGTTGTCGCATCCCACTGTATTTACCAATTCGAATGTACGTGTGGACGCACACACACACACATAGTGAGGACTCGTCGATCTCTGGCTTCAGAGCATATTCCTAAATAGCTCCAGAAACAAACAGAATCCCCGGAAACCACTGATGATGAGAACAGGCGACTAGGCTCCTATATTGCAAAACATATTGCAGAGAAGACAGGACATAAAACTGATGTTAACACACGTCTTTTAAACCTATCTATAGAATGTGTTTGGTGGAGGGTGTATTCTAAAGTTTGTGCAAGCCCTAGCTGGCAATTAGAAAGATTAAATCACCTTTATGCGTTCAAAGGAACAATTCATCATCACACTAAACCTATCTGCATTGGTAAACTTTGTTTTGACACCAGTCAGGGTAGATGTACTATTCATTACCTCTCTTATTTGGCTTAGTGATCTTCATTGTTATTTTGACCTTCAACATGTGCTTCTAATTTCACCTAAATGTCTATTTTGTCACCTGTTAAATCTTTATTAATTTCATTTATATATACATTCCTATGACATTTCCGTGTGTGTGTGTGTGATCAGACTGTTCGAAATGTGATGCGCAGATACAACATTACACGATTCAGACAAATTACGTCATCTTATTACTTTGTTTGAATAGATGTCATTATTAAAAAGACACATTGAAATTGATGATTTTGAGCTCACAGGTGTGATTGTTGCCGTGATCCATATTAACATTTCACCTTCACGTCTCAACCTATGCAAATTAATTCAATGTCTAAATTGCATATAAAAAACCCAATACAAGCGAACGACCACAGGGGAATTACAAAGTCAAGTTTACAGAAAATCAAGTCACACAGACCAAAACACACTCAGTTACAACAGAAACAATCCAATAACACACACAAAAGGAGTTTTATACAAACACTATTCAAGAGGGCCAGCCAGGACTCATTGCAGCACTTCCACATTAAGGAAAATTGAAGAAAGATATCTCATGGACGTCTTCCAAAATAATGGATGGATATCCGTGGAATTTCATCAAAAGACATCTACCCCGAAGCTTACCTAATAAATCAAAGGCCCTCAAGGAAAGCACAAGGGAAATCACCCTATCATATATAAAGGAAATCTCAGAAATTACTGCAAGACTCTTCAAACACCTTTATGAATTGATGTAGCACACAAACCAACAAATTCACTTCACTCAGATGGCTCTGTGTCAACCGAAAGATTCAACAGAGTAAGAAGATAAAATCAACATCATCTACAAAATAAGTTGCAGCGACTGCGAAAAGCACCACATTGGCCAGTGTGGAAGACGCCCCCTTCGTCTTCGTATCCGTGATCATAAACTAGCCGTCAAAAGACATGACATATACTCCGTCATACCACTCGCTGCATATATGATTCCTATGACAAGTCCATGTGTGATCAGACTTTTCGAAATGTGATGCGCAGGTACAACATTACACGATTTAGACAAATTACGTCTTGTTATTTCTTTATCTAAATTCATAAAGTGGAACTAATTGTTTTAAATCACATCTATATTCTGGACAAGATTTATAAGATATACGGAATTTTCAGAGGAATTTATTGTATGACATTTTCCCTTCGTACAATATCTTCTAGTAAAATATTAAAACGACAGTATATCCTGTGTGTGGCACAACTGTCTCTGAGCTGAAGCAAAATCCATTCCATTATGATATATATCTGCTTTGTCTCATTCAAGAAATCTATCCACGATATCCAGTTAAAAGCCAATTGCAAGATATTCTGAAGTACGCTACACTGTCTTCCTTCTTTCTATCTGTCTTTAGAGTAGAACGTAGGGCTTCAAGCTTCAGCAATGGTGTTGTTTTGTTTTTCTATCAGGGACACATTTCCGACCTATTTCTTTTTAACCCGGGCTCACTATCCTCTATGCATGGTACAGGAGTTTTTCTTTCTGCCAGGGACTGAACCCTGACTACATGCATGTGTACGTCTTTGATGAACTTTCTGCCGCTGAACTGCCGAGCTTATATTATGCCTTAACCTTCAGGACTACAGAACATATTCCAAAGTGGCTGCAACAACAAATAAAATCCCCGGATACAACTGATCCCATAAATAGATATCCAATATCATGTATAACGAAGCATATCATAGATACAGGTTATTAGGTTGGTTTCAATAATTCCACCACCCTTAAGCCGTTACCCCACCCCTTATATGTGACCTTGACTTGTACACAATCTGACCTGTATTGTAGTAATTTGCACTCTCTTGCCCTCTCTATAAATCAGTATGACAAGTACGTGGAGTGTGATCAGATTGTTCGAAATGTGACAATTTGCGTCTTCTTATTGTTTTGTCTAAATAGGATCTCGGTTGATTGTCTGACTACTGGAGTTCCTTGTTGGTTATCCTTTCTGGCTGACCATCTGATGTCCAATATGAAGCGAAGGCAACAACCTCCTATTCAGACCAGTTGTTTAGAGATGATCTGAATACGGGAAGGATAATTCACTTTATTGCAACTTGAGCTCAATAATGATTTGACCAATTGATTGACTCAACCCTGATAATCAAATGAGTTCAAATGACTCAAACCTTAACGCTACTTCAGCGAGGTGATTGCTTAGAGTGCAAGGAGTTGCCTATCATATATACAGCTTGCGTATTTGTGTATATTATGCTAATGGCAAGCTACCTGAGGATTGGAAGGAAGGCCACCTATTCAAACTGCCAAAGAAAGAAGACTTAAGTCAGTGCAAGTACTGGAGCGGAATTATGCTCCTGTCTATCCCAAGCAAAATACTAAGCCTCATCATCCTGGAGAGAATCAAACACGCAACCCTGGATGAAAACTTCGGCTTCGGAACAGGCTGGATTTAGGAGGAACAAGTCATGCATCGATCAAATCGCAACACTACGTATCATCACTGGACAGAGCTTGGAATGGCAGTCAGTCAGTCGGCTCTCTACCTGAACTTCATCGACTTTGAAAATACCTTCGATAGTGCAGCGCCGATCGAGAGGTGATTTGGCAAGTACTTCGCTACTACGGGTTGCCGCTAACAATTATGCATCTCATCTAACAGTTGTATGACGATGCTACATGCCAGGTAATCCACAACGAGAAACTCGCGGAATCCTTCGAAGTGAAGACGTGAGTAAGACAAGACTGACTGGCTTCTTACTATCTCCAGTGATTTTCCTGATTGTTGTAGACTAGACAGTGCTACAGACAGCAGGCCGGGCAACGAGAAGATAGGTATAAAATGGACCCAAAAAAACTTGCAAGGTCTGGACTTCACAGATGATATATGTCTGATTTACCAAAAACTGGAAGGATTACAAGTGTAAAGCAACATGTTGACAGAAGAAGCATCATAGATAGGAAGGACCTCAGGTGAGAATAGAGAAAACAGAGGTGATGAAGATTCCTGGCCAATAGCAACAGCCATAGCAACAACAGACAATCATCAGCCAGAATAAATAGGAGAAATCTGAAAGAAGCAACCTCCTTTACCTACCGACCTGGGAAGCGTCATTTCAACTACAGGCGGACAGAACTGATGAGGATATCAAATCAAGGATCGGGAAAGCAAGCGAAGCAGCACCCAGCATGAAAAATAAGATCTGGATTTTCAACTCCAGTGTGAAGTCAGTGCTACTATACGGATCAGAGACTTGGCGCCGCACTTCGAACAAACTACAGACCTTCATCAACAACTGTCTTCGCTCAATACTACTCAAGATCAGATGGCCGGCCAGAAAAGATCAGCAATATTGAGGGATCCCTGGGGACGACCAACCACCCCAGAAGGAACTGACCGTGCAACAAGTAGGCAAGAAGAAGTGGAGGTGGATTGGCCGTACTCTGGGAAAAGAAACCATCAAGTGAGTGACATTACACACCAAGTCATCGCTCGAGTAAAAAAACCCGACCAAATGGGAAGCGGTGAGTTGGTTGTCAGTGCAAGGATGACATGGAGGAGGAGGTTATGGTGAGAAGAGGAAATGAAAGCATGTGGGTAGACGTGGAGCCAGGTGATTGAAATGTTGGCAGAGAACCGAACGCAATGGAGGCGTGCGGCTGAAGCCCTATGTTCCTCCTCTAGAAACTAAAGGTAACAATAATAATAATAGTAAAATAATGGTGTTTAAACATACGTCTGTCTACTATGTGTGATAACATTTTCTCTGTCTGCTTTACATTCATATTTGACGTTGAACTTTCATGTTTTTTAACCCCACCCCCTCCCCCGCCCTAAACATTAGCCAAATAAACAATTCTACTCATTAAGCCCTACAATCGATAGTCATTCAAGACAAGAAGTAATCTGTTATGAATCGAAATGGCTTCAACCAGTTTCAACAAATCGTCCTTCACCTTCAACACCAGTGAACGAGTCATTGAATCAACTGTATGATGATACAAAGCCTTATGATCCAGATAAATTTCTATGGTCAAGTAATCCCTTTGGATCACAAAGTCCACCTCCGTCAGATGATGCAACTGCTCAAGGACCTGGTAAGTTGTTCCACTAATTATCGATTATTATCAGTACCAGTATTATTATTTTTTTTCTTTTGCTTTCCGAGTGTAACATGGCGTTATGGGCTTGAGTTTTTATTTTTCTGTAGGTTACTAGCCTCACATATGTCGAACCTTCCCTCTTTACCGAGCTTACTAACAGCCTGGGTTCGAACCCCGGGTCAAATGCCTGGTTGGTGAGTATTCTTTCCACTAAACGATCGATGCATCTATAATTTCCAAGTATTAGTTTTGTAGGGATTTTGTTTGATTGCATGGAGGATTTCATCATGAGCTGACATCAGTTAGAGAACCATTGGAAAACCAACTGGGAGTACTGGACAACTGTTTCGTCCTAGTTTGGGACTCTTCAGCAGTAGGCAGAAGTTAGAATTCAAGGACTATTGGATTGGGTCCCAGTGGCTCAATGGTCTACGAGCTCGCCTTGCAATCATAGGGTCCTGGGCTCGAACCCCGATGGGTGCTGAAGATTCCCAAACTAGGACCAGTACTCCCGGGTTTTCCAGTGGTTCTCTAACTAATGTCAGCTCATGATGAAATCCTCCATGCATCTATAATTGTCTGGTTTTATATTATTAGCATTATTTGTTCCTTGTGCCCAGAAGCAGATCTCCAGCATATTCTATTCTCTGAAATCATTTTCATCACTTGTTTCCACGAAAACGTGGAAGCTTTCATTTCCCCCTCCTAAGATTTCCTCCATAGAACTGTTGGGACCCACACCCAACTCTCCGCTATACATTTGGGTTGTATTTAGCAGCCTGGTATGTGATTTCACCTCTTCGGTGTATGCGGAATTCCTCTCCATTTCTTTCTCCACATTTATTGGGTTATAGGCGGTTTACTACTTCAGCGGCATCTAGAGTTCCTCGTTGTTCATCCTTTCTGACTGGCTGGTTGTTTGATCTTCAGCGTTTTTCGAAGCGCTTTTAGTGATACACGCACTAAGCCTCTGAACCACACAGATATACTAACTGAATTGACATTAGAGTTAACTATTCGGAGCTATGCTCAGAGTGATTTTAGAGTGTTGAATGCCTCTCTTACTTTCCCATTTCTGGACAAGTTAAAATGTAAGCACCACTACTTACTAATCAGCGAATGACCTCGAATGGTTCAATGAGGTTTATTCACATGAGTTCAAGGTTGTTTCGCGCTTGATTCGTACCGAATGCCTGCTCTAATGAAGTTACGCTTGCAGTTCAATGAGGATAAGATTTTGGAGTATTGTCTTCATTTGTAGTTGCTTAGGAAGGAGACGATTTGTTCATGTCATGGAGGTGTCATGAGTTTAAAAAGCTTTAGCGGGTCGATTGATGAAAATGTCCATCGTTGTGCAATTTGCTTGAGACGAGTTAGTATTTGGGAAGGTAAGCTGGTGATTTTAATATTCCGTAGGAAACATTTTTTTGCTATATTGCGTTTCTCCCTAACCTGCGCCTGTGAGAGGCGCAGCTGCTGAAACTGAAAAAAAGCCTTGTGTCAACAGTTCAGTGGTACCAGCAATGCAGAGATATCGCCTCATAGAAAATGGAGAGAATTACTTCGTTGTTTGGCGGAGAAGGTGATAATTATATGTATGTACAGAATGTGGTGTAACTTTTCTATTGACACTCCTAAACTAAAATGGGAGATGTTTCTCTGACATGTTAGAGAAAGATACCCTATATAACAGTTTTATACAGTTTCTATGCTTTTTTCTCTCATAAATATACGTTTCCCTTATTCGAAATTTACTGTTTCTTGTGATTGGTTCGTTGAAGGTCGTTCACTGATTGGTTGTTAGTGGCGCTTAAAGTTTAACTTTGCCCCATTTCTTTTCCTTCCAGTTGAAACACATGGCTTCAAGCCTTATAGTTTCAGTAGAGCTGATTTTTTTTTACGAGTAGAATTGCTAGCCTCATCTTCCGTCCATCTTTCGTGCATACTATCAGCTAGCGAACTAGATGCCTGTCTTAATACCGGTAAACTGCAGTTCATATATTCGACATGGTCGGTTGTCATTCCAAAACCGAAAGATGAAGTACCTAGACTGGTCATCTCTTCTTGCATATATTAATTCAACTGTTGCTGTGGAACCAGTTAAATTGGCTGTCGTAATCTAGGAACTCAATTTTTTGTACTCAGGAACACCTACACCAGTGTGTGGTTAAATAATGGGGGTTGTTAAAACCACCTTCAACAGTTCTAGATAACAACTATATTTCAGCTGGTTATCACTTTGATTGGTTGGAGGATTTCATCATGAACTGACATCAGTTAGAGAACCATTGGAAAACCATCTGTGAGTACTGGACACCTGTTTCCCACATCCTAGTTTGGAACTCTTCATCAGTACTCACCCATCCACCTCCAAGGTTCGAACCCAGGACCTACAAGTTACAAGGCTAGCGAGCTTGTAGACCATAGAGCCACTCACTGGGACCCAACCAATCCAATGGCCAGTCAGTCCATGGATTCTAGCTTCTGCCAATTCATGCACGACATAGCGCAACCATTTCGAAATGTCTTCTTTGACCATTTACTGTCTCACCTTCAACCTGATGTACCCTACTGGTCATGGATTCCCACTAGAACCCCAGGTAACTACCTATCTGAATAGTGCCAGTCGCTAGCTAGTGAGCATCACATTAATTGATTTTCAAGTATTGGTTTTTGTAGGGATTTTTTGTTCGATTGATTTGAGGATTTCATCATAAGCTGACATCTGTTAGAGAACCACTGGGAAACTTTTCAAGAAACAAAATCTATTGATCTGATGCGTAATCGTTATATTTGAGCTGTTAATTTGTTATAACGGTAATGAACTCGACTGATACGCTGATATGCGCCTATTTGTCCGTTGTACCTTCCGCCTGACTGAACCAGCCACGCGAATATCAAAAGACAAATACTGGCCTGTGTCTGTAAGATACTGCATATATTTATACATTTTCTTTAACATGATAAAATCGGCTCACAGCTGTGACAATTAAACATCTCATCCAACAGCTGTACGACAATGTTGCATGCCAAGTAATCCACAACGGGAAACTTATGGAATCCTTCGAAGTGAAGACGAGAGTAAGACAAGTCTGGCTGCCTAGTATCTCCAATGATTAATTTCCTGATTGCAGTAGACTGGATAATGCGACAAACAGCGGGCAATGAGGAGATAGGCATAAAATGGACTCACACAAAATACTTGGAGGATCTGGACTTCGCCGATGATATATGTCTGATTTCCCACAAACTGGAAGATATGCAAGCGAAAAGCAACAAGTTGGCAGAACAAGCATCCAGAGAAGATAGGACTTCACTTGAACATAGAGAAAACAGAGGTGATGAAGATTCCTGGACAAGAACAACAACAACAGACAACGATCAGCCAGCATAAATGAGAGAAATTCAAAAGAAACAACCTCTTTTACCCACCTGGGAAGCATCGTCTCAACTACAGGCGGACGGAACTGATGAGGATATCAAAGCAAGAATCGGAAAAGCAAGACAAGCTTTCACTACTCTCAAGTCTGTGTGGAGGTCAACACTCAGCACTTAGCATCAAAAATAAGATGTGGATTTTCAACTCCAATGTGAAGTCAGTCAGTGCTACTATACGGATCAGAGACTTGCACTGCGCGTCATGAAGGGCATCTCAAACAAACTACAGACCTTCATTACCAGTTATCTTCGTTCAATACTCAAGATCAAATGGCCGGCCAGAAAAGATCAGCAACAGGGATTTCTGGGAGTGAAACAACACAGCAGGAACCGATTGTGAAACAAATAGGCAGAAAGAAATGGAGATGGATTGGCTGGCCATACTCTGAGGAAACAAGCCATGAAGTGACATCACTAGGCAAGCCACTGCTCGAGTGGAACCCGAAAGGGAAGCGGCGAGTTGGTTGTCAGTGGTTGAGGGTGGTTTGGAGGAGGTCATGTGAAGAGGAGATGAAAACGTGTGGGTAGACTTGGAGCCAGGTGAAGACTTTAGCAGTTAACCGAACGCAATGGAGACGCGCGGCTGAAGCCCTATGTTCCTGTAGAAATTAAAGGAAACAATAATAATAATACGCAGCCATGGGAATAGATTGTTCTTATTGGCTAGCAATAGCCATTCTGATTGGCCGGTGATCCGACAAAGACTAAGGTTAGACAAAAGATGATGAACTGATCTCATACACTAAATCACAATATTCACGATTCAAGGATGATATACTTCTATTTTATGCTAGATTCTATCAATAATCTACCTTAATATAAAATTTCTGGGAAAACTTACTCATAATAGTATCTCAAATCCTGATATATTAATATTAATAAAAGTATCCTCTAAAGGGGAATTAAAAGCAGCCAGTATCGTCTAAGAAGATACAGCGAGCATATCTGACACTTTTCTTTAGAATGTAAGACAGTTATTACATATGTATATTCCCTTGGGTTCTGAGGGAAGCGTAGGACTTCAACTGCATATCACTATGTGGCTAGCTGCTCCCGCTCTTAGCTCGCTCCACGACTACCTATAAGCTTTCACCCCACCCCTCACTTTTTTTATTCCTTTACGTTCCGAGTGCTGAAGCATAGGACTTCAAGCTAGAGCTTTGAAGTTTCGGTAACAGTGGTGTTTATTTTTTGACGGGATGGGGTTGCTAGCCACATGCCCAACCTTCCCTCTTTACCAGTCTTATTACTACTGGCTTAGTGAGGTAAAGGAGTGCGTCCAGTGGCCCGGGGATCGAACTGTGAGCCACCTGACGCGTGGTCGGCAGACATTCTACTACTATGCCACAAACGCCCCCTCCCCTCAAGTGATCTCCTCCTTATCATCCTAGGACACCTAACTTGCCATTTCCTATTCGGATATCATTTGAAGGCCCGGCGCATGATATCACCTAACGATCTCCTCAGAATGCATCCAATCTATCTCCATTTTCTTTGGAATATATGTTCAGTAATCGATTCTTGACTGGTTCCTTCCTAGGGTTCCTTGTCGCTAATTCTTTCTAGCCTACCATCTGATGTTCAGTATAGAGCGAAGACAGTTGTTGATAAAAGTCTTGGAAAAGCTTTCCATGACACGCCTAGTATCTGAATGATAAAGAAGAACTCACTGTCTTGACATTAATGTTGAGTATACGAATTCTTTTTTCCCTGTGCTGAGTACAGAAGATTTCCAAGCTGAATGCAGAGTGAGGAAAATCTGCTTTGCCTATTCGATTGTGGTTTGAACATCTTGATTCCTTCCACGTACAGTTGAAAGTGATAAATGACCCGTTTCAAAATTTATTCCATTGTTATTGAATGGTTTTTTTGCTTCATTTCATTCAGTGTCTGTAAGTATGGTATGTACTTTGCGCCGTCTAAGTGCAAAGTACTGATACAAGATTGGCAGGAGCCTGTACCTGCACTCACTCTTGTGGGTGAACCGCTTTAAGTTGTTGATAAGTTTGTGTATCTGGGTAGTTGTGTGAGTGCTGGCGGAGGGGTGACGGATGAGATTTCCAATCGTATAATGAAGGCTAGGGTGGCATATATCAACTTCAGCGCCGTCGCTACGTTAGCCTGGCTGTCAAAGGTCAGCCATACAATGCTTCGGTGCGGGCTGTCTTGCTCTACGCCTGTGAAACCTAGCCTCTCCGAGCTGAGGATTTGCGGCGGCTCTGCATGTTCGATCATCTCTGTCTCCGGAGGATTGCTTGCGTTCGACGAAAATAATCGCTTCAGTAATTCTGGGGTTCGGCGGCGTGTGTTTGAACACAGTAGAGATCACCATTCACTGAGTGTCGTCATCTGGAAACACCGGCTCCGGTGGCTTGGACAAGTGCTGCGAATGTCATCCCAGAGGCTTCCGTACCGATCCCTGTTCTCTCGTCCTGAAACGGATGGAAAAAGTGGATAGGTGGTGGTTGGTCCATGACGGGGCGTCGTGGGATGAAGGATGTTTGTGTTAGACTAGCATCGGTCGGTGCGTCATGACTCCCGAATCGATGGCTCGAAACGTTATCAGATATGGACAAGAATCATAATCAATGGCGATTTCCTTCTTTCTTTCCTTTCCGACAATAATTGACGAATGATTTTTGTACTTGCTACGAATGACTGTTTTCCTTCCAGATGAAGTTCTTTACCCTTTCTCTACTTATATTTTTTTACCTTTGATCTATGTTGTTTTATTATTATTGTGTGGCGCATCTTTCTTGGTGCCATATTGTACCAAGTTTTTTTCTGCGTTTTATGTAAACAAAAAAATATTGAATGGTGCTTGTTGGTGTTGTTTGTTAGTTGGCCATCTTCATCACCTCCATCTTCCTCCAATGTTCACTTGAAATCTTCTCTTCACTGTCTGCCTCTTCTTCCAAGCTGTTGATTTTCGTCTGTACATCTTCCAATTAATATGACACAACATATATATGGTCCGCGAAGTCCAGATCTTCTGGAGTCTTCTTACAAGTTCAATATATTCCTGTCTTTTTTTAATAATAATAATAATCACTTTATTCCACAACAATAACAATTTACAGCATGGAATTTTCAGCGTTTCTTTTACATATTGCAATGGTTTAGCTCTGTTTATAATTATATAAATGTATAAAATGTTAAAATATTGATAGTTAATAGGAAAAATAAAAACCTGAACAAAATCACACCATTGCTAGGTCATAGTGAATAATAAATAAATAATATAACAAATAACACATGCATTAATATGCATCCTTACATTTTATAGTTTAGTTAATGATTTAAAAGTTGTAAAAGTTCTTTTCTGATATTTATCTCTTCACACAATACTCGTGCCAAATATGGTACGGTCGAATTTTTATATTTTGTAGTACGAGCATAAATGTTTATGAAATTTCTTCTGGTCTTACCCGAAGAGATACAAGGAAACAATTGTGAATAAAGAGGATGTTCACTATCAGACAAGATAACTTTAGCTAAGTGTTTACAAGAATTCATATGCCTATTGACAACAGTGTCGGTTAGTTGAGTCAAAGGGATAGCACTGACCCTACTTACAACCTTCAATGTTCTTCGTAGTATTATGTGGTCTTTCTTGAGTAGCCCAGGGAAGAATAATGGAGAACAATAAAGAATGATGGGCAAAACACATGAATTAATAAATTGTATGAGAAGAGATTGAGTTATACCTGAGTGCCTCAACTTCTTTATGTAATAAGTCAGACAGAAAATCTTTTTAGAAACTATAAGAATATTTATAATTTTTTTATTATTTTGATTTGCAGCTTGATTCCACACCGTATTTTTAGTACAGGTATGGAATTTTCAGCATGGATATCGGTAGCCCAAATTCAGGCCGACCATAGATATCGGGTGTGCGCCGGCAGGGGATCGAACCCCGGACCATGTGCATGGTCGGCGAGAGTCCTAACCACTGTGCCACCGACGCACACACCGACTAGCAAAGGTTTGAAGAGAAACTAATGCCAAGATAAGAAACACTTGACTTACTCTAGAGAGTAAGTCATGGTACCATCAATATTACAACAATCATGAGATTGGATCAATCCATGCATGTCTTTTTCACTTCTCAAGCTGAAATCAACAGTATTACATTTAGTTGGATTTAGTTTAAGACCATTTGAGCCAGACCAATCCTTAACTTCAGCTAAGAAGCCATTCATATGAGAACAATCCGATGTGGAAACTACAGGGACAGAAACGGTCAGATCATCAGCATACTTAATGAAGTTAACTTTGGGTGAGTTCGGAAGGTCATGCAAAAAGAAAAAGAAAAGAAATGGAGAAAGTACTGCACCTTGAGGTGCAGTCTTCTCACTCCCCATAATCTTCCACCTAATCGAGTTCACTAAAATCAGAAATATCAACGGTGATAGTAGGTGGGCAGGCCTGTCTTACTTCTCTTCACACTTCAAAGGTAGAAGACGACAGGCTTCTTAAAGGAATATTGATCCCTATTCAGCGAAATTATGTACACCTTATCTTCAAATCACCATCTGCACAGATCTTCCGTGTTGTGCTTGCTACTTCTGGTCCTCCTCCATATTGTGTGTGTGTGTTTCTTTGTGTTCCTTTCACGTCGTCTTGTAACGACAGAAGACAAGAGGTAGGCAACAGATCGTTTATTGGGATAATCTACAGATATTTATAGATTTTTATGTACATTATTTTTATTATTCGTTATTGTTAGCAGAGAAGCAACGTCTTCTGATTGGTTGTTTTCTTGCTCAAGGTTATTCTGTCATCGTATCCGCCCACGCCAAGTCTGCTGTGATTGGTTGTTGAGTTCCTCAAGGTTGAGCCTTGTTCTTGTTTTTTCTCATGCCCCCGATTTGGGACGTAAACATTGACGTAAATTGCTATCTACCAATTTTGGCTAGCAGACAGCTCTCACCACAGTCCTGCATGTATCTCCTCAACGTTGAATCATTTGCTTTCTCTGGCATCAAATATATCTATCTCCCTGATAGTCGATGTCTTTCTACCGATGAACGTCTCTTTATACATACTACTGACAAATCTTATGAGTAGCCCTACTACTGCATTTATAATCGATTATAGACCAGTGACACAATCTAACTTAATTCTCTTCTACACTTTTCTTTCTTCTTTCCTTCTACAGGACGTGAAAGCGGTATTGAGTCAAGTATCCGTGAAAATCGTCAGTCGAACGACATCAGTGGGGTATTAGATGAACAAACTGAACGACAACTATCAGAAAATATAAAAGTACACGACACTGGTGTTCCAGATGAAGACAGAGATGATGGTGATGATGATGACAAGTCCATGCTGAATAATCTCCAATTATCTCCTAGCTTGTCACCGCCATCGCATAATTCACAAATGACACTTTTAACCGCTGGCGTCTCATTGACAGCATTAATTCTTATCTTTGGTCTAGTCTGTTTCCTTATCATCCTGTGCAAACGACGACGTCTATCCGATGTGGTTATAAATAAATATCAAATAACTGAGAATCATCATAAAACCGCTATATCACCATCAGCAATACAAAATAACACCGACAATATTCAATTTAAAACACGTTATAAATTAAGTTATGCAATATTACGTCGATTGGCATTTCATCGACGACGTAAAAGTCAACGAAAATTGTTTAGTTCATTTAATCTAACTGAAATGCATTGTCCACCGCCAGGAATTGGTAGTTCTATCGCCGCCAATCTTCATTCCACTCCTCTGGCGTATGAATTTTCAGGATACACGAATCCAACAGCCAATAATGGATTACTTTATTCTCAATCGAATGGTGAGATAAGAAATTTCACTAATTCTTTAGATACTACTAACAATAATAACAGTAGTAATAATAATACAGCTGCAGAAATGAATCCAAACTATGCGTCAGATTCACCGAATACAACCCTGTGTCAAACTGATCATAATAATATTAGTAATAATCCTTATACACCATCACGATTGAATCGTGCTGATTCAATTTCAATGAGCTATCGTCCATGTCAGTTGATGAACTCGCCACCGTCACCAAGTACTGTATACAACAACATTAATACATCTGGTTACATGAAATCTGGACAAAATGATTTAGGCATTACTTGTAATGGAGTTGGTGGTGCATTGGGTAGTTTAAAATCTGTGAGTACAATGGGGTCAAAGAGTTTACAACCGTTGAATTCAACAGATTATGCAGGTGGTATGGCATGTGGCATGTTGTCACCGATTTCTAATGGACGTGGTCGAAATATGCTTAGTTCTATACCAAGTAAGTTTATGTTTGTATATTGCTTAGATTTGACTTTGAGATTCAAGCATTTCTGTTAGGTTTCCTTGATATTCCTTTGAATTTTATGGTATACGATACTCTAACGAATGCAGAAATCTTGAATGCGTTCATGCTACGGAACACCAGCCGGCCGGGAAAGCGGCAGGACCAGACGGAATTCCCTCCCTCCACTGCGAAGCACTGAAAACGAACACAGAGACTGCGGTAGCTATTCTCATGCCATTATTGCAAAAAGTTCGGAATGATAGAAGGAAAGGTACCTACCGATTGTAAGAAAAGCTGGCTACCTTGTCAAGCTGCTAAAGAAGGGCGACTGAGTTAGGCCTCTGCAAGAACTGGCGTGGAGTAACGCTCTTGTCCACTCATTCCAAGTCGCGTCATCTTGGAGAGAATAAAGGATGCACTGGATACAGAATCCCGCTCCCCCCCCCACCCGAAACAAGCCACATTCAAGAAAGGCAAATCATATGCTGATCAAATTGCAACTCTACGCATCTTCGTCATCACAGAACAAAGCATAGAATAGCAGTCAAACCTGTACCTCATCAGCTTCATAGACTTAGAGAAGGCCGACAACAGAGTTGACTGTGAAGTAATTTGGAAACTGCTTCAACACTATGGAGTGCGATGCCCAAAATCTTTATCAACCTCATTCAACAGCTGGTTAGATGACAGTGCCACGTGTCAGGCGATCCACAACGGGAAACTCATTGAGATGTCTGAAGTGAATACAGGAGTAAGACAGGACTGTCTACTATCACCGGTGATATTCCTAATTGTGGTGGACAGACTGGATTATGCGTCAGACTGTGTGTGGGGAGTGAGGAGACAGGAATACGCTGGACTACCGATTAGAAGACTCTAGAAGATCTGGATCTCGCAGATGACATATGTCTAGTTTCATGCAAACTCGAAGACTTACAGGCGAAAATCAACAAGCTGGCTGAAGAGGCTGGCTGGCAGCGAAGACAGGACTCCAGATGAACATAGAGAAGACGGAGGTGATGGAGATAACCAACAAACATCAACAACGACCAGTATCAATCAGCATCAACGGGAGAGATTTGACAGAGGTTACTTCCTTCACTTATCTAGGAAACATCGTTTCAACCACAGGTACACAAACGGATAAAGATGGCAACACCAGCCAGCCAGAATCGGAAAGGCAAGATACACCCTTATCAACCTGAAACCAGTCTCAAAGTTTTATGTACTCAGTCAGCATAAAGAACAAGATTCGGACTTTCAACACCAATGTCAAGTTGGTCCTTCTATATGGGAGTCAAAAAATTGCACTCCATGTAACAAAAAGGATTTCCAACAGTCTGTTTCAGACTTTCATCAACAGCTGCCTTCACTGGCTCCATACTGAAGATCAAATGGCCAGAAAGAATTAGTAACAAGAAACTCTGGCAATGAGTGAACCGACCAAGCGCCGATAGCTCAACAGATATTTAGGATAAAATGGAGATGGATTGATTGGGCATACATTGAGGAGGCCTTCAAATGACATCGCGCGCCATGCAGGCCGTAGCTCGAATGGAATCCAAATGGGAAGCGACGAGTTGGTGGTCAATGAGATGGTCGCATTGAGAAGGTCGTGTGAAGAAGAGATGAGAGAATACGGGCAATCGTGGAGATGACCAGCTGAAGAGGATGGTAGAAAATAGAAGACAGTGGAGATGTGTTTATTGAAGCCGTATGTTCCACTTGGAACTCAAGGGAATAATAATAATAACACTAAACTAGACGAAGTCAAGATTAGATGACACTATGAGTACGAAAAACCAAGACCCTTTAAATATTTTCCTTATAACGCTTGAAAGATGTATAGCGTCTTACAGTATATGAATAAAATTGATGACTTGATCTATAATCGTATGATCATGTTAATTAATTTAACCTCCCGCTAATTTCCTTTTCCTTTTTTTTATCTCTCAACCTTCCACCAATATCTCAAGGTCGACCACAATTGTACAAGCCTATTCTAGTATCAAATTTAATTGAATATGTACAAAATTTAAAAGCAGATAATGGACGTTTAATGGCAGCTGAATTTGAATCTATCGATCCAGGCGGACCATTCACCTGGGAACATTCAAATCGACCAGGGAATAGAAATAAAAATCGTTATGCTAATGTTGTCGCCTATGATCATTCACGTGTTATCCTTCAGTTGAATTCAGCTATGGAACCAGATTCTGATTATATTAATGCTAATTACTTGGATGGTTATTGTAAGCAAAATGCTTATATTGCTACACAAGTGAGTCAATATTATTTCGTTATCGTTATTACTTTTACTACTTATAAATTTTGTCAGTAGTTAAATGTAAATGTCTAAAAAGGTTGGGAATACGGTGAATTGAGATTAAGGGATTTGTGGGGATTTCGATTAATTTGATTCTGTCAAGAAAAAACATTATTCGGAGAGGCTGTGAGCATCTCTTTCAAACTAGCTAGGAATCTCCATGGATACACACTTGCGATCTCAGCAGGAATTGAACTCAGGAATATCAGCCTATGAGACCAATCCCGTTGACCATTCAGCCACCTTGGTTGGTGGCACAGCGGTTAAGACGCTCGCCGACCATGCACATGGTCTGGGGTTCGATCCCTGGCCGACGCACACTCGATATCAATGGTCGGCCTGCGAAATTTGGGCTACCGACATCACATGCTGAAAATTTCATACTTGTACGAAAAATATGGTGTGGAGTCAAGCTATAATAAAAAATTAAAAAATAAAATAAATAAAAATTCTGGGAAGCGTGAATCTGAACTAAGTCAATTTATGATAATTTCAAGCGTTAGTTTGTAGGGATTTGATTGATGCCAGTGGAAGGATCATTAGAAACGACACAGGTGTTTTAACTGGAAGTTAACATTCCCATCAGCCAAGATAAATGTATCATCGACATATCGGTAATACATATCAAACTCTTTGATGATGTCCTTCAGTTTCCCGTTTTCAAGTTTTGCGAGAAAGAAGTCAGCTAATATTGGGCCTAATGGTGAACCACCCATAGCTATTCCATCTACTTGTCGATAGTATGAATTATTGAAGACAAAGTGAACATTCATTGTATATTTAAGAAGTAATTCTTTGAGGCTACACAAGGGAATTCCTAAATCTAATTGCCTTTCGGTCATTTCTTGACAAATATAATCTACTGTTTCCATAAGCGGTACATTAGTGAATAGTGATGATACATCCATGGATAATAACATGCGTTTATACCTCACATTAATTAGCCTCGGATATTTTAGAAATATTATTTATTATTCCTTTTACGTTTCCAGTGCTGGATGGAACATAGGGCTTCAAGCTAGAGGCTTGAAGTTTCTGTAGCAGTGGTGATTATTTTTACAAGATGGGGTTGCTAGCCACCTCATGCTAGCCCAACCTTTCCTCTTTACCAGTCTTATTACTACTGGCTTAGCGAGGTAAAGGAGTGCTTCCAATGGCCGGGGATCGAACCCCAAACCACATGAAGCGTGGCTGGCGGAGAGCACTCTACCGCTGTGACACCGACGCACATTTCGACTTGGGGTTCGAAAACTCCTTTGAGGATTACCTATATAACTGTCTCTACAGAAACAATCTATCTTTAGTACACTCTGTCAGTATCCATTTGACTGACAACGCATTGAAAATTCTTTCAATTGATCATACCAACCTACAGCTTATTATTATTATTATCAGTACTAATGTTTCTCCCCTCCCCTCAACCCACCTCCCTTTCCATTTCGCCCCTCCATTTTCAACAGGGTCCACTACCGCATACAATTAATGATTTCTGGCGTATGGTCTGGGAACAACATTCAGCTATGATTGTATCAATGACACGATTGGAAGAGAAAGCTCGTATCAAATGTGAACAATACTGGCCTGGTAGTATTGGTCTAACCACCAATGGAAATGGCGTTGCAGTTGTTGATAACAGCTCCAATATGAATGTTGGCGGTGGTGGTATCCATAGCAACAGTGTTCTGTTATCGTGTAAACCAAGTCCAAGTATATCATCACGGCTGAATTCTTCCGCCTCTTTAACTTCATGTAAAAAGGCGAATGATTTTAAAATGAAAGTTTATGACAATAAAGGCATCTTTCCTCCACCGGTGAATTTTAGAACATCTTTAGAACGAGGTAATATTGGTAATAATAATCATAATAATCATGTTGATGATGATCGCGACGAGGATGAGGATGACGAACATATCACACTGAATGGAGGAGATTTAATGTTCACTAATGGATTTTCACATTTATCACAAGGTAAGTGAATGATTAAGTAATAGACACCTTTTCTCTATTTTGTTTTATTTTATTTTTCTATAGTTGATTTGTAAGGATTATTTTTGTTTTGTTTTGTTTTTACGACTTTGATCACGGATTGATATCAGTTGGAGAAGAAGCATTAAAAAACAGCCACAGGGGAGTCTGTCTGTCTGTTTTCGACATAGAACTTTGCACATATGTGCAGCAGTTCAAGTCGCCACGCTCCCTCCATGTAGCACACAAAACAACAGAAGAAAGTAGGAGAAGTGCATAATATAGACAGTAAACAGAGGTGTGAGACAAAGGTATAGTAATAACGAAGAACAAAACAGTTTCATTGGAAATCATAAGTCACAAGGAGTGGATGCATCTGCGCCATTGAGAACGACTTTGAGCCATATCACCAATTGTCTTCAGCCACTGGTTTTTACCGTCTCGAAGACCTGCCTACGTGACTGGCTTAGACTAACTGTCGTAGATTTCATTGACTGATGCCATATTTTGGTTTGACCGCCGCTAGTTTTTTTCCAACCTGACCCTATATCAGCTAACATTGCCCTTTGTCGAGGAAGGCGATGACTAGGCATGCATGCATAACACATGTCCTAACCATCTCAGTCGATGTAGTTTAACAGTCTTGTCGATTGATTTCCCCTCCTTACCTAGCACTCGACCGATGGCCTAACCTCAATATTGCTCACCTTATTATACCAATTCACACGGGAGATAGAACGCAGGCACCCATGATCAAAGGTAGCTAGCCAGGCTTTTCATGTCTTCCACTCTCAATGGCCATGTCTGACTCACAGCCATAAAGGAGGACGGAGCGGACTGTTGAGCAGTACACACGCCCTTTGGTCGATAGCCAACCAGCCGGATATCACGTCTACGCCAGAGACGGCGTTAACTGGCATATGCGAAACTAGCCATCTGTATCTGTACACAGAGATTTCGTCAGAGATCAAGCCGTTAGGGCTGATGGTACTTCCCAAGTAGGTGAAGCGGTCAACGTGCTCTACCACTTCACTTCCTATTTCTAATCTAGGTGTCGGTGTAGTCCAATCCTGAAACATCATCTTGCATTTGGCGGGAGCGAATCGCATCCCAAACATTCGTAGATTGCAGCTTAAGGTCCACAGGGGAGTTCTGGACAGCCAGCTGTTTCATCTGCCCAGTTTGACAATTATCGGCAGTACGCACCCACCCACCTCTAGGGTTTGAACCCAGGACCATCCGGTTACAAGGTAAGCTGGCTTGTACCATACCATTACTCAGCCAGTGGGACCCGACTCTTCACTGGCCAGCCCATGAATTCTAACTTCAATCAATTCATGATTTAACGCGACCCCAACCAAGAGGAACACTGGGCTCCAAGCTTGAGCTTTAACAGTTTCAATAGCACACTGCCTTTCCAACCTTCCCCCTTTACCTGAATAAACTGACGGCTAAGCGGGGTTCTAGAATGCATCTGTCGATCGCAAGTCAAACCCAGACCACATACAACCAATAAACCGCTGATACACCTTTAAGGTCTAACTCAAAGTTAGGTGTGTAGACGGGCAGCAGACTCGTGAATGGCTAGTTAAACCGGACTGCTCAAACAGTGTAAAAGGGGTTAAAATAATTATCAGGGTATGGCAAGATGTGGCACATCAATGATTACGTAATATATATATATAATGCTTCACAAGAGAGAACCAACAAGTTAGCAGAAGAGGCGTTGAAGACACGACTTCAGGTGAATATAAAGAAGATAGAGGTGATGAAGATATCCACTGGCCAACAATAAAAACAGGTACTAATCATCATTGGTTATAGGATTTCATCATGAGCTGACATCAGTTAGAGAACCATTGGAAAACCAACTGGGAGTACTGGACAGCTGTTTCGTCCTGGTTTGGGACTCTTTATCAGTAAGCACCCATACTACGGGGTTCGAACCCAGGACCTTCTGGTTACAAGGCTAGCGAGCTCGTAGACCATTAAGCCAGCTACTGGGATCCGATCCAATGGCCAGTCCATGAATTATAAATTCTGCCAATTCACGATATAGCTCAACTGCTACATATTCGGTATCCTACACTGGTGTCAAATAAGTTATTATGTATGGTTTAGAACGCCACATTACGGATCATCATTGAACAAAGCTTGGAATGGCAGTCACCTCTCTATCTCAACTTCATCGACTTTGAAAAGGCCTTTGACAGCGTCGATCGAGAGGTGATTTGGAAACTACTTCGCTACTACGGGGTGCCACCGACAATTATACATCTCATCCAACAGCTATACGACAATGCTGCATGCCAAGTAATCCACAATGGGAAACTTACGGAACCCTTCGAAGTGAGAACAGGAGTAAGACAAGTTGGCTGCCTACTATCGCCAATGATTGATTTCCTGATTGCAGTAGACTGGATAATACGACAAACAGCGGCCAATGAGGAAACAGGCATAAAATGGACTCACACAAAAAACTTGGAGGATGTGAACTTCGCTGATGATATTTGTCTGATTTCCCACAAACTGGAAGATATGCAAGCGAAAAGCAACAAGTTGGCAGAAGAAGCATCCAGAGAAGATAGGACTTCAGGTGAACATAGAGAAAACAGAGGTGATGAAGATTCCTGGGCAACACCACCAACAGCAACAACAACAACAGACAACAATCAGCGTTAATGGAAGGAACCTGAAAGAAACAACCTCTTTACCTACCTGGGAAGCATCGTTTCAACTACAGGCGGACGGAACTGATGAGGATATCAAAGCAAGACTCGGAAAAGCAAGACAAGCTTTCACTACTCTCAAGTCTGTGTGGCGGTCAACACTCAGCACTCAGCATCAAAAATAAGATCCGGATTTTCAACTCCAATGTGAAGTCAGTCAGTGCTACTCACTATACGGATCAGAGACTTGCAATGCGCGTCATCACGAGCATCTCAAACAAACTACAGACCTTCATTAACAGCCAGTTGTCTTCGCTCAATGCTACTCAAGATCAGATGGCCGACCAGAAAAGATCAGCAACAGAGAGGGCTCTCTGGCAATGAGCGAACCAACACAGCAGGAACCGATTGTGAAACAAATAAGCAGGAAGAAATGGAGCTGCATTGGATCGGCCATACTCTGAGGAAACCATCAAGTGACATCACTAGACAAGCCATTGCTCGAGTGGAACCCGACGGAATGGGAAGCGGCGAGTTGGTTGTCAGTGGTTGAGGGTGACTTGGAGGAGGTCATGTGAAGAGGAGATAAAAACGTGTGGGCAGACATGGAGCCAGGTGAAGAATCTAGCAGAGAACAGAACGCAATGGAGACGCGCGACTGAAGCCCTATGTTCCTGTAGGAATTAAAGGATACAATAATAATAATAATAATGGTTTAGAAATTTCATCGGTGTGCTAACAAAAACAAACCAAAATTTAAAAAAAAAAACTATTACAGGCATCTTCTTTCACTCGATGATACTGAACATCGTCGAATGACCGATATGAAAGGATATGTATTATGGAATCTAGTAAATATGCAGAATGAAATGAGAGCGAATGAACTGGACATACACTGTGGAAATACTTAAAGGACATCATACAACAGGCTATAGAGTGGAAACTGAGTAGGAAGAGAAGAGTTAAGCATGCATACAAGAGTAACACGACGGAGATCATATGACGGAGGAATATTGCAAGTTTATGGTCAACTATGGGGGTAGCTGAAAAAATGGCTTCTGAGAACACAACCAAACACTGAGATTTTGCAGAATCTCTATGTACCACTCAGAACCCAAAGGAAGAATCACAGTAATATAATTGGTAGGGTCATATCAATTATATTACTATTATTTGTCCTTGAATATACACGCTCGACCAAAAGGCGGGTATACTGTCCAACAGTCTCCTCTGTCCTCCTTTATGGTTGGCTGTGAGTGAGACATGGCCATTGAAAGTGGAAGACATGAAAAGGCCGGCTAGCTAGCTGTGTTTTATCATAGGCGTCTGCGTCCTATCTCTCGAGTTAGGTGGTAGGTGTAATAGGGTGAGCATCCACCGAGTGCTAGGTAAGGAAAGGAAATCAATCGACGAGGCTGCTAAGTTACATCGATTGAGAGAGAAATGGTTAGGACATGTGTTACGCATGCCTGCCTAGCCATCGCCTTCTTCGATGGACAGTGTTACGTAACATAGGATGGATCAGGTTAGAAAAGAGCCAGTTAGTGGTGGTCAAACCAAAACATGACTTGGTCAGTCATTGAAATCCACAGCAGTTAGTTTAAGCCACGTAGGAAGGTGTAGACTTCATTGTTGGGGTCCTTGGGAAGGTAAACACCAATGAAGGCTGGAGACAATAGGTAATATGCGCCGAAATCGTTATCAATGCGTAGTGCAGATACATCCACTCCTTGTGACTTACAATTTACAATAAAACTATATTGTTCTTCGATATTACTATTCTTTTTGCCTCATATCTCTATTTACTGTCTTAATTTTGCATTTATTTTTACTTTCTTCTTCTGCTTCGTGTGCTGCATGCAGGAAGTGCGACGACTCGAACTGCTGCACATCTGTGCAAAGTTCTATGTTGAAACCAGTCCGTCAGTTAGTCATAATTAATAGAGTGCATAATGACACCGTATTATTTATGTTTTGACTACATATTTTCGGGGTGATATTTAAGTATTCATGCAAATTTCTCATTCTTCCCTTCCATATTTTTTTTTATTCCTTCACGTTCCCAGTGGAACATAGGGCTTCGAGCTAATGACCTGAAGTTTCTGTTGCAGTGGTGTTTTGTTTTTACGGGATGGGGTTGCTAACCTCATGCCCAACCTTCTCCCTTTACCAGACTTAATACTGGCTTAGCGTGGTGAAAGAGTGCGTCCAGTGGCCGGGGATCGAACCCCGGCCTGGACTACGTGGGTGGTCGGCGAGCATTCTACCGCTGTGCCACCGACGCACTCCCTTCCATATCATTAATGTTAACTTGGAGTAACCATTACACTCCTATGGGAGAGGTTAATCGGAAACTCGAACAGCTCATTGGTAACGTCTCTGAGTACAAGCAACACTATGTGACCCGACTTGGAATTTCAGAAGGAGCATGAGTTCCTTCAAGACAGTAGATATGCCTTACTGTGACACGACTGCCAGCCAGTAAACACCGAACCTAGGTCCCCTCTATGGCTTTCTGCCGATTGCCTTTGACCATCTAACAACTATCATATATATACATGTATTTCCCCGCCCCCATTTCAAGGTCACATATCTATCTAATCGATTTGTTTTTCATTGATACACACATTAGGTACAGTCAACTTTGGTGATATCTCAGTCAGTTTGTTAGAGACGATAGAATTGGCCTATTACACTGTACGTTCATTTGTACTTCAAAAAGTTGGGTAAGTTTTGCACATATTCCTGTTTTGTGTTATATGTTCTTCAAATATTCATAAGTTTGAAAACTCCCGCTTATAAATTTATTGCGAAGAAATATATTTACATTATATTGTAACGGCAGAAGACAAGGGCCAGGCAACAGATCGTTTATTCAGAAAATCAACAGATATTTATAGATTATAATGTACATTATTGTCGGTGGAGAAGCAACGTCTTCTGATTGGTTGTTTTCTTGTTCAAAGGTTATTCTATACTGCTTGTGGCCGTTTCTTAGAAAGTTAAGCCATATATCTGCGAATCGTATTTGCACACGTTAAGTCGCCCGTGACTGGTCGTTAAGTTCCTCAAGGTTAGGGTTTGTTCTTGTTTTTTCTTCCTCATGACCCCGACTCAGGACGTAGACATTGATGTAAATGTTTGTCTACAACTTCGGCTATTAGACATCTGTTTCGTCCTTATTTGAGACTCTTCAGCAATGGACGCACAAGACCTCGATTGGTTGAAATCGCCAGGACATATAATACACATGCTAATTCATTGCTTTCTTCAATAAGTAGTATAAGCTGACAAAATAGGACTAGTGTGGAAGAGAGTTAGCAGAAGGTCAGATGAAAATATGCCATATATCTATCGTTGGTTTTATCCATAAAGCTGGGGTGGTGGGTGTAGACTGCTCAGAAATCCTCAGTAACTTTCGCCTGTACATTTTCGTTCATTGTAAGTTTCATGACATTTCCTTCGTCTACTTGTACATGGCAATTTTGAAGTAAAGCGCCTTTTTTCAAAGTTCTACACTTATGAGTCAACCAAATTGATATCAGCCTTGGAAGGGATCAAAAATTAGGGAATCCTAGGCAGATGTCTCATCTTACTTAGACATAAAACCTTTAGTGCAATGTACCGACGATATTTTCATTCAATAACAGTGTAGTTTAATGTCAATGCATCTCCTGTTACATAATATTATCATCTTGTCGTCTTCTGATTACAGAACTTCGGAAAGAAGAGAAGTTCGTCAGCTACAGTTTACTGCATGGCCAGATCATGGAGTGCCAAATCATCCAGCACCATTGTTAATGTTTCTAAGACGTGTTCGAGCTGAATGTCCCGCGAATTCTGGTCCAATTATTGTACATTGTTCTGCAGGTGTTGGAAGAACCGGTAAGCTAATTACTGAAATATATCTATTCATTTATTTATTTTCAAAGTGCCTGTTTGAGGGCAACTGATCTGTGTAAGGTTTGATCACGGACTGATATAAGTTAGAGGGAACCATTGGAAACTTGGTAGGGAGTACTGAACAACTATTGTTTCCCATCTGATTGTGTTTTATTGATAACACTAATATTATTTCCGAATGCAATTCATCTTATATTGATTTTATTCAAATGTCTAATCATCAGTTTCACTCATGTATATAAATGAAGCAAGAAAGTTGTGTGAGTGAGTGACTTGATATAATTATGAGTAGCATTAATTTGCGCTCTTAACTTCATCTTCAGTTAATATTACTTATGGTATCTCTGTCTTTCTGGATTCAACATAGAACTGGGCACCGAAGTGCAGCAGTTCGAGTCGCCACGTTCCAAATATCACACAAAAGTAGACAAGAAAATGAGTGAAGAGAATCAATAGAGTTTTGACAAGTATAAGAGGGAAACAGAATGAGTAATGGCAGAAAGGAATATGAAAGATTACAGAGACTGAATACATCTGCTTAAGCCATTGACAACGATTTTGAGCCATGTCACCTATTGTCTCCAGCCATTGATTGAATCTTAGAGTCCCGAGGGCGGGCCCCAACCCGGAAGTCTGCATCTCCCTCCCTCCCTACCTGACTGACTCAGTTTAACTGTCAAGGATTTCATGGATTGATGAGGCCATGTTTTTGTTTCGCCACCACTTACTCTTTTCCAACCTGCACCACCTATATCAGCTAGTAATGCCCGTCCGTCGGGGGAGGCGATGGTTAGGCATCCGCAGCACGTCACCTAGCCATCTCAATCTATGTAACTTTATAGCCTTTTCTCTTCGATTGATTTTCCCTCTTTGCCCAATACTCTACGCCTAACGTCAACATTACTTACCTTATTATACCACTTAACGTGAGAAAGAGATCGTAGACATCTATGATCAAAAACAGTCAACCTTGTCATGTCTTCAACTCGTATTGACCATGTTTCATAGCCATAGAGAAGGACAGAGCGAACTGCTGAGCAGTACACACGTCCCTTGGATGATAGTCGGATGTCACGCCTACGCCAAAGACGGTGTAAGTTAGCGAAAACAGCCCGAGCTTTTTGGATCCGTGCTGAGATTTCGTCACCAATCAATCCGTTGGTGCTGATACAACTTCCCAAATAGGTGAAGTGGTCAACATGTTCTATCACTTCAATCCCTATCAATAAGGGACTTATGGTATAACACTGTGTGATTTATCAAAATAGACTTTTATTCATAAAGGAGTTATACTCTACCACCATAGTGACCAAGTTTTATCCTTGTATCTATACTCAATTTTGTTGATTGTCTTCTTCTATTTTATCCTTAACCTTCACTAGTGTTGATGAGTGTAAGGTGTCTGTTGCACGAAACAACAACAATAGTAGTAGCAACAATAATCTTAACAAATATTTCCTTTCCTTTCCTCTCCTCCGCTTCCCTCCAACAGGTGCATTTATCCTGCTGGACATCCTACTTGAACAAATGCGTCATGAAAAAGCCGTGGATGTTTTCAGCGCAGTGAGTCGTTTACGCGCCCAACGTAACTTCATGGTACAAACAGAAGACCAATACGCATTTATCTATGAAGCTTTAGTTGAAGCTGCATCGAGCGGTAATACAGAAATACCAGTTCAACAACTGGCCAATCACTGGACACGTTTAACCGATTTGAATCGTATCAAGTGTCAAGATCATCATCAATTGAATTCATCGGATCAGATCAGTTTGTCAGTGAAATCCTCTGTCTATACAAATTCAACAATATCAACTGGTTTAGAACTGGAATTTTATCATTTGCTGACCCAGTCGAATTTAACAAAGTTAATTTCATCAATTCCATCGTCAATTGGACTGTTATCACCGATTGATCCAATCTCGAATAAAGAAGATGAAAGAGGCGGGAATGGTTGTTCAAGTATACCACGTCTACCACCTCCAATTGGATTGGGTATGAATAAAACTGGATTGGCAGCAACTCTACCGGTAAGTAGAACCCTACATATATATATATATATATTGACTGATTAAAAATGCCCATTAAAATTTTCACAAGAATAGACACGGAACAAAGAGTACTCTTTTTGATAACTTCATCATCAGGTTCTACAATTATTTATACATTATAATGAATGAATTAGTCTTATGAACGACATTAATGTTGTTTGAATAACATCAAATCAATAATATTGATAAATTACAGCTGAACAGCATCAACATAAAATAAATTGAATGTCAGAAGAATTATGAAAGATAATAGTTCAAATTCATGAGTTTATAGTTTCTACTGAGGGCCAGGGCAGTAGAAGGGGCTGGACTTGTTTCTTTTGGACACAGAGCACTGGTTGTTTGAGGCGAATTGCAATAGCCTCTGCTGTTTGGAGAATGCGGTGCTTCGACGATTTTGGTAATTTGTTAGGCACCCGGTATATTATAGAGAAGGATTCTTCTACGCTGGCTTTGTGACCGGTTTGCACCAGATGGTCTAATATCGAGCTGTTAATAGTTTTAACTAAACCTTTACTTAGCCATAGTGGGAGATGTTCTCAAGCGAGCACGAAAAATCAAGTTCCTAGAGCAACGGCCAATATAACTCGCTCCACAAGTGTAGTTGAATTGGTAGATACAATTTGAAGTGGCTAGTCTTAATTTTCTTAATTTCTTTGAGCTGTCAAATGGATAATCTGGTCGCTTTTGAATGGTAGGTAGCTTTCTTTGGTACCGAAGCTGTCTTTTCGACATGTGGTCTTTCTTTACTATTGGTTATCCGGAAAACTTTATCACTTGTCACTGTAAAGAAAGACCACATCTTGAAAAGACGGCTTCTTTACTACCACTCAAGGTTGACCAGATTATGCAGTTGACAGCTAGCTCAAAGACTTCGGTCAGCCATCAAACGCACATTCTACGCCACATCTCTTTTTCTCACTTACCGAACATTTTCGATCCCTGTACCTACGATTAAAGGACGAAATTCTATGGACTCTACTTCAAACTGTATCTACAAGTTCACCTGCAGCTGCGATGACACCTATATAGGTAGAACCCCATAGAATGTTCCAATGTCGTCGAAAGGAATATGTTTCAGAATGGTTACTAAATCATATGGAAAATCCCAACGCGATTAATCTTAATAGAAATCCAGCATCATCCATTGCAAAGCACTTATTAATGTGTCAGGTCACAAAATCAATATTAATGACTGTTTCACAATTATTTCACATAACTCTAACTCAAGGTCGGTTATTGAAGGTGATGGAAGCACTTTGGAGATTAATCACATACAGCCTAAACTGTGTGTACATACGATTGGTCATTAGTATGTACTTTTGTTTTTATTTAACTGAGTAATTGTCATGAACTTTATTTTATTATTGTTAACCATGTTAGTTGTAAAGCGGTTGTAAAGAAACTACGAAATGACGATATCATCTCGCGAAATTTATCTTCTTAATGCCTTATTCAAATATATATATATATATATCATGGTAACAATTCTGTTGATTTGACTTAACAAAATCTTTCTCTTGTATTTTATTTTCCCCCATCATTATGTAGGTTAATATACCTAAAAATCGTAACCTGACGATTATACCGCATGATGCTAATCGTGTTGCACTGAAAGCTGTTCGTGGTGTTGATGGCTCTGATTATATCAATGCAAGTTATATCGATGGCTATAGGTCACGTGCTGGTTATATTGCAACACAAGCCCCAATGAACAATACACTAGAAGACTTTTGGCGAATGATATGGGAGTCTGGATCATGTTTAATTGTTAAGCTGGATAGTACTCTGACACCATCGATTGATGGTAAATTTATTGATTCAGTAAGTTTTATTATTATCATTATTATTATGCAATATAGTATTATATTATTGTGAATAATATTATTACTACCTCAGGTTCCATTTAATCCTCTCCTCTGCAGTGCTCTTTAGCTGGATCCCATCCCTTCCTCACATTATCTTCTCCTTTCCGTATTCCTCTGAACACCTTGAGCAGAAATCTTCGTATATTTGGCATGCGATTCGTCCCTGTAAAATGTAAGATGCTGCTACACGACTGGACTACGTCAACTCCTAGCTTAGTGATAGGGAGTGAAGTGATAGAACATGTTGACCACTTCACCTATTTGGGAAGTTGTATCAGCATCAACGGATTGATTGGTAACGAAGTCCCAACACGGATCCAAAAAGCTAGAGCTGCTTTCGCCAACTTACACCATCTCTGGCATAGGCGTGACATCCGGCTGTCAACCAAGGGACGTGTATACTGCTCAGCAGTTCGCTCTGTCCTTCTCTTTGGCTCTGAAACATGGCCAATATGAGTTGAAGACATGACAAGGTTGACTGTTTCTGATCATAGATGTCTACGATCTCTTTCTCACGTTAAGTGGTATAATAAGGTAAGTAATGTTGACGTTAGGCGTAGAGTATTGGGCAAAGAGGGAAAATCAATCGAAGAGAAAAGGCTATAAAGTTACATAGATTGAGATGGCTAGGTGACGTGCTGCGGATGCCTAACCATCGCCTCCCCCGACGGACGGGCATTACTAGCTGATATAGGTGGTGCAGGTTGGAAAAGAGTAAGTGGTGGCGAAACAAAAACATGGCCTCATCAATCCATGAAATCCTTGACAGTTAAACTGAGTCAGTCAGGTAGGGAGGGAGGGAGATGCAGACTTCCGGGTTGTGGCCCGCCCTCGGGACTCTAAAATTCAATGGCTGGAGACAATAGGTGACATGGCTCAAACTAATCGTTGTCAATGGCTTACGCAGATGTATTTAGTCTCTGTAATCTTTCATATTCCTTTGTACCATTACTCATTCTGTTTCACTCTTATACTTGTCAAAACTCTATTGATTCTCTTCACTCATCTTTTTGTCTACCTTTGTGTGGTATTTGGAACGTGGCAACTGGAACTGGTGCACTTCCGTGCCAAGTTCTATGTTGAATCCAGCCAGCCAGCCTTTCCGTATTCCAGTTCGACTCGAAGGCCTGCTCAGTGTGTAATATCACACTCACCAGTCTTTTAAGTGTCCCTCTGATCCATCTCCATTTCCTTCTACGGTAGGTTCTTGATGTTGGTTCATTGTCAGCCAGAGTACCATTTTGCTAACCCTTTTCCGGTTAACCATCTTCTCTTCAGTATCCGGCTAGAGAAGACATCTGCTGTTAAAACACAACTATGGAGAGATATCTTATAATACAGACTTAGTTGAGAATCACTGACAGGTAAGGAGTACTGGACAGTGTACAGCCATAAATTCATCGTTGTCACTTGGCCGGGATCCAGTGTCTTATGAATTCGAACCTCTAAAGGTTCTGGGTTTGATCACTGCTAAAATCGTAGTTATGCATGTACTACTAAAAAGTGTAGCAATCTTCGTATGTTTGGGATGCGATTCGCCCCTGTAAAATGTAAGATGATTTTGCAGGACTGGACTACACCGACTCCTAGATTTGAAATAGGAAGGGAAGCAGTAGAGCACGTTGACCGCTTCACTTATTTGGGAAGTACCATCAGCCAACGCCGACGGGTTGATCTCTGACGAAATCTCAGCACGGATACAGAAAGCTAGTTTCGTATATGCCAGTTTACGCCGTCTCTGGAGTAGACGTGGTATCCGACTATCGACCAAAGGGCGTTTGTACTGCACTGCAGCAGTCCTGTCCGTCCTCCTCTATGACCGTGAGACCTGGCCATTGAGAGTGGAAGACATGAAAAGTCTGGCTAGCTGTCTTTGATCATAGGTGCCTTTCTGCGTTCTATCTCCCGTATGAAGTGGTATAATAAGGTGAGCGATATTGAGGTGAGGCATCGGTCGAGTGCTAGGTAAGGAGGGGAAATCAATCGACGAGACTGTGAAATTACATCGATTGAGATGGTTTGGACATGTTTTACGTATGAATGCCTAGTCATCGCCTTCCTCGACAATGGGCAATGTTAGGTGATATAGGGTCAGGCTGGAAAAGAGCCACTTAGTGGCGGTCAAACGAAAACATGGCACCAGTCAATGAAATCTACAACAGTTAGTCTAAGACACGTAGGAAGGTGTAGAATTCCTGACTGGTTGGGGTCCTCGGGACGGTAAAAACCAATGGCGGTTGGAAACAATTGGTGACATGGCTCAAAATCGTTCTCAATGCCTGGTCGGTGCAGATGCATCCACTCCTTTTGACTTATGATTTCCAATGAAACTGTTTTGTTCTTCGTTATTACTATTCCTTTGTCTCACACCTCTGTTTACTGTCTCTAACATGCATTTCTCCTTCTTTCTTCTCTTGTTTTGTGTGCTGCATGGAGGGAGAGTGGCGACTTGAACTGGTGCACATAGGTGCAAAGTTCTATATCGAAAACAGACAGACAGACTAAAATGTGCCAAACTACAATGAAAGAGATACTGAGTAGTACCTCTCTGACTTCCACCATTAGTTTGAGACGAGATGTACTCTGGTTATATTAATTTTTATTATTATTTCTTTGGGTTCCTCCTCCCAACACGATCTCCTACGTGTCTCTCATTTGTATCTCACTGGAGCAATGGCCTGCACTGAGAGCGATATCATTCGACGGCCTCCTCAGTAGCGTATGCCCAACCGACACATCTCCATTTTGTCCTACATATTTGTGAAGCGATCGGCTATCGCCTGCTGGTTTATTTCCAGCCAGAGTTTCTTGTTACCAATTCTTTCTCGTCAGCCATTTTATCTTCTGTGTGGAGCCAGCCAGTGAAGAGGGCAGCTGTTGATGAAAGTCTCAAAATCTGTGGTGTACTCTGAAGTCAATCAAAATCAATACTTCTCTGAACATTTGAAGGAAAAACAGCAAATATTTAGTAAAACATAACTATCAAAAGATAATTGAATTGAATTTCAGATTTTTCTGTCGATTGATTGGATCGAAGTGCTCGGGTTGCTCAGGTTGACATGTCGGCTCCTCCATGAGCAGATGCTTCGACGATGTCTCTGGGCATTTAATTAGAATTTAACTGGTAAATGGTGACTAGCAGTAGAATCCAGGACAACGCGCATTTCGTCCGATTTGGGACTCGTCAGCTAGCTGGATGTACCTGCATTCCCCAGTAAGTGATGATGTTCCCACCGAGGCTCTTGGCCAAAGTGGTCTAGTGGATAACGCTTTGGCATTTGAAATTATGTGGGCACTGGGTTCGAGCCTCGGTGGGAACATCATCACTGACTGTGGAATTCAGGTACATCCAGATGATGAGTCCCAAATCGGACGAAATACGCGTTATCCTCGATTCTACTGCTAATCAGCCTCTACCAATTAAATATCAGGAGATAAGCTTGAAAGATGTCTGTAACAGCATACTCTTCGGTAGGAGCTCAAGGCTTGCATCCTAATGATGTGTGACGGGGGGAGAGGGAAGCAGTGAACATTCTTGACTACTCAAATTATTGATTGATAGATAGATAGTTCTTGTATTTATTTTGTCATCTATGGTGGGTCCTCAATGCGTGGTGATGAAGAATCTCAAACTTAGGAAGTAACAGCTCTCCGGCACTTCACACTGGTTTTCAGTACTTCTTCAAAATGATGTCGATTCCTGATTAACCATGGAACCAATCAAATCGCTACAAACGAACTCCTGAATATTCAAGTATTGGGCCATTAGATCGGGTCCCAGTGGCTTAATGGTATACGAGCCCGCTAGCCTTGGAACCAGAAGTTCCTGGGTTAGAACCCCGGTGGGTGCGTACTGATGAAGAGTCCCAAACTAGGACGAAACAGCTACCCAGTACTCCCAGGTTATCCAATGGTTCTCTAACCAATATCAGCTCATGATGAAATCCTGTAACTCCTGAATATTAATCTGATGCTCGTCGGTGACTGACTACAGACGGACGAAGTTGCCTCGAATTCCAGCGAAATGTCATGACCAGTAGAGTCCACAAGGTTTGGCGTGAGGACAAATACTCGCCGATGATATTTGTTCAAGGTCGCGGTAAAATCATGAATTAGTAGAAGTGGAATGTGGTTTAGTGACCGGAAGATCCTGGGTTCGAACTCCGGTGGATGCCTTATGATGAAGACTCGCAAACTAGGATGAGATAGCTGTCCAGTACTCCAGTGCTGGTTTTCAATGGTTCTCCAACGAATATCGATCCATGATTAAGCTTGAAACTTGCACTGACTACAGGCGGACAAAGTTGCCTGAAGTTTTAAGAATAAGTCGTGACCCATGGAGTCTACCACGTCGGGTGTGTGGACAAATACTTGCCGATGACACTGGCTGGCAATCCTGCTTTAAATCACAAATTAATAGAAGTTGAAATTCTTAGGCCAGTCATCGAGCTCATCTTGTAGACTGAAGTTCCTGGGTTCAACCACTAGTGAAAGGAGTTGTAGGTGAGTGCTGTTGAAGAACCCCAAACTAGGACGAAACAATCATCCAGTACTGCCCTGTTAGTTATCAGAAACCAATAAACCAGTGAATATATTTTAATATATAATCATCAGTAAATATACACATTAAAACCCTAATCTGAGTTTTTTTTCTTAATTTTTTTAACAGCCAACCTACTGGCCAAATTTACAATCAGCACGTCATGGATTCTTGGTTGTCGATCCGATAGCCACATACACTATGCCCGCCTATATTATGCGTGAATTACGTCTAACAGATACACGTGATGGCAGTTCACGGACAATTCGTCAATTCGATGCGAGTTGTACAGCAAATTCAATTATACATCTTGAAAAACAAACCTGTGCCACATCAAGTAATAGTAGTGAATTCCTCGTGGAATCATCCCCGTCAATAACAACAACAGCAACAACAACCGGTGGTATCGGCTGCAGTCGAGGAGCATCACTATCACCGAATCCACTCCTTTTGGAGACATCATTTACAGAGGATGATTATCTCCGTGTAAATCATATACCCAGTCAGTTGTTGACAACATTTCGACAATGTTATCAACCGTTGTGTGAATCAATGCTTGAGTTAATTAGTCAAGTACATAAAACTAAGGAACACTTTGGTATGGAAGGACCAATTACTGTACATTGCAAGTGAGTTATTTCAAAATCTTATCTTGTTTGATTGATTTATTGATCGATTGATTTTATTGATCTCAGCTGGATCCTTCACAATGTCTTAAAATGGTTGACGGGATAACATTTAACCTGTTGGTAGACGTTGTCTTGGATTCGAGACTCAATAAGGTGACACTGTCACTCACTGAGTGGGATGCAAATGCATGCAATTGATGAGTCTCTAATAGGACGAAACTAGCCTTCTGGATTCCACTGCTGTCTTTCCCATCCACCAATTGAGATGACAAGAGATGTGGTAACTCGATACACAGATCGATTGAAGGCCGAAATTGTCCGGTCTCTATGTTTATGTATTGGCCTCTAGCACTAGCACTTCAGTGATTAAAGTAAAGTTATCCTGGAATCCGGTAGGATGCGCATTTCGTCCCATTTTGGATAGACTCGTCATCCGAACATACATACCTGAATTTCTAGTGAATGATCGTGTTTCCACTGGGAATCGAAACCAGAGTCCATGTGTTTTAAATATCAGTCAACAAGAGATGGCTTTCATGGTCCAAATGACCCAGTGGACTGACTGACTGGTTTCAACAGAGAACTTTGCACCAATGTGCAGCAGTTCGAGTCGCCACACTTCACTTAGCAAGAGCAGAGAGTAAAGAGAGATTCAAAACAGAGATATGATGCAAAAGGAATAGTAATATCGAAGAACAACATAGTTCTATTGGAAATTATAAGTCAGAAGGAGTGGATGCATCTGCGCCAGCTATTGAGAACGACTTTGAGCCATATCACCAACTGCCTCCAGCCTTCATTGGTGTTTACCGTTCCGAGGACTTCAACCAAAAAGCCAATCTACACCTTCCTATATGAAGTCATAGCATAGTTTTGTTTCCATGATATCCAAGATGTGCTTTTATCCTTAATTACTTTTTAAATATGTGTTTTTATCAATAACCCTCATTACTTTCTTTTCCCTCTCTTTCCACTCCATTTTTCTAGTTTGGGCGCTGGAATCACAGGCATTTTTCTTGCCATCTCACTTGTCCTGGAACGTATGCGTTATGAAGGTGTTGTAGATATGTTTCAAACTGTCAAACTTTTAAGATGGCAACGTCCTGGTCTTGTACAAACTGCTAGTGAATATGCATTCTGTTATGCTACAGCTTTAGAATATCTTGAGTCTTTCGAAAGATATACAACATAATAAATAAATCATTTTCGTTTTTCTAATTACTAGTTACAATTTATACTACTGTTAAAAGAATATAAGTAGTTTGATTGATATTGTCAAAATTCAATACTGAACATTGTACATTGAACAAACTAGGCGCCTTTTTTAAAAGAAAAATTAAGGGGAAGGCAATAAATGACAAAGAAAAATGGGAAACTCTATTAATTTGCCAACATTTTTTCGTCTTTGTGTCTTTGATTTTTCTTTTGTCTTTTTTGGTTATATTTCTTTCTCATTGTGTGTTATTATTTTTGTACCTATTGATGACGATGAAACGTTACCTTCAATATTCACATCTGAAGTTAGATATCTATCCCCTGTCAGCTTAAATCATGTCTTCCTTGATGATGAGTGTGAATACAACACACTATCACACACACACACAATATCCCCTTTCCCGTCTATGTATGTGTACATAATTGAAAATAATAAATCGGTTTGTATAGATGAAATATGCGCATATATACACACCTATTTTTCACTTGCTTTAAACTGCTTATACCCATTTTAACCTTGAATGAAGTGTATTTTTTAGCTCCGACCGCCCCCCCCCTCGCACAGACACACGACACCTCATCTTCTGTCTGTCTTTGTGATCATCTGTCTTCTTTCCTCCTCGAAGAAATGTTGTTGTTGCTGTTGTTGTTGTTGATTTCATCGTTGTATTTGTCGTCATCCTCTCGCTGTCTGGTGCTGACTGATGCGCACAATTTTTGGAAAAGGTTGTTGGACTGAGGCGTTCTTTAATTAATAAGAATGCATGCAGATTACTCCTCCCTTTCAATTATTTATCACACAAATATATATACACATTGTGTGGATTGCATTTATAAGGAGGGGAGAGAATAGAAGAGAACATTGAGTCATTCTCTCTCTCTCTTTCTCTTCCTCGCCACTGCTAACTTGCATGCTGAAAGCGCAGAAATATATTGTTAAATTTCAAGAATTTAGGCCTTATTTATTATTATTATTACTCTTACTATTATTACTGTGTAATAATGTCCCTTTTTTCTCCCAAATGACCTCTGTTTTCTGACCCATGACTCCTCCACCCCACCCCAATCTAATTTACACTGTCCTCCCCTTTCCTATCCTTGTCAAAACTATTGTGTTAGGCTTTATGACTTTGGGGATTTTGTCTTGATTCTCAGTGGAATCTGTCTAATAATAATAATAACGATAATAATATGTATTGTATATTGTACATTATTTACTAATGGGTGGGAAATTCCTTCCTGCCCGCCCTCCGTCCCTCCCTTCCTTTCTTCCTTTATTTCTTTCAAACTCTTCTCACTGACTGACTGCTTTTTCAAAAATAAAATAAAACCGTTCAAAACAGAAAAGTGCCGCCTTTTTGATTTTCTTGGTTTCTCAGTCTTTCACATCATCATCACTTATGAATATATTTCATACGATGTGATTTCTGGTGTACATACACCACAGGCCTGACTGTCTGATTGACTGACTGACTGACTGACTTACAGAGAGAGAAGGGCAGTAGTTCAACTTGCCACACTTCATGTAGTCCATATGAAGAAATTAAGGAGCCTGTAGATACACAATAATGAACAAGATTAAGAAATCTACAGCGGATTTAATACGTAGTAGTAGTAGTATGAAGCTGTCAGTGGGTGAGTCTAAATGGTTTAATTTAATGCCTAAAACTAATAATGCTAGTAAAATATGTGGTACTATAAAAATACACAAGCCAGGTTACCCCATACAACCAATAGTAGATTTCAAAAATATGCCGACACATGAATTATCAAAACACTTAGCTCTAATACTGTGTCCCATTAGAAATCATTGAAACTCTAGGCCAGCTGACTAATTCATATGAAATGAAAAAGAAACTAAGTGACATTCAACTAGAGAATGATGAAACAATGGTTAGTTTTGATATAACTAGTCTTTATACCGGTATACCAATCAATATGGTCTTAGAAGCAGTTAAAAAAGAACTAACTGCAGACCCTGAACTCACTCATAGGACAAAGCTGCACACTGAGAAGATTATTTTAGGAATTCACTTATGCCTCACATCTAGTATCTATAAATTCCAGGGCAAAATATATAAACAAACAGATGGTGTAGCAATGGGATCACTAGTATACCCTATTGTAGCAGATATCTTCGTGGATAGCTGGGGGAGAATATACCTCTTAATACATTTAATCCTACTCCAAAAATATGGTGGAGATATCTAGATGATACTTTCACACACAGTGTTAAAAACAGAACATACCTCTAGTTTCTTGACACATATAAACTCACTAGTGAAGGGAATAAAATTCACATTAGAATCGGAAAATGAACAAGGAGAAATAGCTGTGATGTTAGATTGTAAAACAAAACAAATAGAAGTAGGTAAACTAACTGCACACTAGCGTCTATAAAAAGCCAACGCATTCTGCTAATAGATATTTAGACTTTAATTCATCTTATCCGTTAACTGTTAAGGCAGGCTTAGTTAAGTGTCTAACAAACCGAGCAGTAGCGCTAAGTAGCACAAGAAAAGACCTAAATGATGAAATGTAACACGCCCGCCAAGTTTCCGACCCGTTAAGAAGGACCGACTTGATATTGGTGTTGAAAATCCGAATCTTGTTGTCTATACTACGGTGTAAAGAAGATTTCCAAACTGGTTTCAGGCTGATGAAGGCATATCTTGCCTTTCCGATTCTGGCTGGCTGACTGGCTTTGACATCTTCATCCGTTCTGTCTGTAGTTGAAACGATGCTTCCTAGGTTAGCTTTTCAACTGTAATTCGGTTCAGCTTAAAAAATTGCTACTAGATAAGAAAACATCCGTTTCATAAGAATAAAAAACTTAGGCAATGTGTCGAGTGTAATCCCCTTATAGAGTAAATTTTATTTTGATTAAATCCCATAGTATTATTGATTGATGACAACGTTTCTAGCACAGTCTATTGCTTGCGTATAATCATTATATATATCAAGGTACTCACATTGAGCCGTCTCCCAACTACGTTTACATAATTCCATTATTTTTTTATCCTTTGTTTTTATTTTATTTGCGTCGGTGGCACAGTGGTTAGGACTCTCGTCGACCATGCACATGGTCCCCTACCGACGCACACCCGATATCTATGGTCGGCCTGCAAAATTTGGGCTACCGGTATCCATGCTGAAAATTCCATACTTGTACTGAAAATACGGTGTGGAATCAAGCTGTAATCAAAAAATAAAAAAAATAAAAAAACTCCACAGTTTAAAAATGGACTGATATCTATCAGTTAAAGAACCATTGGAAAACCAACAGGGAGTACTGGAGAGCTGTTCCATCATAGTTTCGTAGTCTTCATTAGTCAGTACCCACTGCGGTTCAACCCAAGGATTTTCCAGTTACAAGTCAAGCTCGTTGACGACGATTCGCCCTATGGAACCCGACTCAGTGGCCAACCAATGAATCTTGCTTTTAGAGTGACCACCGCCACCACCGGCGAGTATTAGTCCTTAAGCTTAACTTGGTAGACTGAGCTGATCAAGACTTCTCACTAGAACTGCAGGCGATTTCGTCCTGTAGCCAGCCACTTGACGACTAGTGGCGTCCGTCAAGGATGCCCATTATCCCCATTTCTATTCAATTTCACCATAGATGTACTAATCGACTTAACTTTAACTCACTTCAGAGACTCAGGGATTAACTTGCTACCAGGGAATTATCTCGTCGACTTAGAATATGCAGACGATATAGTCCTTCTAGGCGAGTACGCTGACGAAATGCAGTCTTCTGAACACCTTGAGCAGCATTCTTCGTATTTTTGGCATGCGATTCGCCCCTGTAAAATGTAAGATGATGCTGCAGGATTGGACTACACCGACCCCTAGATTAGAAATAGGAAGTGAAGTGGTAGAGCACGTTGACCGCTTCACTTATTTGGGAAGTACCATCAGCCAACGCCAACGGGTTGATCTCCGACGAAATCTCAGCACGGATACAGAGGGCTAGTTTCGCATATGCCAGTTTACGCCGTCTCTGGCTGAGGTTAGGCATCGGTCAAGTGCTAGGTAAGGCGGGGAAATTAATCGAAGAGACGGTGAAATTACTTCGACTGAGATGGTTAGGACATGTGTTATGTATGCATGCCTAGTCATCGCCTTCCTCCAATGACGGGCAATGTTAGCTGATATAGGGTCAGGCTGGAAAAGAGCTAACACACGGCCGTCAAACGAAAACATGGCCTCACCAGTCAATGAAATCTACAACAGTTAGTTTAAGCCAGCCACGTAGGAAGGTGTAGACTTCCACACTGGTTGGGGTCCTCAGGACAGTAAACACCAATGGCGGTTGGAAACAATTGGTTATATGGCTCAAAATCGTTCTCAATGGCTGGCCGGTGCAGATGCATCCACTCCTTGTGACTCATGATTTCCAATGAAACTGTTTTGTTCTTCGTTATTACTATTCCTTTGTCTAACACCTCTGTTTACTGACTATATTATGCATTTCTCCTACTTTCTTCTGTTGCTTTGTGTGCTACATGGAGGGAGAGTGGCGAGTTGAACTGCCGCACATTTGTGCAAAGTTCTATGTCGAAAACAGACAGACAGACAGTAGCCAGTCACTAATGAGCATCAGATCAGTCGTGACCAGTAGGGTGCAACAGGTCGAGTGTGAGGACAAATACTCGCCAAAGACATTGGCTAGTGGTCATGCTATGTCGTGAATTGGCAGAAGTTAGAATTCATGCACTGGCCATTGGATCGGGTCCCAGTGGCTTAATGGTCCACGATTCGCCTTGTAACCGGAAGGTCCTGAGTTTGAACCCTGTAATGTGGGTCCGTACTGATGAAGAGTCCCAAACTAGGACGAAACAGCTGTCCAGTACTCCCTATGGCTGTTTTTCCAATGGTCCTCTAACCGATTCAGCTCATGATGAAATCCTGTAACCAATCAATCAAATCCCTACAAACCAACACTTGAATAACTTCCAGGTGTTAGTTGGTGGAGATTTGACTTGTTTCAAGTTAGATGACGGATTGACATCAGTTAGAGGACCAAATCCCAACGAGTTGATTCTTGAAAACTGTAACTCTGTTGCATCCTACTGTCTGATTGTATGTTAATGCATGTATCGCAATTGCTGAGTTGTTTTTTCTCTCTAAATTACTCATCTTCGTGGGGTCAATCATTCTACAACTAGATAAATTCTCATGTCACGCATAATCTAACTACTCCCTATCTATTCGACTTGTGGTGAGAGCTGGCTGCTAGCCAAAGTTGATAGACAGTAATTGACGTCAATGTTTATGTCCCCAATATTGGTGGTGAGAAAATGAGAACAAAGGCTTTGCGTAGGCGGATACAGTTAGCATATGGAAGATCTGACACAGCCACAAAGAGATGCAAGGTTAACTTTCTGTGAGAAACAACCAATCAAAAGACTGTATTTTCTACTAACAATAATCTACAATAATGTACATTAAAATCTATAAATATGTGTTGATTTTCCTTAATAAACGATCTGTTGCCTGACCCTTGTCTTCTGTTGTTAAACTAGCACAGTCTATTGCTTGCGTATAATCAAGGTACTCACATAGAGCCATCTTCCAACTACGTTTACATAATTTCATTATTTTTTATCCTTCGATTGCATTGTCAGTGTTACTTTCCATATCTCTGGTATATCGACATGTTGTATCATTCATTCCTATTGCAGGCGTTATGTTTAGATTCGACAAACAACAACGACTCAGCAGTCAGCCTATCCCTTCAGTTATCTAAATTACTTCTTGGAACTGTAACTCTACAGTTTAAAAATGGACTGATATCTACCAGTTAAAGAACCATTGGAAAATCAACAGGGAGTACTGAAGAGCTGTTTCATCATAGTTTCGTAGTCTTCATCAGTCAGTACCCACTGTGCTTCAACCCCAGTATTTTCCGGTTACAAGTCAAGCTCGATGACAACCATTCTAAGTATGGAACCCGACTCAATGGTCAACCAATGAATCTCAACTTCTACTATTTCTTGCTTTTAGCTTCGGTCAGTCGGTCGGTCTTCGACATTGAACTTTGCAAATATGTGCGCCAGTTCAAGTCGCCACACTCCCTCCATGTAGCACACAAAGAAACAGAAGAAAGTAGGAGAAATGCATATTAGAGAAAGTAAACAAGGATGTGAGACAAAGGAATAGTAATAAAGAAGAACAAAACAGTTTCATTGGAAATCATAAGTCACAAGGAGTGGATGCATCTAAGCCAGCCATTGAGAACGATTTTGAGCTAGCCATATCACCAACCGCCATTGGGTTTTACCGTCCCAAGGACCCCAACCAGTGTGGAAGTCTACACCTTCCTACGTGGCTGGCTTAAACTAACTGTTGTAGATTTCATTGACCGGTGAGGACATGTTTTCGTTTGACCGCCACTAGCTCACTCTTTTCCAGCCTGACCCTATATCAGCTAACATTACCCATTGTCGAGGAAGGCGATGACTAGGCATGCATACATAACACATGTCCTAACCATCTCAGTCGATGTAGCTTCACAGCCTCGTCGATTGATTTCCCCTCCCTCCTTACCTAGCACTCGACCGAAGCCTAACCTCAATGTTGCTCACCTTATTATACCAATTCACACGGGAGATAGAACGCAGACACCTATGATCAAAGACAGCTAGCCAGGATTTTCATGTCTTCCACTCTCAATGGCCAGGTCTCACAGCCATAAAGGAGGACGGAGCGGACTGATGAGCAGTACACACGCCCTTTGGTCGATAGCCAGCCAGCCGGATATCACGTCTACGCCAGAGACGGCGTAAACTGGCATACGCGAAACTAGCCCTCTGTATCCGTGCTGAGATTTCGTCAGAGATCAGCCGGCTGGGGCGTAACCACCGCCTCCACCGGCAATGTCATGGGCGAGTATTAGTCGTCATCCCAAACGTGGTAGACTGAGCTGATCACGACTTCTCACTAGACCTGCAGGCGATTTCGTCCTGTAGCCAGTCACTAGTGAGCATCAGATCAGTCATGACCAGTAGGGTGCAACAGGTCGAGTGTGAGGACAAATACTCGCCACCCAAGACATTGGCTAGTGGTCGCGCTATGTCGTGAATTGGCAGAAGTTATAATTCATGAGCTGGCCATTGGATCGGTTGAATCCCAGTGGCTTAATGGTCTACTAGCTCGCCTTGTAACCAGAAGGTCCTGGGTTCGAACCCCGTAGTGTGGGTGCGTACTGTTGAAGAGTCCCAAACCAGGCTGATGAAACAGCTGTCTGGCAGTACTCCCTATGGCTGGTTTTCCAGTAGTTCTCTAACCGATGTCAACTCATGATGAAATCCTGTAACCAATCAATCAAATCCCTACAAACCAACACTTGAATAACTTCCAGGTGTTAGTTGGTGGAGATTTGACTTGTTTCAAGTTAGATGACGGATTGACATCAGTTAGAGGACCAAATCCCAACGAGTTGATTCTTGAAAACTGTAACTCTGTTGCATCCTACTGTCTGATTGTATGTTAATGCATGTATCGCAATTGCTGATTTGTTTTTTCTTTCTCTCTAAATTACTCATCTTCGTGGTGTCAATCATTCTACAAGTGGCTAAATTCTGATGTCACCCATAATCTAACTACTCCCGATCTATTCGTCTGACCAATGTAGTTGACCTCAATCACAGAGTCATTGAAAAGTATTCTGTAAATTACATTATTTTGTCTATTTGGGTCAATAGGATCCTTAAGTCCTCAGAGAATTTGTCCCTAAGTAAGTTTATTGATTTAAATGCCAACCTTATGTCACTGCTGTATAAAGAATCCTAAGTAGCGTTTCAGATGTTATCTATACCTGTAGAGTCAGATGGTAAGGAAATTATCGAAGAGAATATTCTTTGTCCAATCCTCCATTTTGATCTTACATTGTGGTGAGAGCTGTCTGCTAGCCAAAATTGTAGACAACAATCTACGTCAATGTTTACGTCCCCAATCGGGGTCATGAGAAAAAGAAACAATAACAAAGCTTAACCCTGGGGAACTCAACAAGCAACCACAGCAAACTTGACGTGTGCAAATACGATTCGCGGATATATGGCTTGACTTTCTAAGAAACGGTCACAAGCAGTACAGAATAACCTTCAGCAGGAAAATAACCAATCAGAAGACGTTGCTTCTCCGCTGAAATAATGTACACAAAAATCTATAAATAACTCTTGATTTTCTCAATATATAATCTGTTGCCTGGCCCTTATCTTCTGTCGTTACAACATGAGTCAATAATACACTAAAACTTAACAGAAATTTATGATACTCAAGAATACAGTCTCAAAGTTCCTCAGGTAGAAAATACCTACTACTATACGACAAGATTATTTGATCGAACACGACCTGAGAATCGTGTTTAATATTCCCCCAACAAGGCATAATCAAAACTGTGTCTGTAAGAAATCCTGACTCGCAGAAAAACTATGTCAAGTCTGATCATGGATTGTGATATTAGTTAGAGACAGCCATGAGAAAATCAGGGAAATAATTATTCATAGTAAGTGTTCATTCACCCTCGAGCGTATAATAAAATCAAAAGCCTATTTCATCAACTACTACTAACTGTTGATTTAACACTGATCAATAATACGCGTCGGTCGCACAGTGGTTAGGACTCTCACCGACCATGCAAATGGTTCGGGATTCGATCCCCGGTGGATGCACACTTGATATCAATGGTCGGCGTGCGAAATTTGGGCTACCAAATATGGTTCGGAATCAAGCTACACTCAAAAATATTTCTTTTTTAATTGAGAAAATGGACATCATTAAAAAGAAATTTATTTCTTATGTTTATAATTCTTGATAAGATTATTTTTATCATTATTGTAAATACTGATAGTAGTATTCATAGTAGTAGTAGTAGTAGTATATATTGACTTGTAATAAAAAATATATGTATATGAATAAATATCTCCATAATAAAAGTAAGCATTATAAATATGGTATATAAATATTTATATATGTATGTTTGTGTATACAAGAAGGCGACAAGACAAGAGGATAAATAGCCTGAACAATAGATAAACTGTAAAATCAATGAAATTATCATTATTATTTTGCACATTGATTCTGTTTCAATGAGTTCTTGAGGAAAAAAGAAGGGCGGAAATAATAATAATAGTTTGAGGCAAGAAAAAGAAACCAGACAAAGAAATACCCTTGGGGAAGAATTATCATCAGTCAGTATTTCCCTCCCCTACCTCCGCTTCTTTATTACACACAAAATAAATAGTTAGTAGGATTTAATAATTAATGCATGCTGACTTAGATTGTTAGAATATAGAAGACACACACACACGCACGAACGCAAATACGCATACACACACACACATACCTACAAGGTAAATTATCCTTAATATATGATGTTGAAATTTGATTGGAAGATTGTTATTCTAGAATAAAGACAACCACCTTTAAAAAGCACCCACGCACAGTAAATAATTCCTGCGATTAAATACAATACTTACCGCTTATGGATGGATATCTGCGTAGGTGTGAGCTGTAGAAGAATAGACAGATGGACTCATAGACAGACATTACAAAACACAGACATGCATGTTAAACCAATAAAAAAAGATACACATAAATTTGTACATAATAATATCGTATGCACATGGGTATGTGTGTATGAGAAAAAAGACATATACAAGATTGAAATGCACTGTTCATAAAAGAAGGAAGTAGATAGACAGACAGATAAGATTGGCTGTCTGTCTTACTAATGCATTAAAAAAGAAGGAATCATATATACAAAAAGATTGATTAAACGCAAAAATAATAAATTTTATGATGTAGTCTCACAACTGTAAAAAAAAACAAAAATTAAGCCGAAATCATAATGTTTTAAAGTTGTTCTTCATCAGCAGTATAACAACAGACATAAATAAACAAAGTGGAAAATAAATAGGAGTGGAAACTCCCCTCACGAAAAATAAATTTAGACTAGTTAAAAGGGGTGCTGTTGTGTGTATGAATGCTATGGCAACTGGAGGACAATATTTAATTCAAAGCAATGATTATATGATGACAAAAAAAACACAAGTTAAAAACCTCAAATGCATGTGTGTATAATTAAATATATAAAAGCAAGATTAACAGCAACTGATAAAAAGCACCGCAAAGTGATATGCATATTATTTCGTTTACCTATTGACGACTGTTCAGTAATATATGAAAAAAATAATAAAAACAAACAAGAATCTACATAACTATACACACACACATACCGACAGACAGTCAAATAGGTTTCAGTCGAGAGACTCCACGCTGAGAACAGCTCGGGAACAATCTGTGTCAATGAATGGAATGGGAAAGAAAAGGAACGCGAAGGTGGAGGGTGAGTAGAATAGGACGGGGCGATATATATGCCTGCACACTACTCCTTACTATTGATTGATTGTTGAGGTATAAATTATTTCTTTCGGTTTTAAAATAGTCATTGAACTTGGCAGAATATTTACACTATTTGTTGTTGTCGTTGCAGTTGTTGTTCCAGTTGCAGTTGTAATACAAGAACCCTGTGGAAAACAGATAAAGGAGAAGAGGGAAGAGAGAGCATAGAAAAATCACGCAATTGAGAAAAGTGATAGCAAGATAGATAGATTACTTATAAGGTGAGCAAGATAAGAAATGACGTCATTATATATATATATATTTCGTTGGTTTTATTCAGCTGCATTATAACCATAAAGAATTTTTATACCAACATTTCAGGATTCCATTGTGAATTGACATCAGTGAGAGAACCAGGGGGGAGTACTGGACAACTGTTACGTCCTAGTTTGAGACTCTCCATCGGTACACACCCACACCACGGTGTTCGAACTCAGGACCTTCTGGTAACAAGACAAGTTCACAGACCACCACCACCAATTTAGTCAGTGCGACCCGATCCACTAGTGACAGGAAGGAGTCCACCAAGTCAAGCGAGGAAGACATTTGCTCACCGACGACACTGGCTGACAGTTGCGCTATTTATTTAATTTTATTTAAACGCAGAAAAAACTTCGTACAATATGGCACCAAGAAAGATGCGCCACACAATAATAATAAAACAACATAGATTAAAAGTAAAAATATAAGTAGAAAACGGATAAAGAACTTCATAAAGAACGAAAACTGTCATGTTTAACAAGTTCAAACAGTATTCGTTAACTATCATCAGGAAGGGAAGAAAGAAGGAAATTGCAACACGTTCGCCATTGAGGATTACGATTCTTGGCCATATCCGATAACGTTTCGAGCCATCGATTCTAGCTATCTCTCGAACCCCAACCAGGGAGTCGTGACACACCAACTGATGCTAATCTAGCACAAATATCCTTCATCCTACGACACCACGTCATGGACTGACCACTCCTCCGCCTTTTCCATCCCGTCCCAGGGCTGGCTAACGAACAGAGACCTGTACGGAAGCCTCTGGGATGACATTCGCACCACATGTCCAAGCCACCGGAGCCGGTGTTTCCAGATGACGACACTCAGTGAGTGGTAATCTCCACTGTGTTCAAACACACGCCGCCGAACCTCAGAATTACTCACGCGATGATGCCATCGAGCGCAAGCAATCCTGCGGAGACAGCGATGATCGAACACGCAGAGTCACCTCACATCCTCAGCTCGGAGATGCCAGGTTTCACAGACGTAGAGGAAGACAGCATGCACCGAAGCATTGTATAGCCGACCTTTGATAGCCAGGCTAACGTCGCGACGGTGCCAGAGGTGGCTCAAGTTGATGTATGCCACTATGCGCTATACTTTATCGTGAATCTGTAGAAATTTGGATATGGATATTTAAAATTATTTATGGGTGTATACACCTGATAAAAATCAATGAAACATATGTATATATATATATGAAAATAATAAAAAGTTAAGGGAGGTGAGAAAATAGACATATAGGTCAAATTAAAAGGACATACTGAAGGTCAAAATAACAATGAAGATAATAATAATAATTTGCTTTATTCCAGAAACAGTACTAGTGGTACAGTGTGGAATTTTCAGCACATATGTACAATATTTGCATCTAATTTTATCAAAAAACATTTAAAAGGAGTATTAAAAAAAATATATAAAGACAACAACAACAAAAGCACAAAAATAATAAGAATAAAATGCGAAAAATTACCAAGACGTAGAAGGGAAAATAAACAACATAATAAATAATACCTCAGTATTGGGTAGTGGAAGCTTTGATATGTTTATGCGTGGTGACAGTAAAGATATAATCGTACAAGAAGTTAAGAATGTTTAAGAAGCACAGTAGATTTTCAAACTGTCATCTTATTCTAATATGTGGTTGCATGTAGTGAGTGCTTAAGCTGAACCATTCTTCAGATGTGTTATCTTATTCGGGTCAACTAATCTAGATTTCGCTGGAATTTTATTCTCCACTAGGCCAAATCACCCTGTTCTGGTACTTTGACTAATGTATCTGAACTTACAATCATTCCGGCAGGGTAATAAATAAACTAAATTGTTTTGCTAAACTGGCTCCACAGGATCATTTAACCGGCAAAGCTTGTTTCTAATTGGGTTTGTTGGTTTGAGTGACACTTTCATTCCTACATTGTTAACAATTATCTGTAAGTTTTCCGAGGTTGCTTCTTAGGAATGTTTATCGCCAAGAAGATCAGTTAATTTGGTTGAAACAACTCTAAACAATCATAAAACAACATTTTAGAGTTGTTTTTTTATTGTCAGGTCTAATGCAGTGTTCGTAGTGGTAGTGTGAGTAATCCTGCATAATACAAGATTTTAAGGTGGTGATAAAGGCGTTCACAACCAATGATTGTCAGTTAATATTGCCGAAAGGAATAAAAATTAGAAAAAACAACCACAAAAACTAATAATTACATGATGGTTAATGATAGGACAATTTTGTAATATTCATAGTGCGAATATAGTCGGAACCAGTAGATACACAAAAGAAGGAATACAGTAAAGTACAAAAAAGAAAGCCAATGTTAATAATTTAGGTAGCTAAGTATGTTTAAGAAGGAGTTCACTATGGAATACAAATAAGAGAGAAATAAAAGAGCCTAAAATTATGTTATTAACAATAAAGCAAGTCATAGGTTTCGCGCTTAACATTGTCTCTGTCACTTAGAACACGGGTATCGTTGAGTTCCCGTATAGGTTGTACGAGCATAAATTATTTTATACTGATTTCTGGTTCTACTTGATGAGATACAAGGAGAGAGTTGGGAATAGAGGGGGTGTTGGGGGTCAGAGAGTATGGTTTTAGACCATTTTTCGCGTTGTATTCAGATGCCTATCAACTAATGTAGTGACGAGCTGACTGAGTTTTGCACCTCTAGTCCTACTAACTACCTTTAACATCCTTCTCAGTATGGTATAGTCCTTTTTCAGTAGCCCAGGAAAGACTAACGGGGAGCAGTAAAGTAGAATAGGTAAGATACTAAACCAAAGGTAAGATTACTACACCAAAGAAGAGGAAGGTGATAGTACATCTACCCTGGTACCAAAAAATGTGTATAGTGACGTCATTCATTTTATCCTACTCAGTATGTGCATTTTTATCCTGTTCAAGTTTATCCTCAGGGGGGAAATAAATGTATGCTAATTTTTAATAATTGGAACAAAGTTAGCCTGAATACATTTTCCAAGCCCGACTGATAGCTGATACCTTGACGTGGTGGTGGCGGTGGTGGTCGGGCTTGCATATCACAATGGCCCAACAAACCACACGAACCGGGACTATTGTTCCTGTTGGTCCTACCGTACCAGGAAGGTTGTTAAGATAGCGATTAGACTAAAAGTAGTTACCGCCTTAGTGTAAGAATTTTTATTTTTCACAATATATTGGGGTTCTGTGGGTGAAGTCGTACTGATGGGGAACAGGGATATAATGGCAGTAAGGTGTTTCCCTCAGATGATCAGCGTGCCAGCTATGCTATCTCTCCACTCCGGAAAGAAGGGGTTAGAAAAGGTCGACCCAAACAATTGTACATCCCGACTTACCCTACGGTGGTCCGTAACCGGTGGTAAATTTACTAATACAGAACCAATCCCAGAAACCAGTTCATACAGGCCGTGTGGTGGCATAGCGGTTAGGACGCTCGCCGACCATGCGCATGGTCCGGGGTTTGATCCCCAGCCACAGACGCACTCCTTTACCTCGTTGAGCCAGAAATAATGCTGGTAAAGAGGAAAGGTTGGGCATGAGGCTAGCAACCCCATCCTGTAAAATAAACACTGCTACAGAAAATTCAAGCCAACTAGCTTGAGGCCCTATGTTCCACTGGGGAACGTGAACGAAAGAAAACAGGCCGTGTGACCGCCGACCTCAAGTAGTTGTCCCCTTGGCTCTGCGGCCCTACGCAACACTAACCTTCTTTCAGTTTCAGATACCCGAAGAATCAATCAAATTCTACGGTATGGGCAGCCAGGAAGTAATAACCGCCCACACACTTCCAAAAGCACACAAAGCCTTCCTGAACATCACATTCTACATTTTCTAAGCATCAAACACTACACTACTCAGCAGCCAGTAGTCAAGTTGAAATAGAGTAGACTGTGACTGATTAAAACAGTTGAGGGATGATCTTTGACACGTCAACTCACAACTCTACACACACATCGCAGAGGAGAACAACATTACTAGAAAATGGTTAGCGTTGTAGTTATATTACATACCTTCTTCTCTTATTCAGAAAGACGAACAATGTGCTATATAACTTCTTTCGAAGGTGGCTTCAATAATAATTTAGCCACCCAGAGAGAGAAAGAAAGAAAGCAGAGCACAATCCATAGCACTTGTGCTCCAAAATGAGCATCACAAATTCAATCTATCCAAAGTAACATTCTCAAATGGGAAATTATGTTCGAAATGACTTTTTTCGAGCACTATGTCTCTTAACACACTTAAGTTCTTTCTTTTTTGATTACAGCTTGATTCCACACCGTAATTTTGGTACAAGTATGGAATTTTCAGCATGTGATATCGGTAGGCCAAATTTTGCAGGCCAACCATTGATATCAGGTGTGCACCGGCAGGGGATCGAACCTCGGAGCATGTGCATAGTCAGCGAGAGTCCTAACCGCTGTGTCACCGACGCAGTTAGTATGAACTGAATGCAATCGAATTGCTAGTATACAATTTTGTACAGAAGCACAGTTACTTCAGGTGGTCACACACTCCGTATAGCACACAAAAAGGTAACAAGAAGACAGGAATACGTTCGACTACCGATAAGAAGACTCTTGAAGATCTCGATTTCGCGTGTGGATGATTTACCTTTCATGTCACACAAATTCGAAGACTTACAGACGAAAGCCAACAAACTGGCTAGAGAAGCACAAGCAGGCAGCGGAGACAGGACTCCACGTGAACATTGAGAAGACGGATGGAGGTGATTAAGATAACCAACCAATCAACTAACAATATAACAAGCACCAGTCACCACCATCAAAGGATTAAATTTGAAAGCGGTCATTATGTTCACTTATCCTGATAATAATAAGGCAGCATCGTATCAACTACTACAGGAAATGAGGACAGATGAAGATGTCAGTCAAAGTCAACCAATGTTAAGTCAGTCAGTCAGTCAATCAGCCAGTCACTTCTATATGGGTCAGAAAATTGGCGGCACTCACACGTCACGGAAAGCATTTCCAACAGCCTACTGCAGACTTTTATTAACAGATGTCTTCACCATCTCGATATTGAAGTAGATTAGATGGCTGGAGCGCGCGCGCAAGAGAGAGGGAGAGAGAGGCAGTTAGCAACAAGAAATTCTGAGAACTCATCGCTGCTCAACAAATACTTCGAGAGAAAAAAAGTGAAGATGGTTAAGAAAACACGACAGGCTGAGGAGACCTCTGAATGAATGATATCGGGCACCAGGCCATACTGGTGCTCGAGTGGAACCCGTATAGGAAAGGACTCGCTGCTGGAAGCCGTTTCGACGATACTGACATGTCTGTTTTCGATATAGAACTTTGCAAATATGTGCGGAAGTTCAAGTCGCCACTCTCCCTCCATGTAGCACACAAAGCAACAGAAGAAAGTAGGAGAAATGCATATTAGAGACAGTAAACAGAGGTGTGAAACAAAGGAATACTAATAACGAAGAACAAAACAGTTTCATTGGAAATCATAAGTCACAAGGAGTGGATGCATCTGCACTGGCCAGCCATTGACAACGATTTTGAGCCATGTCACCAATTGTTTCCAGCCTTCATTGGTTTTTACCGTCCCGACGACCCCAACCAGTCAGGAAGTCTACACCTTCCTATGTGGCTTAGACTAACTGTTGTAGATTTCATTGACTGGTGAGGCCATGTTTTCGTTTGACCGCCGCTAGCTAGCTCTTTTCCAGCCTGACCCTATATCAGCTAACATTACCCATTGTCGAGGAAGGCGATGACTAGGGATGCATGCGTAACACATGTCCTAACTATCTCAGTCGATGTAATTTCACAGCTTCGTTGACTGATTTCCCCCTCCTTATCTAGCACTCGGTGGATGCACCTAACCTCAATATTTCTCACCCTACTATACCACTTCACGTGGGAGATAGAACACAGACACCTATGATCAAAGACAGCTAACCAGGCTTTTCATGTCTTCCGCTCTCAATGGCCAGGTCACACTCACACAGCCATAAAGGAGGAGGAGTGATGAGCAGTACAGTACACACGCCTTTTGGTCGACACTGACATAGAAGACATCAAAAATCAGGAGGCGGATGAAAGCTTATGGCTAGCCAATTGTCAAGTCAGTTAAAGTAGACCGCCGCAGAGGAACCAGACAAAATGGAGGTATATATATATATATACACATAATATAGCTTACCTCTTGTTGATTATAAATGAATGTTGTCGAGTTTGTAGTCGCCGGTAACGATATCGCATTCGTTGTACTCCTCTGAACAGTATTCAAAATACGACGACGTTTCACTTCTGTATGTGTACTTAAATCATCATCATCGTCATTATTATTCTCTTTACTTCGACTTGTATGATCATCACCAGGATCAAGGATGCCGTCATCATCATCATCATCGTCAAAGTGATTCTTCTCACCACCACCACCACCACCATGACCATCATCATCATCAGCATTACAATCGCCATTATCATCATCGTCATCATCGTCATTCCCGATATCATTTTCTCTTGTTGAAGTGAATTGATGACTACTTGAATTCTCGTTGTTATTGTTGTTCCCCTCTTTCACCGTCGCTGTCGCCATCGTCGTCGCAATCGCTGTCGCTGTCGTCGTCTTCTTCTTCTTTTCTTGATGATGTAAATGATTACCTAATGCACCGATTCCAGAACCTCCACCACCGGGGAAAAAATTCCTTGAACGATGTTTACGTAACCATATTGTTGGTAGGCCAGCTAGTCGTGAGGCTTCAGCAAATAAACCGCCAAGTTTATTTTTACCCCATGCATGCTCTGTGAACCAATTACTATAAGCTGGTAGCAGATGACATTTTTGAACTCTGTCGTGAATTTCTGCAATAGCATTCGCTTCAGGACATTCAACATTACGTGGCTAACAAAAAAATTGTGGAATTTGGAATAAGAGAAAAGAAAAGAAGAGAAAAAATAATAATAAATTCGATAAAATGCAATAGTTTGGTTTGTAAGGGTTACTTATTTTTTTTTTTTACCAGTTGATCACGGATTGATATCAGTTAGAAAACCATTGAAAACCAGGGAGTACTGGACAGCTACTGTTTCATCCTAGTTTGCGAATCATCGGCAGTACGCACTCACTGGGATTCGAACCCAGGACCTTCCGGTTACAAGGCAAGCTGGCTCGTATACCATTCAGCCACTGGGACCCGATTCAATGGCGCTAAATCACGAATGGGTAGAAGTTAGAATTCATGAGCCATTGAATCGGGTTCCAGTGGCTGAATGGTATACGAGCCAGCTTGCCTTGTAACCGGAAGGTCCTGGGTTCGAATCCCAGTGAGTGCGTACTGCCGATGATTCCCAAACTTGGATGAAACAACAGCTGTCCAGTACTCCCTGGTTTTCAATGGTTCTCTAACTGATATCAATCCGTGATCAACTCGTTAAAATGCAATAGTGTTACTACTGAGTAGAATGATTAGAGTGACAGGAAAATTTAAGTTCTTTGTTTAATTTATTTATTTACATGAATCAAAATTAGTCAGTCTCGCCCAACCCCCCCACCCCTCTCTCGACTAGAAGTTAATAATAAGGCCTAATTCTCGTCGTCGAATTTTCGAACACCACCCTGCATAGTGGTTGGTTAAGTAAAGGACAAACAAAATCTATTCACACAGCGCTATTCTATCTCATCTTGTGGATACAGAACACAAGATTGACGTTAACTAAGCTTTCATGGTCATTTACCGCATACCAACAAATCTCAATTTTGCCTTAAGAGTTCGACTACTAAATATTGCTGACGCTGGCCGTTGGGATCCACATTAAGAAGCCTAATTTATGTGTCCAGAAGAAGCTAGTTCAGACATTGTCCTTACCCTCCTGGCCATCTAGGTGCAAATGATCCTCAATTTTTGTGGAATTTTCCTAATTTTAGTTGTTATTCTATTTGCTATTATATCTTTATTATTATTATTATTATTATTATTATTATTATTATTATAATAAAAGCATTTTTAATGAACTGTAATTCCATTGTGATCTCACTTAAAAAATCAACATTATTTAAAAAACACTAATATTTGTGATGATATTAGATGGTTGGAGGCAATCGGCCACAGGAAGCTTTGGACCTAGGTTTCGTGCTAGTTGGCACTCATCAGCAAGGCGTATCTGCAACCTTGAAGGAACTGATGTCCCTTCTGAGATTCGAACCCGCGTCACCCAGTGCTGCAGTCAGAGACGTTACCAATGAGCTATTCGGGCTCGCGATTGACCTCCTGTAGGACTGTAATGCATATTTTGATTTGACACTAGAATAGCTCAGTGGTAACGTCTCTGACTGCAGCACTGGGTGACGCGGGTTCGAATCTCAGAAGGGACATCAGTTCCTTCAAGGTTGCAGATACGCCTTGCTGAAGAGTGCCGACTAGCACGAAACCTAGGTCCAAGGTGGGGCTTCCTGTGGCCGATTGCCTCCAACCACCTAATATCATCACAAACAATGTACACCGTGATGGCAAGCTACCTAGAATGGTGGCCACATTACAACCTGACTGATAGAATTCAGTCTGCACCAAAGAGAGGACTAGACGCATCACACTAGTTCCTAGTGTCAAATCAAAACACTAATATTGTTATTGACTACTATTCTAGAGTATTCTATGTATATAAACATGTATATATTGTTGTAGAGCGAGAAGAGGAAGTTATCGAAAAGGATATTCTTTGCTCAGTTATTTTGTGTTTTAACTGTATTTGATAAAACACTCAGAAATCAGTCACCAGGACCAGAATGAGCCATACTTATATTATGTGTGTGTGTATGTGAGTGGACTAGTGATACTGCTCAGACCGGAGGTATTTGGAGAAAAACTTGAACACATGGAGCAGCAGTTACTTCGAAGATTCAACACAGGCTTTACTTATTAGGAAATAGATCACATAAGCGGAAAGATATCAGGAATTGACAAGTGTTGGTCTGCAGGAATTTGATTTGTCACAGTTAGAGAACCACTGAAAAGCCTAGGAGTACTGGACATCTGTTTCGTCAGTCTAGTTTGAGACTACACTTCAGCAGTACGAACTCATTGGAGTTCAAACCCAGAAACTTCCGATAACGAGGTGAGCTCGTAGACCAATCATTCAGCCAGTGGGAGCCGACCCAATAATGACCAGTCCATGAATTCCAACCTCAAACCAATTCATGGAATAGAAGATTTTACAACAGTGGTTGAATGGTCCATCCACTTCATGAGTTGTTATTGATTTGTTTAGTAACAATTCTCATGATCTAGAACTGAGAATTCAGTAACACTGTGTCATGAATGCTTGATCTCGAATGATAGACTGGATTTCGACATAGAACACAGCATAGCGGTGCAGTCACCACAAGTTGTCAATCTCCATGTAGCACACACAAACGCAGACTAAAGAGACATTCAAAAGAACTATAATGAGCAGAAATGTGTTTGTACGCGTGTGTGTGAGAAAGAATAGTAACATTGAAAAACATTAGGGTTTAATGGATATGGGGGGGTGAGTTCATCTGCGCCATCAATGAGCACGATTTTGAGCCATATCACCAATATTCTTCAGATATTGGTGTTTTTAGTACGTTCCGAGGAACCCAACCAGGCAGTCTACACCACCCTAGGTGATCGGGTCAAACCAACTGTCAAAGAATTCATCGATTGATGTCATGTTCTGATTACACCGCACCTAACTCTTTTTCAACCTAATCATCCTCCTATATCGACTAAGATACCCCCGTGGAGGAAGACAATGACTCGGTGTCCCCAATGATCTCAATCGATGTAGCTTTACAACCTCATCGATTGATTGATTGATTGACTGATTGATTGATTGATTGATTGATTGATTGATTGATTTACCCTACTTGGCTAACGTTCTTACGCCTAACGTCAATATAACTCATCATAGTTATGCCATTTGGCACAGGAGATTGTGGTCAACGAAAGTGAACCTCTTCAACTCTACAACTTTCAACGGCCATATCTCAATCTTACAATAATAAAGAATGAGAGACCAAACTGTTGCTCAGACACGCACACACGTCTCTACATACAAGATGATGTAAGTTGTTAGCAAATGTCACAACACATCACAGCGTCTTGTGTATCCACATCCTGAGATTTCGTTAGCAACTAGGCATACACTAGAGCTGCTTGAACAACTTCCCAAATAAGTAAATAAGGCAATACACGTTCATTCAACAAATCCCATTTCACTCTCTATCTCTCTCTCTCTAAAAGAACCTAGGAGTCAATGCATTCCAGTTTAGTCCTGAAGCATCCATCATCATCTTTCATTTGACAGGAGTGATGAATCGCATGTTAAATAAATGCGAAGCTGTTTCTGTTCAAGATGTTCACAACACAATCTACATTTAATTGGTGGAATCTATGAGGATAACGCGCATTTCGTCCTATTTGGGACTCGTCAGCTAGCTGGATGTACCTGCATCCCCCAGTCAGTGAGTGATGATGTTCCCCCACCGAGGCTCGAACCCAGTGCCCACATAGTTTCAAACTCCAAAGCGTTTGAGACCGAGCACTTCAGCCCAATCAATCGACGGGGAAATCTAAAATTCAATTAAAGAATCTACATTTTATCAGTGTGTGGATTCGATCTCCCCAAAAACAACCAACGCACCCCTGAAACTCGCTTAGTCGGTAGTATGTATGCTTCGTGAAGAGTGGAGTCCAGCCATGAGGCTAGCAAGCCTATCACGTAAGGAAACACCACTGCTACAGAAACTTCATGGTTTAAATTTTAAGAAACCCCCTATGTTCCATTCGGAACTCGAAGGAATAGTATTAATAATAATAATAATAATAATAAATAATAATAACAATCATAATAGGCACTCAACATACCTGTAAGTAGAACTTTGAATATGGATCCAAGCAACCACTAGGTCGACGATCTCTTAATGCTTTGAATATAGTTACAGGGCATGGACAACGAACAGGTGGTTCATTCAATGATTTATTGTCAAATTCACTTTTATTATAACCTAGAGCACAACACGACGTTGGTGAACTTGCAAGATAATAACGTTTATTTGTAATACGATTAATAAAATAAATATATTCAATTCGTCCATCAGCTGTTTTACACAACCGGAAATCACCCCAACGTAAACTGACATGTTCTGTACGATTTTCCACCTCGAAGACAAGTGTATTGATAAACCATGCAGTGAAATTTAAACACCATGGACGTAGACCACTAAGGATCCCTTTACGAAATAATTGTTCAACATACGCGGGGAAATCGGAACATTGAAATGCACTAGCTGAATTGATCACCTGAAATTCATTAGAGAAGAGAAAGACAAAAAAATAGGTGAAATTTAAATTTAAGTGGATGATGTGTGTGTAGGTGTTCCTAGTTTTATACTGACGGTTAATGAAAAAAATTCCCAAATTAGGTTGCATAGAAAATCAAAACAACCGCCCGACTGATTCAGCGGAGACCAAAGGAAGAGCTCACCGCTTTGTAACCACAAGGTACTGGGTTCAAACCCTTGCGGTGGGTGAGTACTGATGAGGAGTACAGACTGGGACGAAACAGCTGTCTGGCAGTACTTCCGATCTGGCAGACTTGCTTAAATTGCTAGGATACCTACATTTTCACCCATTTCTCATTGTTTAATCATGTAGAACTATGTTTTAGGATGGCTACTAGATGAAATCGCATACAGTTTTAGTTTGCTGTACGTAATGGCAGGTCCTCGAGTGGAATCCAAATGAGAAGCGACGAGTGGGTCGTCGGTGCGAGAGTAACATGGAAGAGATGAGAGATTATGGTCAGTAATCGTGGGACCAGCCAGGTGAAGAGGACAGTAGTATAATAAAACATAGTGGAGATGTGTTGTTGAAGCCCTATGTTCCACTCTGAACGCAAGGGAATAATAATATTACATAACAGCAGAATACACTTCTCAAAAAGAAATGAGGCGAGAAAAATCGTAGCGATTTGGTTATTGCTTCACTTCAAATGAAACAACAACACAGCAAGTGTTAACACGAAATGTACTGCTGCTGAATAACAATTTTTTAATTGCGTGGAGGATTTCACCATGAGCTGACATCAGTTAGAGAACCACTGGAAAAACAGCCATAGGGAGTACTGGACAGCTGTTTCCTACACCCCAGTTTTGGACACTTCATCAGAACGCACCCACCGGGATTCGAACCAAGGACCTACTAGTTACAAGGCTAGCGAGATCGTAGACCATTGAGCCACTCACTGGGACCCGATCCAATGGTCCTTGAATTCTAACTTCTGCCAATTCACGACATAGCGCAACCATTTCGCAATGTCTTCTTCGATGAGTTACTGCCTCATCTTCAACCTGCTATACCCTACTGGTCACGGCTTCCCACTAGAACTCCAGGTTAACTGCCTGAATAGGGCAGTCACTAGTAAGCATTAGATTAATTTTCAAGTATTGGTTTTGTAGGGATTTTGTTTGATTGCGTGGAGGATTTCATCATGAACTGACATCAGTTAGTGGGAAGCCGTGACCGGTAGGGTATAGCAGGTTGAAGATGAGACAGTAACTAGTCGAAGAAGACATTGCGAAATGGTTGCGCTATGTCGTGAATTGGCAGAAGTTAGAATTCAAGGACCATTGGATCGGGTCCCAGTGAGTGGCTCAATGGTCTACGATCTCGCTAGCCTTGTAACTAGTAGGTCCTTGGTTCGAATCCCGGTGGGTGCGTACTGATGAAGAGTCCCAAACTAGGATGTCCAGTCCAGTACTCCCAGGTTTTCCAGTGGTTCTCTAACTGATGTCAGCTCATGATGAAATCATCCACGCAATCAAACAAAATCCCTACAAAACCAATATTTGAAAACTATTTTTACTTGAAAATCCTGTACAAAGAGTGTAGATATTTTGTAATTTAAATATTCTCAGAAATTCTGCACTGTGTGTTATGTTAACATATTGTCGTCCAGAATAAAGCTGTTAAATTACTTCTTATTAATATTATTCTATTTCAGACGTTCTCTTCATCATCTGTAGACCACTACCCCTGATATTACAATGGCTATAAAAAGAATGACATTAATATACTTCAATGTTTGAAGTTTTCCCACAGATGGTTGACTGGTATCAGTTAGAGAACCATTGAAAAACCAACAGGGGGAGAGTACTGGACAGCTGTTTCACCCTAGTTCGGGACTCTTCACATCAACCAGGGTTCATGGCCCACTGAGTCAGGTTTCATCAGTGGCTTTATGGTATATGACGTAGCTTTGAACCCGGAGGAGTCTTGGGTCCGAATCCCTGTGGGTGCGTACTGCTGTGAATGATCCCTAATTAGGAGGTGGTATAGCGGTTAGGACGCTCGCCGACTATGTACAAGGTCCAGGGTTCGATCCCCAGCCACAGACGCACTCCTTTACCTCGCTAAGCCAGAAATAATGCTGGTAAAGAGGAAGGATTGGGCATGAGGCTAGCAACCCCATCCTGTAAAAATAAACACTGCTACAGAAACTTCAAGCCACTAGCTTGAGGCCCTATGTTCCACTGGGGAACGTAAAGAAAAAAAAGGAGGAAACAACTCTCCAGTACTCCTTGATAATTTTCAACGGTTCTGGAACCGATATCAATCGGTACTCAAATTTAGAAATATCATATAAAATTAACGCATCCAAAATGTGTAAGCATTACAATTTTTAGTTTAAGTTATTATCAATTTTGTATGTTTTCAAAATAAAAGGAAAAGGAAGGTGGAGGTGGGGGGCGGAAAGACAGAAAATAAGAAAATCTGATAAACAGTGTTGTTTAGCTTGTAAGTTCATATAGTAGTAATTCAAGAAGGTTATAAGATTTTGATAAGGCTGAAAATTTGCTCAATAAGCTGAAATCACTAATAGGGATGACTAATCAATGTAATCAAAATGCAGTTACCAATTGCTTCAGAAAAAACAAGATATAGTTCTCGTGACTGACATACAACTTTATACAGAAGTGCAGCAGCGCTTCAAGTTGCCATACTCCCCTCGTGTAGCACATAAAGGTAGACAAAAGAGAGGAAGAAAGAGATCCGGAAGGTCAATAATATAAGCCATATCACCTATTGTCTTCAACCACTTGATTCTTAGAATCCCGATGACCCCGACTAGACAGCAGTCTACACCCCCCCCCTCTAGGCGGAGAGCTTGGTTCAAACTAACTGTTATAGATTCCATGGACTGATCCATCTTATGTCGGCTAACAGTGCCCATCGAGGAAGGGAGGCAATAGTTAGGCATACACGCAACACATGTCCTAGCCATCAATCGATCAATCTATCTACCTTCACAACCTTATCGATTAACTTTCCCTCTTTACCTAACATTTGACGCCGAACCTGAATATTACGGAAGATAGAATGCAAACATATATGGTCAAGGATAGTTAGGCCTTTCACAGACCTCCACTTTCAAAGAAGTCTGTAGCGAACTGGCGAGCAGTAGACACGTCCTTTGATCGACAGCCGGTATTGATCTCGTGGTTCAATTGGTTTATACTGGATAACACTTTGGCGTTTGAAACGATGAAGGCCTCAGTGGAAGAACATCACTACTCCTCAATAGAGGGATTGTAGGTCTCAAGTAGTGCGCCGCCAACCCCACCTCTTATGTGGTTCGGGGTTCAATCCCCGGCCACTGAACGTACTCCTTTACACCTCGGTAAGTCAGTAACAAGAACGGTAAAGAGGGAAGGTTGGGCTAGCATGAGGTGGCTAGCAACCCCATCCTATAGAAATAATAAACACCACTGCTACTACTACTACTACCGAAACTTCAAAGCTCTACTAGCTTGACCCGCCCCCCCGCCCCGCATGTTCCACTGGAAAAGTTTAGAAATAAAACAAAAAGGTATCAAATAGAGGAGAAGGTGGGGGTGGTGGCACAAAATGCGCCATCTATCTATCATCTAATGGTGGACTCCACGCTATCCACCATTCAAAATTAAACCACTTATTCACAATTTTTAAACACTCAAAATAAAGTTTACTTACTGACTGTAAAGTTTTCAATTGTTCAGGTTTTGGTTCGATTGGAATTAAATAACACGTCATACTTGACAGGGGTGGTAGTGTTGACAAGAAATTATTATTATTATTGCTGGTATTTCCTTTATTATTGTTATTATTATTATTATTAATACTATTATTGTTACTCATGTCATTATTGAATTGTTGTTCTCGTTTTGTTGGACTTATTGTCATGATGGTCAAAATTGTTGGAGAAGGGCGCAAATATTGATTATCATCTCCTTTAATAAAATATCCAGCATTCAGGAGATGAGGGCTATTCATCATCACACTGGTAGTACAATTAGCATTATTACTACTATTATTATTATTAGTAGTAGTAGTAGTAGTAGTATCGACATTATCCTGATCCTTTTTTAACTTTGATGTAGTAAGTAAAGAAATTTTTGACGATTGAAGTATACTTGAAGATATCGTTGGATTTGCAGTAGACACTAATAACAATGATCCAGATTTGGATCCAACTCCTGATGAAGTTGTTTTCATTGATATCATTGAAGACGCCGACGAGGAGGAAGCGGAGGAGGAGAAGGATGAAGACACGGAGGGTTGTGGTGATGCCAATGAAGAATAACCTCCATTCATCATTGGTTGTTGCTGGTGTTGTTGTTGTTGTTGATTGATGATAACACTTGGAAAATGATCGATAAGGAAATGATGATCATTCGTTGACGTTATCATTGATGGCGGCGTTGTCGAGGATGATGTCGGTGGGAGAGTGGATGACAATGTTGCAGGAGGATATAAGGAATTCTCTGTTGTGAATATACTATTCATTGTTTCAGATAGACTACTATTATTATTACTATTATTATTTTGATTATTAGTAGTATGAACAAAAACAAGGCGACTTATTTCATTATTATTATGATTATTGGTGATGTTATTTGTGAGTAACATTCTATCGGAAGAATTATCAGTACACAATAAACGATAGACAGTTTGACCTGCATTGTTATTATTATTATTACTACTATTATTATTCTGATCACCTCCATCGATCATAGGGAGTTCAAAGTACAGATCCGATTTAATACCATTGTTATTGATACCATTATTATTATTAGGAACAATATTGACACTGTTATTATCACTATTGTTATTATTACTAATAGCAGTTGTATTATTACTGATCGGAAGAATTGTGATTGTTGGTTGTTGCTGTTGGTGTTGTTGTTGACCCCCAGTGATCAAATCAGAAGATGAATTGATAAGCTAAGAAGAAAAAAAGGGAGACAGAAAAGTAAAGTAAAGACACCTGCATATATATACTAGACAGATCCAATCGCTTCGAATCAAATATTGATGTAGACTAAATCATCCAATGTGCGTCAGTGGCATAGCGGTTAGGACGCTCGCCGACCATGCACATGGTCCGAGTTTCAATCCCCGGCCACTGGACGCACTCCTTTACCTCGCTAAGCCAGAAATAATGCTGGTGAAGAGGAAAGGTTGGGCCAGCATGAGGTGGCTAGCAACCCCATCCTGTAAAATAAACACTGCTACAGAAACTTCAAGCCAACTAGCTTGAAGCCCTATGTTCCACTGGGGAACGTGAAGGAAAAAAAATCATCCAATAAGAAACGAAGACATGTTATCATCATCATGGATAACATTGATTGTATCAACTGTGGACATCGACTACAACTATGTCTGTAGTCATTCATTTATGAACGTAATACTAGCAATCGGAAGATATAACAACTGTCATTTGAAAAGACATTCAAAGTCCTGTCTGTACACAAGATCTGATCAAATCTTTCAAAATACCATGAGGTTAAGACATTTGGAGATATTTTTCAAGCATTGGTTTTGTAGGAAGTTTGTTTGGTCGAACAAACAAAGCTGATACTCACTAGCTAGCGACTGATCCTATTCGGGAAGTTACCTGGCGAGCTAGTGGGAAGTCGTGACCAGTTAGGTACATCAGGTTGAAGGTGAGGCAGTAACTCACTGTGAACTGGTTGCGCTATGTTGTGCATGAACTGTCAGAAGTAAGAATACATGGGCTGGCTGGCCGTTGGATCGCTTGGGTCCCAGTGAGTAGCTTAATGGCCTACAAGCTCGCTCGCCTTGTAACCAGAAGGTCTTGAGTTCGAACCCTTGTGGTGAGTGCGTACTGCCGAAGAGTCCGAAACTAAGCTGACAAAACAGCTATTCAATAACTCCCTATGGCTGGTTTTCCAATGGTTCTCTAACTGATGTCAGCTCATGATGAAATCACCCAACCAATCAAAGTGGTAACCAGTTGAAATATAGTTGTTTGATTACATAAAATAACTGTATAAATAACTGTAATTCCTAGTGATATCGCTCTTTCGGAAGAACATTCTCTACGATAACTTCTTCTTCAACAGGTTCTACAGTTTCAAATAAAATCATCTTATGATTCAAATCAATAGATTACAGTTCAGACGACATCTGTAATCAATGCTATGCATAACAATGTAACACTTAACTGAACGATAATCAGATAAATTTAATAGAACTAACATAGAATTTATGAATTTATTTCGATTCCACAACAGGCCAAGGTAGCAATAGTGGTGGCACGCAGAGCCCTGATTGATCTGAGCAAATTGCAATGGCCTCTACTGTATGCAGTTATCAATAACTGGAGGTTTTGGGTAGTCTATTCGATTCCCGATAGATGTTAGGGGAAGATTCTTCAGTGCTAGCTGGCTTTATAACCTGTTTGCCTGAGGTGGTCCAATATCTAGAACTGCTGAAGATAGTTTTAACAACCCCCCCTTATATAACCACACACTGATGTTAGGTGTTCCTGAGTACAAAAAATTAAGCTCCTAGAGTTTACCGGCCAACATAACTGGCTCCACAACAGCAGCAGAATTAATATATCCAAGAAGAGATGACTAGTCTAGGTACTTCATTTTTCAATTTTGGAATGACAACCGACCATGTCGAATATATAAAATGAAGTTTACCGGCATTAAGACAGGCATCTAGTTCGCTAGCTGGTAGTATGTACGAAGAGATGAGGCTCGTGAAACAAAAACACCAGCTCTACTGAAGCTATTAGACGGCTTAAAGCCATATGTCTTAATTGGAAGGCAAGAAAATGGGAAAGTGTGAGAGACATTCAATACTCTAAAATCACTCTGAACAAAGCTCTGAATATTGAACTCTTATGTCAAGTTAGCCAGTGCATTTGTGTAGTTCAGAGGGTGAGTGCATTAGCAATTCAAAAATTTAAAACCAAAAGTATATATATATATTCAAAAGAAGTATGTTCAACCTTTGTCTTTACACCATGGTCATTGTGTGGCATGTGCTACTGATAAGATTTATCAGTAGTATATATAAAAAGACGTTCATCGACATACAAAAATATCAAATGGCGGTGGAGAGATAGACTGGACTTCAAAGAGAGGTGGAAATAAACCATGGGAGACACGAAAAAAATAGACAAAGAAACATACACAATACGAAGGAAGAGCAGAGAAGTAGCAAGCACAACACGGAAGATCTGTGCAAATGACGATTTCCATATAAGGTGGTGTACATAATTTCCCTATATATAGAGAGAGAGATTAGATCTTTTGAGAGAAATCTTCATCCAAAATGGATAACCATCAAGATTCATTGACAAAAATATCAAAAGAATGGATACTGAACAAAGAGTACTCTTTTCGATATCTTCATTATCAGGCTCTACAGTTATACAAACATTATAGTGAATGAATGAATTAGTGTTATGAACAACATTATTGTTGCTGTTTAAATAACATCGAATCAATAATATTGATAGATTACAGCTGAACAGCATCAACATAACACTGCACCACACTGAATATCAGACAAATTAGGAAAGATAATAGTACAAATTCATGAATTTATAGCCTCTAGTGAAGGCCAGGGCAGTAGTAGTAGCTGGACTTACTTCTTTTGAACTCAGAGCATTTATAATGCTGGCGAACTACACGCATTATTGTCTACACGACCGGTGGTGCTACCTCGACTGGAAGATGAAGTACGTAGACTAGCCACTTCAAATTGTATCTACCAAATCAACTGCGCCGCTTTTGGTGGAGCGAGTTATATCGACCGTTGCTCTAGGAACTTGATTTTTCGTGCTCGCTCGAGAACATCTCCCACTATGGCTAAATAAAGGTGTAGTGAAAACCATCAATATTTCGATATTGGACCACCTGGTTCAAACCGGCCACAAAGCCAGCGTGGAAGAATCCTTCTCTATTATCTACTCGGTGCCTAATAAATTGACAAAATCATCGAAGCACCGCATCCTCCAAACAGCGGAGACTATTGCAATTCGCCTAAAACAACCAGTGCTCTGTGTTCAAAAGAAGCAAGTCCAGCCCCTACTACTGCCCTGGCCAGCCTTCAGTAGAGACTATAGATTCATGAATTTGTATCATTATTATCTTTCCTAATTTTTCTGACATTCAGCTTATTTTATGTTGATGCTATTCAGCTGTAATCTATCAATATTATTGATTCGATGTTATTTAAACAACATAAATGTGGTAATAACACTAATTCATTCATTCACAATCATGGATGGGTACATAACTGTAGAACCTGATGATGAAGTTATCGAAAAGAGTACTCTTTGTTCAGTATCCTTTCTTTTGAAAAAAATATATCAAACCAAGAATTTGGAGTGGTTTTGAAAGTTGTGTGTCCGTACTGAAAAGTTATAACCGGCTACGGACGGGTACAAAGTAAGTGGGGATATACCATTCTCGGAGTTAGCCATTTCTAATTCAAACTGTTTTTCTCCAAAGGGGGGGGGAGGACAGCATAGCTGGTTTGCTGGTCGTCCGAGCGAGACATCCTACCGCTCTTACAGTCCTATTCGCCTACAAACCCCCGCCACCAACAACAACCAACTGACCTTTCTGGCATAGTAGTACCAAGCCAATTTAGCTTGCTAAGGGGTTATTTCGACATACAATCCAGACGACCACATATATCAAGGTGGTACCTATACCTAGCGGTAAAACCACCGCTACACAAACCTCAAATGCATAAAACACTTCATGCTCTCGACCACCTACCTGGTGTTGTTGCACTCTCTGCTGTTGCAGCATTTGATTATGATGTATCACTGGCTGTAGGACACTGCCTCCGACAACACTTTCACCATCTATAGGCTGTGTAATAGCAATCAACTGACCGCATGATGATAATGCTTGAATAAGACTATTACTCGGTGATTGTTGATGATAGCCTGATGTTTTCATTGGACTCAGGTGTAATAAGGCAGTAGCAGCAGTGCCACCATTGGTCATTGAGTTGGTGGTATTCGATACTGAAGAGGTAGAAGTATCAAACAATACAGTTGGTTGAGTCTGTTGGTGTTGTTGCTGTGGTGGTTGTACTTGTGGTTGCTGCAATGAACTACGTCCACAAAGGATTTGATTACAAGCAGGCAGGACTGAAGTTGTCGTCGTCGTGGTAGTCGTCGATGGTGATGATGATAACGCAACAACTGGCGATCTCAAGGTCATGATGTTACCAACACTATTATTATTATTATTAACTACAGTTAATGGATTTCCTGAATTCATTAGAGTAATTGTTCGACGAACCGGTGAACTATCACTATTTGTATTTAACAGTACAGTAGCCATATTTGAGTCATTTCTTTGAATAATCAACGGTTGGAATGATGAATCGACTAAACCGACAGTACTAGGCATACTACTCCCCGCAGTAGTAGTAGTATTAGCAGCTGAAGTCTCTCTAGCTGAGTACATGCTGAAATCGATATCACAACGATTTTCTGTTTGATAAATTGTTCCCGGTAGATGAATAGATTGAGAGTGTACAACAGCTGGTGTATTACTACTACTAGAAGTACTAGAAGTACAATTACTCAAGAGAATTGGTGAGGTAGACGATGAAGTTGACGTTGAATTATTCGATAAAAGGATAACATTCACCGGGAGTGAATTATTGCTACTGGTTGGATTTGATGTGAGGTGATATGCAATCGGTTGCTGTTGTTGTTGAGGATGTTGTTGTTGAAAGGTTCGTGGTGTGACTAATGATCGTGTAATTGCACTAGTAGTAGTTGTTGTGGTTGTTGTTGTTGTAGTCACCGGAATCGACGTTGTACCACCCATGACTGTCGTCAATTGATATGGTGATACCTTTTTGGATAGAAAGTATAAGCGCGTAATTTAGAATTCAAAAGTCTAAGAGAATTGAAGTCCAACGGGAGACATTAACAAGCACAACACAAATGAAAACACACAAAAATGACTTTACTTGAGTTGTTTTTTTATTTAGGGATATGATTTCATTTCAAGTCCGACCATAGATTGATATCAGTTAAAGAGGAACCATTGAAAACCAGAAGGGAGTACTGGACAGAGGCTTCGTCAGCCTATCGGAGTTCGGACTCAAGACCTCTCGGTTCCAGCCACGGGGGCACCCAACTCAATGGCTGACCCATGAATTCTAACTTCTACCAATCTCTTATTTTAGTGTGACCACCTGTCAATGTCATCGGAGAAACCTAGTGGGTGCATACTGATGATGACCCCCAAATTAGGACGAAACGCCTGTCCAGTACTCTCAGCTGGTTTTCAAGGGTTCTCTCCAACAGACATCAATCAATCCATGAACAAACTTAAAGCAAAAATGACTATTTCCAAGTCTTGGTTAACAGTGATTTGATCACGAGCTGACACCAGTCAGAGAACCACTGGAAAACAAATGGGGAGTTCTGGATAGCTGTTTCGTTCTAGTTTCAGATGCATCAACCCAGGATCTTCAGGTTACAAAGTGAGCTAGCATACCATTCAACCTAATTATAACTCTTGTCAATTTGCAATGTAGATATAGTACAACCACCAGCCAACGTGATCCTCTTACCTGACGACTTAGTGCAACTCGTTAGCAGGGACTTACTTCTCCAGGCAACTTTCTGTGTAGAGCTGGTTACTACTGAGTATCCGATTAATTAATTTACAAGTGGTGGTTTGCAGAGACTTGGTAAGTCACAGTTTCGATTATAAGCTGACAACAGTGGCTCGATGGTCTACGTGTTCACTTCATAACCAAAGGGTCCTGGGTTCGAACCCCAGTGGATGGATCATCGATGCGTACTGATGAGGAGTCTCAGGCTAGGACGAAACAACTATCAAGTTCTCCGCCTACTAACTTCTCTCTAACTGATGTCAGCTAAGGAACAAATCTAAAAACGACTATTGATGAAATTAAGGACCTTGAGTGGTAGACAAATACCTACCTACCTATCGGAAATAGACTGGCATAAGGTAGTTTAACTAAACATGAGCTGCGATCAAAACTTCATATACACAGATGCATATGAACCTGACCAGAAACCATACAAGATAGAATATTCAAATAATGATAATTCCACAGTGAAAATTTGTAAAGCTAAGTCTGACTGACTGGTTTCAATGTAGAACTTTGCACAGATGTGCAGCACTTCGAGTTGCCACTCCGCCTCCATGTAGCACACAAAGCAAGAGAGGAAAGTAAAAGGAAATGCAAAATAGAGACAGTAAAGGGAGATATGAGACAAAAAGAATAGTAATATCGAAGAACAATAAAGTTTCATCGGGTATTATAAGTCACACGGAGTGGATGCATCTGCGCCAGACACTGACAACGATTTTGAGCCATATCAACAATTGTCTCCAGCCTTCATTGGTTTTTACCGTCCCGAGGACCCAAAGCAGGATGTCTACACCTTCCTACGTGGCTAGCTTAAACCAACTGTTGTGGATTTCATTGACTGATGAAGTCATGTTTTGGTTTGACCACCACTAACCGGTTCTTTTCCAACCTGACCCTATGTTACCTAGCATTGCCCGTCGAGGAAGCCTATGGCTAGGCAAATATAACACACGTCCTAACCACCTCTCAATCGATGTAACTTCCCAGCCTCGTCGATTGATTTCCCCTCCTATTTACCTCAATAATGTTCACCCTATCAAAACAACTTCACACGGGAGATAGAACACAGGCAGCTATGATCAAAGAATTCGATAGTAGGCTGTGTGGTTTGAGGCACTCATCAACAACCATAAAGGAACTGATGCCCACATCCCCGTGAGATTCAATAAATCATAACTCCTGACAGTTCATGCTGTAAGAATCTTATTAGACAAGGAAAGCATACAACACAGACATGATTTACATATACACTGGGTTCATTATTGTATAATAGAAGGCACTGAAATTGAAACTAAGTCGTCTTATCTATATGATCTTTCCTGTTCTTCTCCCGCCCCCCACACACACATAAACATCATGTTAGTTCCTAGAATTGATATTTCGTTTCACATTCTGCATAAGGAATAAGTGAAGGCGATCTGGTATCATCTCACTCAGTCTCTACATTTTTTTTACAATTTGTTAACTCTCGTATTCTACCTATGCGTCTTTATTGATTTATTGTTCAGATGACTCAGTATTTTATCAGCGTTTTCACTTAGGAGAGTGTGGTGAGAGCTGGCATCTAGCCAAAATAGGTAGACAGTAATTTGCGTCAATGTTTCCGTCGCCAATATTGGTCATGAGAAAAGAACAAGAACAAAGACTGATTCAACAACCAATCACAGCAGACTTTGTTTGCGTGGGCGGATACAATTTGCAGATAGATAATCTAAACTTCAAGAAACGCCCTCAAAGAGATGAAAGATTAATGTTCAACGAGAAACCACCAATCAGAAGACTGTTTGTTTGCTTACAATAATCTATAATAATGTGTGCGTCGGTGGCATAGCGGTTAGGACGCTCGCCGACCGTGCACATGGTCCGGGGTTCAATCCCCGGCTGACGCACTCCTTGTGCGTCGGTGGCACAGTGGTTAGGACTCTCGCCGACCATGCACATGGTCCGGGGTTCGATCCCCTGCCGGCGCACACCCGATATCTATGGTATGCCTGAATTTGGGCAACCGATATCCATGCTGAAAATTCCATACTTGTACTGAAAATACGGTGTGGAATCAAGCTGTAAATCAAAAAAAAAAAAAAAAATGAAAATATGTGTTGATTTCCTAAATAAACGATCTGTTGCCTGGCCCTTGTCTTCTGTTGTTACAAGAGGACTGATTCTATCATCCTCATATTTTTAAATCGATAAGACTATGTATTTATATCCTGGTAACAAATCAATCAATCCCTGAGTCACTGATGAAGCCAGTTACGGTTCATTTCATTAGTACATCCATGATGATGAAATTAAACAGAAATGGCAACAGTGGGTATCCCCCTGATAGACACCATACTGCACCGGTTGTCATCACTTCAGATGACAACTCTCCCTCTCCATGTGTGTAGGCTCTTCAGACACTGACGCTAGGCGTAGAGTGCTAAATAAGAAGGTGAAATCAATCGATAAGGTTTTGAAGCTGCTACAGTGATTGATATGACTAGGACATATGTAACACAAGTGCCAAGCTACCGACATCCTCGACCATCAGTGTTAGCTGACATAAGAGGACTGGGTTGGTGGATAGCAACAACACATGGTCAAAACTAAAACATGGCGTGGATACATGAAGTCTCTGGACTGTTGGTTTCGTCAACCAGCCATGTGAGGAGGTTGTATGCTGTCTATAGTTAGAAACCTCAGGATTTTAAGAACCAATTACTAGAAACTACTAGTGTAACGACAGAAGACAGGGGCCGGGAAACAGATTGTTTATTGAGAAAATCAACAGGTACTTATAGATTTTTATGCACATTATTATTCGTTATTTTTAGCAGAGAACCAACGTCTTCTGATTGGTTGTTTTCTTGCTGTAGGTTATTCTGTACTGATTGTAACCGTTAAGTTAAGCCATATATCTGCGAATCGTATTTGCACACGTCAAGTCTGCTGTGATTGGTTGTCGAATTCCTCAAGGTTAGGCTTTGTTATTGTCTTTTTTTCTCATGATTCCGATTGGGGACGTAAACATTGACGTAAATTGATGTCTACAATTTTGGCTTGCAGACAGTTCTCACCACACTAGTATTCTCTCTCCCTCACATTTCTGTGTAATAGAGCTCTTTTGAATTCCCCTTTTTCTACCTATATGTGTCGCTACACGGAGAAAGTATGGTAACTCGAACTGCTGCACATCTGTGCAACGTTCAACGTTTAAACCAGTCAGTCAGTAGAGGAAATCGGCAGGAAGCCTTGGCTGGACCCAGGTTTCGTGCTTGTTGGCTGACACTCAATCACTCACTCACTGCACCAGTTAGTCCCTCCTGAGATTCAAACCCATGGTCAGGCTAGCAGATACGCTTTTTTGATTGGTCAGTGTCAGCCAGCAAGCACGAAACTTACATCCATTGCCTCACAGTACACCGTGATGATCAGTCACTTACTTACCTAACTAGCATGCCAATCACACACACACGCACACACACACTACAAAATCTGACTGACTGGTAGAATTTGTAGTCTGAAGCAAACACATCGAGCAGTAAACGATCGTTTAAACTTCTATTCTATTCGCTATTCACAAATCATATACAAAAACAAAACAAAAAAACAAACTCACCACCATATTCTGTCCCTTCATAGGTGAATAACCACCACCACCTCCAGAACCATAAATTAACATAGGCATGTTAATAGACGACTGGACTGGATGATGATACTGACCATAAGGCGATTGTTGTTGTACAACGTCTGTATGTTCTATCTGTGAAATTGCATTAGTAACAATAGAACCAGGCGTGACAATATTAGTAGAATGAGTTGCAGTAGACGTCGCAGTTGGTAATAGTATGTAACCACCAGGTGACTGATTGTTATTGTTGTTGTTAGCGTTGTTGTTATTAAAACCGCCAAAACAACCTCCTGCGGGAGCTAAAAATGTCTGACCGTCGACAGTAGTTAACAAGAGAAAAGTAGTAGTAGCAGTGTCTTGAATAAACGTCTGTTGCTGTTGCTGTTGATATTGTTGTTGTTGCTGTTGTTGTTGTTGTAAGTACGGCTGTTGAGTGAACACCAACGAAGGACACTGCATCTGTGATGATTGCTGTGCCTGTTGAATTGATGATGCTGACGTTTCATACACGATTTGATTTCGAAGCACCTGTGGCGGTGCTGGTGGCTCTGGTGGCGATGTAGACAACGGAGCTATCATTGATGACAAGGATATATTATTCGTAGTCGGTGTGTTGATAATGGTGTTGGTTGCACTAGATGTTACAAGTTTTGGCACTTTTAGTAAGAAATGATTTGGACTACGCATAATATCTGTTGCTGCTGCTGCTGTTGTTGATGTTATTGTTGTAGGCAAGGCTTGTTGTTGTTGTACCACTCCGGCTGATGAAGATGGTGACAAAAGCAGCACGTTGGTTTCAGGGTTGTCTAAACGTGAAATTATCACTGCATTACTACCATTACTACTAGCACTATTGTTAGTACTAGTATTGTTGTTATTATTATGACTATTAGTGTTGATATTGATTTTTTGCACATCATTCTGTGTATTCGTTGTCATCATCATACTGGACATATTAGTACCTAGAAGACACGATAACTTGTCAACTAATGCTTGTTGACGAGTACTTAGATCTGATGAAGGTATTTTGGTGTTGCCAACGCCTACGCAATGATTATCGGGCAGTGCTAACGCAGCTCTATCCGCAGCTATCACACAAGCACTAGTTGCAGCTGATAAGGCAGCTGTTGCAACCTTTGGCATATCTGGTCGTACTACCTTGTCAACAATGTTGCGCATTAATGCACCGATACGATTTTTGCCCAATGCACCGATACTGAACCAAGCAATAGAAGATTTTGAATGAAAGGCTGCAGACGAATTCTACACAAGAGAAAACAAGAAGAACAAGTAGAAAAGAGAGAAGAAATACCAAAGAGAAAGTTAATAGGAAAAGACTCTCCATCAAAAAGCTTTATTAAACTTTTAACGCTATTATACCCTATATTATTATTATTATTATATCCAAACTAGTACTAGACATCTTTTTTTTAAAATCTAATTCAATTTGGACTTTCTCGTCGATTGATTGGACTGAAGTGTTCGGTTCGGCTTTTGTTGCTTGTACGGATGCTTGTTTCAATGATGTCTGATTATTTAGTTAGCTTTAAGTAAATTGATGGATGGTGGACTTGCACGATAGGGGGAATCCAGGATGTGCAGATGTCAGCTCATGATGAAATCCTCCAACCACCAATCAAACGAAAATCCCTACACAAAAACCAATGTTTGAAAATATATTTAGCGACTGGTCCTATTCAGGTAACTAACCTGAGGTTCTAATGCGAAGCCGTGACCAGTAGAGTACATCAGGTTGAAGGTGAGACAGTAACTCATAGAAGACGACATTGTGAAGTGGTTGCGCTATGTCATTCATGAATTGGCAGAAGTTAGAATTCATGGACTGGCTGGCCATTGGATCAGTTGGGTCCCAGTGAGTGACTTGATGGTCTACGAGTTTGCTAGCCTTGTAACTAGTAGGTCCTGGGTTCGAACCCTGGAGGTGTATAGGTGAGTACTGATGAAGAGTCCAAAACTAGAACGAAACAGCTGTCCAGTACTCCCAGCTGGTTTTCCAGTAGTTCTCTAACTGATGTCAGCTCATGATGAAATCCTCCAAGCAATCAAACAAAATTCCTACAAACCAGTACCAGTACTGATACCCACCCATTACACAAGAGGTGGATCTTCTCCTGGCCCAAATAATCTAGTGGATAACCTCTTTGGTGTTTGAGATGGTAGCTACTAGGATTCGAGAGTCAGTGGGAACACCATCCCTCTCTCCCTCAATGAAGAGGGAGTACAGGTACATCCGCTAACTGAAGAGTCGTAAATAGGACGGAATGAGCATCCGGGATTCCACTGCTGCTCACCAACCCACCAATTTATGTTAACCGTCATCATTTGGAATGCGAGATGTAGACCGTGAATGAATGTTTCAAATATGGAGGAAACACATATTAGAAAGGAGTCTGTAGTTCACGCTCGATTCCTAGTGGACGCAACGTTTGAACTTCACTCAGCCGATAAAAAGCCCGATAAAGATGGAGACTAGCAATCCCAATCCGTAAAGAACAACAACAGGGACCTACCATTATTATAGCACCACTGTGCACACTGCACATGAATTGAGGTGGAAATTTCATTCCAAACTCGTTTTTTAAGTATTGTTTGGACAAATGGGTTGATAGCTTGTTAAGGTTGGGGGTTATGATTCGGATTAGATTTAGGGTTGGGAGAGGGGTTAGAGGGCGTTATATTTTTATTATCTGCATTTCTTTAGTAAAAATAGTTGTCACCTCCTCCCATCCCACCCTTTACTAGAACTCATACTAATTCAAATGAGGGTGTTTCCAGGAAGAATACTGTAAAACAGGATAAGAACGATAAAGTAGTGGATCACATAAAATGAACTCACCTTCAGTCACCTTGATGAATATATATGTACAGTAAAACTGGTTTAACCAAAGAAAAACTGATACTTATTATTATAATTGGAAGATATTTTTAACTGCATGGAGGATTTCATCATGAGCTGATATCAGTTAGAGAACCATTGGAAAACCAGCTGAGAGTACTGGACAGCTGTTTTGTCCTAGTTTGGGACACTTCAACAGTATACACTAACCACCAGGGTTCAAACCCAGGACCTTCTGGTTACAACGCTAGCGAACTCGTAGACCATTGAGCCACTGGGACCCGATCCAATGGTCCTTGAATTCTAACTTCTGCCAATTCACGACATAGCGCGACCATTTCGCAATATCTTCTTCAAGGAGTTACTGTCTCATCTTCAACCTGCTGTACCCTACTGGTCACGGCTTCCCAATGGTCTACCAGCTCGCCTTGTAACCAGAAGGTCCTGGGTTCGAACCCTCTGTGGGGTGGGTGCATACTGTTGAAGAGTCCCAAACTGGACTGACGAAACAGTTGTTTAGTACTCCCAGCTGTTTTTCCAGTGGTTCTCTAACTGATGTCAGCTCATGATGAATTCCTCCAATCAATCAAACAAAATCCCTACAAAACCAATACTTCAAGATATTTTTAAGTCACATCAGGGAAGAATACCCTATTTTTGGTGAAATTTATCATTATTGCCTTGTAAGGGAACGTCATTCTTATATTTAAGAACTACCGTTTGTGCATGTGCAATTTATTGATCCACTGTTACTTTTTCGTAGCCAAGCAGGATAATGTTCTTTGACTCTTTTAAGATAAGACAAGCAGTGAACGACCTAGATATATATATATATATATATATGCTCAATCTACATGAGCAAATCAATTGGTAGATACACATAGAAGTGGCTAAATTGCAATAGTTTATCTTAAGAGTTGTTGAAGAACATGAGAATACCCACCCTGACGTTTCAAACAGAAGAGAATGCTTTCTCCAGAGAGTCAGATATTCTCCTCTTTAGGATATCGGTCAGAAGGTGCCGGTCTTTCAATGCCAATATTCATGTACAGCAACTTCTTCGGCACAGAGATAGGTTATTCTTTGTTGGTTTCTCATCCGTAAAAGGCGTGGTGGATAGCCATTCTCACTTTTTTTTCAAACATTTTGATGACGTAAACAACAACCCAAATTAATTTTTATTCTTGTCTGATAAAACTAATGGGCACGCGCACACACTTACGAAAATAATATTTTTTAATTTTTTTTTATTATAGCTTGATTCCACACAGTATTTTGGTACAAGTATGAAATTTTCAGCATGTGATATCGGTGGCCCAAATTTTGTAGGCCGACCAACTAATATCAGGTGTGCGTCGGTGGGGGATCGAACCTCGGACCATGTGCATGGATCGGCGAGAGTCCTAACCGCTGTGCCACCGACGCACAAAGGTGTACACACTTGCCGGAACACGGGATCGAACCGGGGACATTTAGAGCTTCAGTCTAACGCTCTCCCTGCTGAGCTATTCCGGCGGCAAATTGTGATTCAAATCACCGAAAATATCCATTGAGCTATGAAGAAAATAAAAGACAATTCACCGACGAAAATTTTCTTTATCGACGAAATCATCTCATCAGAGGCTGTACAGTCGTATTTATATTTACCAAAAAATGTATAGAAGTCTATTAACGAGTAATAGGGGGTGAAGTAATTGTGATATAATTACTCAGAGCAGCGGCTTTAGAAGTAAAAATAAAAGCTGCAAATTACATAATTAATACTCAATAATAGACTACTGTATATTTTTTTGGTAAATATAAATACGACTGTACAGCCTCTGATGAGATGATTTCGTCGATAAAGAAAGCATTTTCTTCGCTGAATTGTCTTATATTTTCTTCATAATTCTGATTGTACAGCTGAGTGAATTAATTCGGTGCCGAAGACAGACTCTTTGGTGCACTAATTATTCTTATATTCATGTCTGAATGGATATTTTCCGTGAATTAAATTTACGCCAACTGCTTAACAGACTTATCCTTAATTTTCCATAGTTTGGTTTGTAAGGGCTAGTTATGTTTTTACGAGTTGATCACGGATTGATATCAGTTAGACAACCATTGAAAACCAGTGAGTACTAGACAGCTGTTCCATCCTAGTTTGGGAGTCTTCAGCAGTACACACCCACCGGGGTTCGAACCCAGGACCTTCCGGTTCCAAGGCAAGCTCGTATACTATTCAGCCACTGGGACTCGATTCAATGGCTAACCCATGAATTCTAACTCCTACCGATTCGTAAAAACATAACTAACCCTTAAAAACCAAAACTATAGAAAATTAATCTGATGCTCGCTAGTGACTTGCTAGTGACAGGATGGTGTTTCCTGCAAAGAGTCCTAGTGAGAAGTCGTGACCAGTGAGGTCCATCCAGATGTCACGTGTGAGGATGGATGTCCCACCAACGACACTGGTTGGTGCCAGTAGAGCTAAATCACGAATTGGTAGAAGTTAGAATTCATGCAGTGGCCACTGAGGGATCGGGTCCCAGTGACTGAATGGTATACGAGCCAGCTTGCCTTGTAACCGGAAGGTCCTGGGTTCGAACCCTACAGGTGGGTGGGTGCGTACTGCCAATGATTCCCAAACTAGTGGGATGAAACAGCTGTTCAGTACTCCGTTGTTGGTTTTCAATGGTTCTCCAACTGATATCAATCCATGATCAACTCGTAAAAGACTTATCCTTAGCCAAACTTATTCCGAAGTGTAGGATTCTTGTAAAATGGTAAGGCGAAAGTAAAAACTATATATTTTTACAAAAGAATGAAAATCAAATAATTTCGTAATAACCAACCAACTAACTAACTAACTAACCTGTAAAGGTTGAACATAGAAAGGAGAATCCGGAAGCAGTGATGCTTCTTGTCTATGCCTAGCGAAAGATTTATACAAGGCGACAAAATCAGGTCCTGAACGCGGTGGAACCGGTGGTACAGATGGATCCGTATCCAGTGGACGAACTCTTGGCCGATCCGCTTTACTCTCAGTAGACAATGCAGTCGCTACAGTTATTTCAGGCTCAGCCCATCCTGAAGATGGATAGACACGACGAATAACACTACCAGAAGCAGCAGCACCAGCAGCAACTGACGAGCTTGATGATTCTTGTCCAGGAGCAGTAGTAGTAGCAGGATTGATTTCAGGTAGTGCACAGGCTTTAACTGTTGTAAAATTTGGTGGGCCAACATATTCAATAGCATCACACAGTTCACCAGTCATTGGGTCAATTACCCCGCTAACCAGTCGTATATGTCCCCAACGTAGGCGAACATGATGCATACGACTTCCAATACCAAAATAATGTTGCATTAACCACCACATAGAAAAGGTTAGAATCCATGGTCCACGATCATCTAGTGCACGAGCGCGCCAAAGAAGTTGTGTCACTAAACCAACTGGAGGACGTTGTGATGTACCAGGATGTGGTGTGTATATCTTTCCACTGTCTGCTAACACTATTGGATTTGGTGAATGAGATGCCGACGTCAAGACAAGATCTAATAGTTCGCGTAGTTCTAATTTCACTGATCTACCTGAACCTCCACCTGTTTTACGCAGGTCAATACGGATATCATCGACAGGTCGACAACGAACTGGATTATTACGATTACTACTATTATTGTTATTATTATTATTAATCCCGTTTCCACTGACAACTTGTTGTTTGATAGGAATATCAACTAGACATTGTGGTGTAATACATTCAGGTGAAGATTGTTTAATCGGTGTACTGGATGAGAACATGACAGCTGTTGAAGGCATCAGGTTTTCAATACCGCCTAAACGTGCTATACAGTGGAGAAAAATAAAGATGGGAAGGAAGGAAGGAGGGAAGTGAAAGGGTTAATTATTGGACAACAATGATATAAAAGCATATAATTCATACGATTATCGATATTTCACGTTATGTATATATCGTCGTTAATGGTTTATAAATGATAAAATGCTCGCCAGCCACACAGGAGGTCTAGGTTCCATTTTTCCGGAAGACGCATTCATAAACACACTACTATCTAACCAGGGGTAGTAGTAAGTCCGATGAAGAGGAGGAGAGGTTTCTATTGATATGTCGGCTACAACTTATGAGTCAGTATGACCTAGTAGTGGATAGCACCCCCATAAATGACATGGGGGCCAAGGCCATTCATCTGCATAGCCTCATTCTATCAGGTAACTGCTATTCTCACCGCCTTCAAGCCCCACACGGGTGTCCCTCACAGAAATGAAAGGGCAAATGCGAACCTCTGGAGCTTGCAACCAAACTGGTGGACATGTAGGAGTCGAGCTATCTATTGGGACCGGGAAAATCCTGATACCAAACCTAAAGCGTATATACATGGGATCCAGAATCCGAACAGGTCGAATAGCGTATGAATCTGTTTTGATCACCGGACGCTACTCCACTCATTGTATATGTGGGTCAAACATCAAGTCCAAGATTCACCAGGGGGGTGATGGTCCCTTAAAACAACTATCTACTTCGGTCGGTCGAGGTGGCTAGTGTATTAATTATTTCATCCCTTGAACAAACAATGAACACTGGAATCCTGGATGCCGATTTCTTCCTATTTGGAACTCGTCAGACGGATGTACTTGCCTGCAATCTCCAGTCAGTGGTGGACGGTGTTCCCATTGAAACTTAGACACAGCCGTCAAGCAGTCAACGGATAACTTTTTGACGCTTGAAACGATGTAGGTGCTAGTTGTGTCTAAGTCTGAATGAGAACACCATCCACCATTCAACTAGGATTGCAGGCGAGTCATATATATGTAAGACAAAATGGGCATCTATCATCCACAAAACATCAACACTACTGAACTCCTGAGACGTCGTTGAAGTGTCCATATATATTAAAGGAGCTGATTTGTCAACACAGAGACTGAAAATTCCTGTTCAAAATAAAAGATCAACCGACAGAAATATACAAAATTAACCCTGAAGTTCGAATCCCACCTTCAACAACTGATTGTGATCTGATAGGGAGAGAAAGGAGAAAAATGATCCCAGTGGTTAAGCTGACCAGTGACTAACATGGTCAAACACACCTAGCCGGCCTTTTCACTTCTTCCACTCTCAATGACCAGCTCGCACAGCCATAAAGGAGGACGGAGCGAACTTCTGAGCAGTGCACACACGATAGCCGGATATCACGTCTACGACAGAGACGGCGTAAACTGGCATATGCGAAACGAGCCTTCTGTATCCGTGCTGAGATTTCGTCAGCGATCAACTCGTTGGGGCTGATACAACTTCCCAAATAAGTGAAGTGGTCACCACGCTCAACAACCACTTAACTCCCTATTTTTAAGCTAGGAGTCAATGTAGTCCAGTCCTGTAGCATCATCTCACATTTCGCGCGGATACTTTGATCAGACAACAGGTAATAAGTGACCAATATCATATGTCTAATCTTTCGTTTGGTACAGACTAAATTCTATCTATAGATTAACTGAAATCCAAAAATTGAAACCGGTGAGCCGGCATCTACACACACACACACACACGCATACCCAATAGATAACTCAATCAACGTGACACTAAAAATTACAGAAAACAAAAAATTCTGGACAGCTCTATTTCGTCCTAGTTTGAGATTCTTCGCCAGGAAGTACCCAGTATGCAATGGCCAAAAATCTATGAATTCTGTCAAATAGTGAACTTTACAGCCAACGCTGGCCAATTTCATTGGCGAGAAGATGTTCACTCACTCACACCTCACAGATGACATGATAACTCCCAAACTAGGAGTGAAACATCTATCTATCCAGCAAACTAACACCAGTAATATTCACACAAAAAATCAATACACTTACATATATCAATCATACTTTCATCTAAAGGAAGAGCAGCAGAAATTGATGAACCGATGCCTCCTTGATTAGGTGAAGTGGAAGAGGAAGCACCACCGACACCAACACCGACGCCACCGCCACACGTCAATTCCATACGATTATTCTGTGCTGTTGCTGTATTATAGGTGGTGGCTGGTACAAATATAACCGTTGGAGAAAGTGACGAGGAAATATTCACATTACCAAGTACACCGTTAATATTACCATTAGTATTATTATTATTAGGACAGGTGAGTAGGAACTCAGTTGAATTATTCAACAACAACTGTTGTTGTTGTTGTTGATTTGAATGTTGCGGTTGTAATTGAAACAATTGACCACTAGCCAAATCGATTAGTGTTTGTCCATGTGTTTGAATAATATTACCTTGAAATAAATAAACAAATAAATAAAACGTAGAAACTGAATGGCTAGAGAACTCCATATTACCAGATGCAATACAATCGATCAATGATAATAAGATACAGTATGGGTTACCTTGTGAAACTACCAAAGAAGGGCGATTTAGGACTCTGCAAGAACTGGCGAGGAATCATGCTCCTGTCGACGCCAAGTAAAATTCTGAGTCGCATTATCCTCGAGAGAATAATGGACGCACTGGATACAGAACTTCGACCAGAACAAGCTGGATTCAGGAAAGGCAATTCATGTTCTCACCAAATTGCAACTCTACGCATTATCATCACAGAAAAAAGCATGGAATGGCAATCAAATCTCTACCTCAACTTTATAGACTCTGAGAAGACCTTCGACAGACAGCGTTGACCGCGAAGTAATTTGGAAACTACTCGAGTACTACGGCGTACCCCAAATATTCATCAACCTTATTCAACAGCTGTACGACAACGGCACATGTCAAGTCGTCCACAACGAAAAACTCAGCATGGCGTTTGGAGTAAACACAGGAGTCAGACAAGGGTGCTTATTACCACCAATGATATTCCTAATTCTGGTGGACTGGATTATGCGTTAGACAGTGGGAAGCGAGTAGACAGGGATATCTTGGACCGACATGAAGAACTTAGAAGACCTGGATTTCGCGCGTGGATGACTTATGTTTGATGTCACACAAAATCGAAGACTCACAAGCGAAAACTGACAAACTGGTCGAAGAAGCAGCCGGTGAAGACAGGACTCCAGGTGAACATGGACAAGACGGAGGTTATGAAAATAACCAACCAACAACAACAACAACAATAACAGCAGCAACATCCAACGTCAATCACCATCAACGGCGGGAGGGGTTTCAAAGAGGTTACTTCATTCACTTATCTAGGGAGGAAGCATTGTCTCAACTACAGGCACATGGAACGGACGAGGGTGTCAAATCGAGAATCGGGAGGGCGCTGTCACTCAGCATCAACAACAAAATTCGGATTTTCAATACAAACTTCAAGTCAGTTAGTTCTCCTATACGGATGGATCAGAAACTTGGCCAATGTGTCACAAAGAATATTTCCAACAGCCTGTTGCACACCTTTATCAACAACTGTCTTCGCTGGCTCTATACTGAAGATCAGATGGCCGGAAAGAACAAGAACCAACAAGAAACTATGGGAAGAAACAAAGCAAGAACCTATCGCCCAACAAATATGCAGGAGAAAGAAGTGGAGATGGATTGGACACTCGCTGAGGAGGCCGTTGGGTGACATCGCGCGTCAGGCCATAGCTCGAGTGGAACCCGAAAGGGAAGCGGCGAGTTGGACGTTCAATGGTAACATGGAGGAGATCGTGTGAAGAGGAGCTGAAACAGTATGGACTAACATGGATGGAAGTGAAAAGTACAGCAGAAGACAGGAGCAAGTGGAGACGTGCAGTTGAAGCCCTATGTTCCACTAGGAACCAAAGGGAATAATAATAATAATGATAATTAGATAAGGTTATAAAGGTGAATTAATTGAAATGATTAAGGACATGGTACCGCGCATTCCGAAGCCTCAAACCTACCCGACGGTCAATGTCATAGTTGACTAGGAGAGAGAAGGTTGGAAAAGAGCTAGTGATGGAGGGTGCGGGGGGATCAAATCAAAACTTGAAATCAGACCATGACGACAGTTTTAGCCAATGACATGGGAGAGTGCAGACTGCCTGACTGGTTAGACCCTAACCTCAGGATGATAAGGAACGAATATCTGGAGAGTACTGGTGGTGTAGATATATTCACTCTCATACACTCTCTCTCCACTATACTGTCACATGTGTTTTCTATGCACACTAGTGCTTTTTCTCCCTCGTATATCTGTTTATTATCATCACTATGACAACTTCAACTGCTGTTGCTGCTGTTGCACTTCTGTGCAAAGTTCTGTGTTGAAAATCAATCAAGTCAGTCGAAATGAATAACGACTTGCAGAGATGTCTACCTGATTTATGACATGGAGAAGATAATATCAGTTACAAAATGAAAGCTTGTGGGCTGTTTTGTACTGCTTGTTGAAGACAATGGCACAGTGAGAATGATTAAAAAATAGTGAGATTTACATGTGTGATATTATCAGATAGGTGTTTCGAAAAACAGATGTATGATTTATGAACTTGAAGTAGGGCGTTATATAGTTGTTGTTGTTCCCTTAGATTTCGAGTGGAACTTAGGGTTTCGACAACAGTGGTTAGGACTCTCGCCGACCATGCATATGATCCGGGGTTCGATCCCCTGCCGATGCACATCTGATATCAGTTGATCGGCCTGAAAAATTTGGGCTACCGATATCACATGCTGAAAATTCCATACATGTACCAAAAAATACGGTGTGGAATCAAGCTGTAATAAAAAAAAATCAACATAAGGCATAAATCGTGCGCGAAGAGTATACACAATATACAATTAGATATGTGATACAATGGATTTTACTGGACTAAGAAATCACCTCGATCAATATACACCAAAATTTCAACGCATCTCCGGCCATTTGTACTTAATATCCCGAGAACCCCAACCACACGGCAGTCTACACCTCCCTACATGGCCTGCTCCAACGAACAATGCCAAAGACTCCATGGACAGATGCCATGCTTTGGTTTGACCTCCACTAAATCCTTTCCAACCTGATCCTCCCCCATTGCCCGTCGAGGAAGGCGACGACTAAGAATGCCTAACACATATCCTAACCATCTCGATTGATCTACCCTTCACAACCTCATTGATTGGTTCCCCCTCCTACTTACCTAACACTCGACCGATGTCTAACCTCAATGTTGCTCACCAACTTATTACACCTACCATCTAACACGGGAGATAGAATGCACACAGGCACCTATGATGAAAGACAGCTAGCCGGCCTTTCATTGTCCTCCACTTTCAATGGCCATGTCTCACTCACAGCCAGTCATAAAGGAGCACGGAGCAACTGCTGGACAGTACACACACCCTTTGCTCGACAGTCAGCCGCATATCACGTCTACGCTATAGACGGCGTAAACTGGCATATGCGAAGCGAGCCTTCTGTATCCGTGCTGAGAATTCGTCAGTGATCAACCTACCGGCGTTGGCTGATACAAGTGAAGTGGTCAACACGCTCAACAACCACTTCACTCCCCCCTATCTTTAAGCTAGGAGTCAATATAGTCCAGTCCTGTAACACCATCGTACATTTAACAGGAGCAATTCCACGATGGCTGCTCAGGGGTATTCAGAAGACTCTGCATTCAATCAATAAAAACCCGTATACGGAGATAAAATATGCGCTAGTGATTCAGGAGTCGACTGCTTATTATCAGCTACATAGGAGGTCCAGGTTACATCCCCCTAATGACTCTTAAACTTAGTCTTATCTACTAAGAGAGAGAAGGTAGGGTGAGTGGTTAGGAATCCAGACAGGGCAGACACACACACACACACACACAAAGACAGATAAGGATATCAAAGCCACCTAGGATGATGAGTAAAGCAAAACAGAGTTTCATGAATCTGAAATCACTGTGAAAATCTATTGCACTCCCCAGATTTCAACACTAACATATATCAACTCATTCACCTCTTCTTCTTTTATATGGTTCAAACTTGGCGCACAAGTCATGAAAAGCATTTCTAGCAGGTCAAGGTCACTACAAATTTCTATCAACAGTTGCTGACGGGAAACAAGAAACCAACGAAGCCGAACAAATACGTCGAGGTGAATCAGACACACGCTCAAGAAGACTATGGAGTATTGAAGAGCGCCAGACCATCGCCCGAAATAAGTCCTAGTTGTGACATCGAGGAGGATGAGGAGGAGACGGAAGAGTGGATGACAGTTTATGGACAATTGAGAGGTTAGAGCTAAAGACAACTCGGAACGCAAAAGGAATGTCACAAAAATAATAAAATACAATAAAATAAAACATAAGATTAATATTTTTATTTACCAAAAGGAAAATTTTGTGTTATTCCCAGGTTGATATTCTCTTGCATTATTGATGGGGAGATTTTCCCGTTAGTTAAACAATAATTCCCACCCTTATTATTATTATTCATCATTTCATTTGCAGTATCAATAGTATTACCAACATTATTTGTTGTACCGATACCAGTTCTAATTTGATTGTTATGTAGATTATTCAATGATAGATCTGCTTGGTTAAGATCGAATGCATCAATGCCGACATCGTCATCATCATCACCATCGATATCGTCATCGTCGTCCATACCATTACCCAGAGAAGGATGATCACTAATATATGAGGTAAGGATAAAAAATTTAATGAATACAACGAACTATATAAAGATACAAAATACAGTACAAATGCGTAAAACTATATACTATGATCATTAGTATTATTGTTCCCTGGGGCTCCAAGTGGAACATCAACAACACATATCCACTTTGTCCCATTTTTCTGTTTGGAATAAAGCTATTATCATTATTGTTTTTATTACTATTAAAGTCAACCTCTATGTCTTAAAATTGAAGTTAGGCGTAGAGTACTAGGTAAGGAGGGTGTAAGTCAATAATCCATGAATTTGTGAAGATGTACCGACTGAGATGTATAGGACACCTCTGTTGTGCATGACGAGCAATCGCCTTGCTCAACAGGCAGTATTAGCCAACATTAGGTAAGGAGGGGTGGAGACAGTTACAGGTGGCCAAACCAACACACCTGGTATCCATCCATCCATCCATGAAGAGCTATGTAGTGAGGGGGTAGATGTAGACTCCCTGATTTGGGTTCTCGAGATATTCTAAGATCCAATAATGGCTGGAGAGAATCTTGGAGATAGACATAACTTAAAATCATTCTCAATGATGCGCATTCACTCTTTGGTGTTATGTCTCATATCGATTCAGAAATATTTGTTTTTACGAGTTGACCACGGATTGATTGATATCAGTTAGAGAACCATTGAAAACCAGCTAGTGAGTACTGGACAGCTGTGTCTTCAGCCTAGTTTGGGAATCATAGGCAGTACTTACCCACCGCCAAGGTTCGAACCCAGCACCTTCCGGTTACAAAGCAAGCTCATATACAATCTGTCTGCCTGTCTGTTTTAGACATAGAACTTTGCAAATATGTGCACCAGTTCAAGCCGCCACTCTCCCTCCATGTAGCACACAAAGCAACAGAAGAAAGTAGGAGAAATGCATAATATAGACAGTAAACAGAGGTGTGAGACAAAGGAATACTAATAACGAAGAAATCATAAGTCACAAGGAGTGGATGCATCTGCGCTAGCCACTGAGAACGATTTTGAGCTATCCATGTCACCAATTGTTTCCAACCATTGGTTTTTACCGTTCCGAGGACCCCAACCAGTCTGGAAGTCTACACCTTCCTACGTGGCCTAGACTAACTGTTGTAGATTTCATTGACTGATGCCATGTTTTGGTTTGTCATATACAATTCAGCTACTGGGACCCGATTCAATGGCCTGGCCCATGAATTCTAACTTCTACCAATTCGTAATTGAGCGCGACCACCAACCAATGTCATCGGTGGGAAAGCCATCTTCAGAAATATTTATCACTGAACTATTCAGGCTAGGGATTGATTGACCTGTCATGTAGGACTGTAATGGATACAACATCAATTAGTCACCAGGGTATAATATGCTGATTTGTAAATATCAAATGGCTTTATTTAATTGCAAATCCCCGCTATTTGTAGAGTCGTAGTACGTTGCTATGGTGCATTATTGGTGATATTATATTCTTGAACTGAGTTACATTTTGCTGTACTTTTATCAGAAAATCTCGATAGATATTAAAGTTCGCGCGAAAATCGATATATGGACAGATTTTGATTAGCTGTTGGCTAGTTGGCCTCCTATTGGTCTAAAATAATTGTCAAACCTGGAAGTGTTTTTTTTAATTTTCATACGGATAATTACAGGTAGTAATAGGCAGTAGAATTAAAGAGTTACCGACAGTATAGTGGCGTGTGAGTTGTTTTTTTTTGGTGTGCCAGTGTAGTTTGATGAGTCACATACTCTATTTGAATGCATTAGTGGTTTTAAAAGTACATTGAGATGGATGAGAATTTTTACTAGGTGAATATAATTCAACAATAATTTTGATGAATTTATTGAAGTCTCAAAATAAGATATGTGCATTTTTTCCTGACTAGGTGAATGTGATTTCCCACAAACTGGAAGCTATGCAAGTGATGAAAAGCAACAAGTTGACAGAAGAAGCATCCAAAGAAGATAGGACTTCAGGTGAACATGGAAAAGGTGGAGACAGAGATGATGAAGATTCTTGGGCAACAGCAACAACAACAACAGACAATAATCAGCCAGCATAAATGCGAGAAATCTGAAAGAAGTAACCTCCTTCACCTAACTACCCACCTCTACCTGGGAAGCATTGATTCAACTACAAGTGGCCAGAACTGATGAGCATATCATCAAAGAGAGGATCGGGAAAGCAAGGCAATTAATAGTGTACCATGGTAACGAGTTACCTAGCTTATTGGTTACCACACATTGTAAATTGGAATCATTGGAATTCAAGTATTGGTTTTGTAGGGATTTTGTTTGTTTGAATGGAGGATTTCATCATGAGCTGACATCAGTTAGAGAACCATTGGAAAAACAGCCATAGAGAATACTGGACAGCTGTTTTGTCCTAGTTTGGGACACTTCATCAGTACGTACCCACCCGCCTTCAGGGTTCGAATCCAGGACATTCTGGTTACAAGGCGAGTGAGCTTGTAGACCATTGAGCCACTGGGATCCAACCGATCCAATGGCCAGCCCATGAATTCTAACTTCTGCCAATTCATGACATAGCGGGACCATTTCGCAATGTTTTGTTAGATGAGTTACCGCCTCATCTTCAACCTGCTGTACCCTACTTGTCATGGAATTCAGTTTAATTAAAACACTGAGATCTCTAGATTCGCGGCATCGTGCATACAACCTAATGACCAATCAGAAGTACGTATATAAAGTGTAGTGAATGATTTAATTTTAATAATAATAGATGCACAAACAAACACACACACACAAGCATAATTTGCGTAGTTGCATTTATGTGTGTGCGTGTATGTGTATTCACTCACGTGCACACACACATAATTAATCGAATCTACTAACACCTTATTCGACTGATTAATCAATTAATCAATATACACACATGTAAAGATTAATACATGAATCTATCGATTTTTTTATCAACGTGTTTAAATTAATTGTATATTTAGCCGTAGGTGAATGCAAACGACGCATATATTAATAATAATAAAGGTCATTTCAAGTGAATGAAACTATACAACGATGATGACCTGAACGACCTGAACTGAAGTATGGACGAAATTCGAGCAGTGTACTAAGATTAGTGAGACGTTATAATAAAAATATTGATGTATTAATTATTGTTATTCCGTTAGGTTTCGAGTGCAACACACGGCTTCAGAGGCACATCTTCCTTCATCACATCTGTCATCTCCTCCACACACACACACACGATCTCCTTCACATGTCACTCTCGGATGAACACCAAAGCCGTCGTTTCCAATCTCAGGTTTGGTATTTGATTTCACTCCAACAGTCTCCTAAGCGTATCCTATTGATCTCCATTTCCTCAGACATATTTGTTAGGCGATATTGGTTTGTAGGTGACTTTGTTTCCATCTGACTCTACCTGGTTGCTAATCTCTTCCGGTTTGCCATTTGATTCTTAGTATCGAGCCAGTGGTGAAGACAATTGTTGATAAACGTCTGAGGCTTGCTGTAAATGCCTTTAGCAACGCGCAAAGTATCGGTACTCCATGGAAGCTCTGACCGCTTTGACATTGGTGTTGAAAGTGTGCAATAGATTTTCACACGGAATTCAGAAAAATGAAAGTCCTGACATCCACATTTGTGCCACCGCCTGTAGGTGAAACGATGCTGCCTTAAACAAGTTACATGAAATGTCCTTTTTCAAATTCCTCTCAAAGCTTCTGATTGATGCTTGTTTTAGGTGATGGTGATGGTCAGTGAGTATCTTCACCTGTGTCTTCTTTATATTCACTTGAAATCCCGTCTTCATTGCCAGTCTCTTCTGCCAGTCTGTGAGAGATTAGACATAATTCATCCACGTTATCCTTCACAGTCGACCACAACATGATGCAGTCAGGAATATCAGCAGCAGCAGGCAGTCTTATTTTACTCTGAGCTCTATAATATAGAGACGGTTGCAAGAAATCAAATAATCTCCTAAAATTAAACGAACCAAAATAGATATTTTTAGTGCCCCGTGATTATTTTGCTGGATTTTCAACTGTTCATCACAGCAGAGATTTTGATTAGTCTCGTATTAAATCACAAAAACCAGGATAGATTACTGGATAACAGTTTCGCCGCCGCCTGGGACTCTTCAGTAATACACACCCATGACCCCACCGCTTTGAAAGGTGAACTCTTTAACCAATCAGTCACTGGGAGAGAGAGAATTCAACGACCAGTCAATTCTAATGTTCAATAACGAAGTTGTCTGCAGTTTTCGCGGGAAATCCAGACTTAATCGGGATTCACCATGAGTAGTTGGGTATCAAGGACAAATATTTACTGATGCCATTGACGGGCAGTTTTGCGGCAGTCTTCAACGAGTTCGGTTTGTAACCTGAAGCTGTCCTGGGGGTTCGATCCCTGGTGGTGGATTCAAGAGTGTGTACTGCTGAATAGCTTCCAGCAAGGACTATCCAACTTTCCGATATCCACAATATATACACATTTGATCGGTTAGAGGACTTCATCACGAGCTGACATCAGTTAGAGAACCATCGGAAAACCTGCAGGGAGTACTGGACAACTGTTTCGTCTCGGTTTGGAACTCTTCAGCAATACACGCACACTCCAGGGTCCGAATTCAGGACCTTCTGGTTACAAGGCAAGTGAGCTCGTAGATCATTAAGCCACTCGGACCTGATCCACTAGCCCATGAATTCTAACTTCTGCCAATTCATGGCATTTGGTTTTCCAATGTTTCTCTAACTCATGTCACCTCCTGATGAAATCCTCCAACGAGTCAAACATAATCTCTACAAACACATTTGTTACACGTTTTCAATTTATGAGGTGAAGGGCGTTTTTCTCATTCTTTGGCTTTTGACAAAAAAACCCTACGTGATGTTGGACTAAGGTTTATTTATCGATCGCTCAATCGACCAGTCTTTTAATCGTGATAATGACAAAGGCATGTGTATACAACAATGAGTGACGGTAGACAAAGTAATCAAAACATTTCCATTATTTTGATGTACTTTTATAGTACGTAAAAGAAAGAAAACAAAGCAAAACAAAAATGGAGTCGCCATCAAGGTCATATGTGTGACTAATATATATCCATAATAATTAATTAATAAGGCCATTTTTATGTGAATTTTATTCAGTCAATTGTGATAAACACGTATACGCTACTGCTATGAAGGATTCTTTTTGACAGGTTTATCATGAATGTCCGGTGTTACTACACACTACAGTCAATAATAAAAATAACTAGCAAGAACAGAGAGAAAAAATTCTCTGTCACATTAAACTGTGGTGGTGTATTTCCTCACCAGCTCTGTGCGTCGGTGGCACAGTGGCAGAATGCTCGCCGCCAACTACGCCTCAGGTGGTTCGGGGTTCGACTCCCGGCCACTGGACGCACTCCTTTACCTCGCTAAGCCAGTAGTAATTAGACTAGTAAAGATGGAACACTGGGTTAGCGTGAGGCTAGCAACCCCATCCCGTAAAAATTAAACACCACTGCTACCGAAACTTCAAGCCTCGCCAAACTATAGAAAATTAATCTGATGCTCGCTAGTGACTTGCTACAGGATGGAGTTTCCTGCAAAGAGTTCTAGTGAGAAGTCATGACCAGTGAGATCCATCTAGATGTCACGTATGTGGATGGATATCCCACCAACGACACTGGTTGGTGCCAGTAGCGCTAAATCACGAATTGGTAGAAGTTAGAATTTATGCATTGGCGACTGAGGGATCGGGTCCCAGTGGCTGTATGGTATACGAGCTTCCCTTGTAACCGGAAGGTCCTGGGTTCGAACCCTACAGGTGGGTGGGTGATGTCAGTCCGTGATCAACTAGTAAGATATCTGCCTATATTATCACCATCGCGGATATTCGTGATTGTAGTGGACTGGATCATACAACAGCGGACTGTAGGGGGGAGCGAGAAATGCTGGACAGACGGGTAGGTTTGATTGGAAAAAAACCACATTGGAAGATCTGGATGCATGCATACCCAACTTCTCGCTTCCCATTCCATTTTCACTCGACAACCTGATTAAGGTTGAAAAAACTTTCAACTACCACGGCATTACTGTCATGTTATATTTTTACATTCATTTGCGTTCCAAATAGAACATGGGGTCTCAGTCTATGTAGGTTCAGTAACAGCGTAAGGTTGGTAGTCTCAAGTCAGACCTTCCCTTTGCTCCAAACTTACAATGGCTGCCAGACAAACTGAATGAATGCGTCGTCTGGGAATCGAACTCGCACACAAAAAACTGGGAATCACTGGATGGCTATTTCGTCCTAGTTTGGACCTCTTCAGCGTCACCACACCAGGAATTGAAAACCAAGGACCTACACGATATAAGGTGACCTCATTAAACACTCAACAGTCTTTATCATAGTAACAGAGGGTGGTTGCGTTAAATCGAAAACATGAACTGTTAGAAGTTGGAATTCATGGGCAATTCAGACGGTTTCCAGTGGCTGATTGGTCTACAAGCTTGACTTGTAATGGGAAGGTCCTAGGTTCGAGGCACAGCGGGCGCTCATCAAATAGAAAAACAGATAAAATTGGATGTTAGCTAGAAAAATCGATCACATGCTGTGATTCTTTTATAATTTCACAATTAGATTTATACATCCCCCGAAGCAAATAAGAAAAGAAAGAAACAACAACAACAACAAAACCAAATGTTGTCAATCTAACCCAGAAATGCATAGAATGAATTCTAGTACTGCTTTCAAATGCACACAAAGAAGTGGGATGCTAATTATTATAGAAGGCTTGAATGCTTTTCAGTTTAGTGTCACTAAAAATCGACAACTGCTAGGCAAACATTGCTAATCAGTAAGTACCATCAGAAACGTATGTATACAGACACACACACATAGACACGTATTTCACTAATTATCATGATACTGAGGATTACTAACAAGAACGATAAGTAAGCAGGGTTAACAAACAAAAAGTTAGCAAAAAAACTGTGTGACTCAATGCGATTGATTGCTTGATTGATTACAGGTTTGCCCACAAGCTGACTGACATCAGTTAAAGAAACACTGGAATCCCGATAAGAAATAGTGTACAACTGTTTCGTCCCAGTTCGGGACTCTTCATTAGTTAGCACCCAACACCCGGGTTCGAACCTAGGTAACAAGGCAACTTCGGAAACTATCCAGCCAACCATACAGTCTACCAGTTCGAGGTATATTATATATAGTGCAACCAGTAGCCAAAGTCATCGTAGAATAACTAACCGTCCGCCTACCTGACTTGACAGACCCTACTAGTCACGGCATCTTACATCGCTAGGTGTGCGTCAGATTAATTTTCAAGTCTAGGTTTTCGATGATCTAGTTGGTCACAGGCATCAGTTAAAAAAACCCATCGAAAAACCAGTAGGGAGTACTGGACAGCAGTTTCGTCCTAGTCTGAGACTCTTCAATAATGCCCATCATCCATGTTCTCTCTTTTCAAAGGAAGCCAATTTTTATTCCTGAAAGTCAGGTGCTGACCAGCCAACAACCAAGAAGCTATAACCAAAAGAAATGAAGATGGATAGGACACACACACACACGCTGCTGATTGACACACCGTTGAGTGGGTGTCACTTCGAGGATGATGTGAGGAGGCATGACATCATGTGATCGGTCGGTCGGTCGCTCGGTTTTCGACATAGAACTTTGCACATATGTGAGGAAGTCCAAGTCGCCACACTCCCTCCACGTACCACACAAAGCAAGAGAAGAAAGTAGCAGAAATGCATATTAGAGTCAGTAAACAGAGGTGTGAGACAAAGGTATAGTAATAGTAATAATGAAGAACAAAACAGTTTCATTAAAAATTATAAGTCACAAGGAGTGGATGCATCTGCGCCACTGAGAACGATTTTGAGCCATGTCACCAATTGTCTCCAGCCTTCATTGGTTTTTACCGTCCCGAGGACCCCAACCAGTCAGGAAGTCTACATCTTCCTACGTGGCTTAAGCTAACTGTTGTGGATTTCGTTGACTGGTGCCATGTTTTCGTTTGACCACCACTAACTGGCTCTTTTCCAGCCTGGCTCTATATCAGCTAACATTGCCCATTGTCGAGGAAGGCGATGACTACGCATGCGTGGCACATGTCCTAACATCATGTGATGAAGAGGAAATAATAGCTTATAAGCAATCGTCATGGAGCCGGTCAAAAACGACTGAAGCAGAAGAAAAAAACCAAGGATAAAATGTGGAGATGTGTGTTGTTGAAGTCCTCTCTCTCTCTATGTTCCACACGAAATCCAAGAGAATATAATCATAAAGAATAATGATAATAAAATAATAATGAATTGCCAAATCTTACCTGTAACAACCATCAATATGCTTTGAATTGAAACATATACTCATTGGTACCATAGTTGGTAGTGAAGAATCCGATGATGACGACTTCAACGGACGATGATTATCGATGTTCATCTCAGTAGACGTACTATTAGTAGTACCAGTAGAAGTAATATTATGATGATGATTAGTGTTCACTGTTGAATGGGATAAATTATCTGTAAAGACGATTAATTGATGCTGTTGCTGATGATTGTTGTTATTAGGATCAGTAGTCTCCTGATTTTGATGACCCTCAGCGTCATCCTCCTCATCATCATCATCGCTACAATCGTCATCATCGCTAGGAAACAGAAATTTCGATGATACTTTACCCAGTTTTCTAACATTTGTCTTTTTCACTATCACTTTGTTACCGTTATTTTTATTATTGACAGATTTTTTAAGGGTAGACAATTTAGCAAGATAATTATTAAACGGTGAACCACGTGTTGCCGACAACTGAACAACTTTTTCAGCTAGTGATGATATAGTTGGTTGTATTGATTCAGGGATTTGTTGATAAGGTATTATTAATCGACAGTTTAATATTATACTGCGTAATGTTTCACTGACACGACAAGCCTCCCTAGTGAGATCACCAACGTCACCGTCACCCCCACTGATGCTGTTGTTGTTGCTATTTTTTAATGAAGACGATGGTTGTAGCGAAAAGACTGCTGCTATTAACGAATCACAGAATCGTGTTAAATTCACCTGTCTACCAACAGGCATTCCAATACTTTGTAATGCACCGTTCAACATTGAACCGATTTTATTCTTGCCTAGAGCATTCAGTGTAAACCATACTGATGAATTGGGATATGAGGAGGAGGAGGCATTATGATGATAATAATGGATAGCGGCAGCAGCTCGATCAGGTTGTAAGTAGAATGGTGAGTGAATTGTTGTCGTGGAACATGGACGATGTGAACAAAATGCTTCATATAATCGAACTGGACAACGATCTGGTTGAGATTGACATTCTAATAAACGAGTATCTGGATGACGTGGTTTCACCTGAAATGTTGGCAATTCTTTGCCAAGTTTTGATATTCTTCTTAAGGCGCCATAACCACTACCACCGGATGGACGAGTTCCATGCGGAAGGCTTAAACGCATAGGCAAAAATAAATATTTTTTTAAGAAAAAACACACACACATTTAAGATGACGTAACTTTAACATGACTAACGAAATACAATAAATGATACAGTCTGTCTGTCTGGATTCAACATAGAACTTGGCACAGAAGTGCCTGTGGATGATTACTGAGCCTAGGATTTTAGAGACTATGTTCGTCAGGCTGATCCCCATATGATTATCACATGAGGACTTGTCTCCCTTCTTGAATATTGGTATAATAAGTGACTTACCCCAGTCTGATGGTACCGTCTCTGATTCCCAGACGTTACCTAGTACCTTAAGTTTAACTACAGACTAGTATGTCACCCCCATATATTTAAACACCTCCGGAATAATTCCGTCGGGTCCTGCCACTTTGCCTCGTTTCAGATTACAAATAGCTTTTGTGACCTCAATTGCAGACGGCGGGCCAGTGTCTATATCCCATTCGGGTGTGTGCTGGATGGCGGGGAGGCTCAGTGTGGCTGTAGGCAAGTCAAATTGTTCCTCAAAGTGTTCTTTCCAGCGTTCAAGGCGTCTATCCTGAGAGCTAATTAAGGAGCCATTTTTCTCAGAAATAGTTTCACTTATGATTTGCCTTCTCCCACCCGTTTCCCTGATGAGTCTAAAGAGTTGCCTAGTGTTGCCTATCGCCGATGCTTTTTACAGAATGCAAAGTTGTCACACTCCTCTCGTGTAGCACATAAACGTAGACAAAATGAAGAGAGAAAAAAGAGATTTAAAAGGACTTTATTAAACAGAAATATGACGGAGAAAGAATACTAACATACGCGGAGAAAAACATGACGATTCTAAGTCACATTTATCACCAATAGTCTTCAGCTAATGATTCTTATCACCATCTCAAGCAATCTACACCTCCTTATGTGACTCAAAGAAACAACTAAAAGACTGTTTTTTTTAATTTGATGACACCTAACTCTTTTCCAGGTTGATCCTATGTGTTGTTGGCTATAACACTGTCTATCGAGGAAAGCAATGATTCGGTATGCGCAACACACACACACATACACCTTCCTTACCTAACCTGAATATTACTACTCATCATATTATATAGTTAACGTTTTCTCATATCTCCCACTTTCAATGGCCATACATATCTCACAGCTAGCCAGCCATAAGCAAGGGGACAGGGGAACTTCTAAACAGTACACACCGTCCTTTCATCGACAGCCGGATGCCACGCCTACGCCAGAGATCTAGTTTGATAAAGGCCGTAGGAGCGTTTTTTAGTCAAGCTGGGATTTCAAAAGAAGCAATCAGCCCGTTGGCGCTTGCTAGTGCAACTTTCCCAAATACGTGAAGTGGTCAACAACCACCACTCACTCCCCTCTGTCTTTAAGCTGGAAGAAGAAGTCGATGTAGCCCAGTCCTGTAGCATCATCATACATTTGAGACACAGCAGAAGTGAATCTCATGTCAAGCATACAAAGATTACTGGCTACACAATGTACCGCTTCTTATCAAAAAAAAAACAAGAATGCAACCATTTGTCAGTATAAAGTACCGTGTTTGTGTCACAACAGGCTTGTTTAACATTAAGAGGCCTGGGTACAGAATCAAAGACAGATGTGTAATCTGGGAAGGCAGTATTTACCACATCCATCTAAAGTCCAGACAAGATTATAGTAGTATCTGAGAATAAACACCTGCCATATTTACAAAGCAGCAAATTCTTTAGGATTGTTAAAAGTCTTCAAAGAAGCTTTATTCAAGGTTAAGTAAAAGCGATTTTTCCATTATTTTCTTTAAAAATGGTAAAGTAACAGAGATAAGTCACTGATACACACATTTGTTTGACAGAAATACCTGGAGATTGTTGGACAATAGTAGTACAATAAAACGGGTTATTTATTATACACCTTATTCCTTTGTGTTTCAAGTAGAACATGTAGAACTTCAAGCTGGAGCTTTGAGATTTTCATTTACAATGGTGATGTTTTCTATGTTTATGGAGAGATAATGCTAGCCTCATGTCCATCTTCCCCTCTCGTTACCGGGATTATTTACCACCGGCTAAGTGACGTTAATGGGCGTGTGACTTGTGGGGATCGAACTCCCAGACCACTTGATGCATTGGTTGGCGAGTATTCTACGCTTGAACCACCACTACCACCGATGTCAACGATAAAACAAGACCTAAACTGCAACTTGTATGTCAGTGGTTGTTCAAAGGTAAAATATTCGCAAACCACACCTCAGGTGTGTAGTCCGGGGGTCGATTACTGGCCGATGCACATCTTTACTTTATGCCTTATAGATAATTTGGTTCTCTGCCCCTCAGAAGCGGCAAAGTTGGACATCAGTCTCACGACCCCCCCCCCACATCTTGAAAGGTAAAAAAATCAAATATTGAGAACTTCAAAGTTCAGACTTGAAGCTCTATGCTCATCTAAGAATTGGTTTCAACGTAGGACTTTGCACAGATGTGCAGCACTTCGAATTGCCACTTTGCCTCCTTGTACCACACAAAGCAAGAGAATACAGTAAAGAGAGATTCAACAAAAGGGATAATAAACAGAAATATGAGGTAAAAAGAATAGTCATATAGAAGAACAATACAATTTTATTGGATATTATAAATCACAAAGGGTGAATACATCTGCGCCAGACATTGACAACGATTTTGAGCCCTATCACAGATTGTCTCCAGCCATCATTGGTTCTTACCATCTCGAGGACTCCAACCACGAAATCCACACCTCCCTACGTGGCTGAATTACACTAATTGTTGTGGATTTCATTGACTGGTGGGTGAAGCCACGTTTTCGTTTCACCACCACTAGCTGTCTTTTTTACAATCTGATATATCATGTATCAGTCAGCTAACATTGCCCATTGTCGAGGAAGGCGAAGATCTAGGCAAACGTAACGCGTGTCCTAACCAGTTCAATCCATCCACCCTTCACAACTTCGTCAATTGATTCCTCCCTCCTCCTCACCTAACACTCGACCGATGCCTAACCTTAATATTGCTCACCACCTTATTACACCTACCAACTAACACGGGAGATACGACGCAGACAGGCGCACCTATGATCAAACACACCTAGCCGGCCTTTTTATGTCTTCCAGTCTCAATGGCCATATCTCACTCACAGCCAGCCATAAAGGAGGATAGAGCGAACTACTGACCGGTATACACACACACACCCTTTAACTGATTGCCACCCGCTATCACATCAACTAAGCCACATATTGCGTAAGTTGGCAGGAAAATATCAAACAAGTCCTCTGTATTTATGCTGAGATTTCGTCAGCAGCAATCAGCCCTAGCTGGCGCTGGCTGATGCAACTTCCCAAATAAGTGAAGTGGTCAACACACTCAACAACGACCACTTCACCTCCCTCCCTCAACTATCTTTAAGGTAGGGAGTCGATGTAATCCAGCTTTGTAGCGTCATCATTATCATACATTTGACAGGGGGAGCAAATCGCATACCAAACATTCGAAGATTTCTAGTGCTCAAGGTGTTCAGTCAGTCAGTCAGTCAACTAAGAACGCAAAGGAATAGTGACAATAATAATAATAAAGCAATAATAACCGCAACTTACCTTGTAAATCGTAAATACCTTTCCCCCGTTTCTGTATTCCTATCAATAACAATATTCCCATAAGCTAATTTAGCATGATCTGTTCGACAACCAATACCAAAATATCGTGATATAAAAAACCACATCGATAGTAGTAACGAGTATGGATTTGATCCACCCAGCTCACCACTAGTCCATAATTTTTCAATTATAATTTTTTCAAATATTGGTCGTAATAAAAACCGCCAATTGGATTGAGATAATGACAATAGGCTGGGAGTGTTGTTCTTGATAGGACGAAGAGGAAGAGTAGTAGTTGTCAATAGAGATGGTATACTGCTAGTGATATTAGAAGTACTACCAACAGTAGTCGTAGTAGTAGCACTTACATGGGAAGTATTCGTTAACGAATCTTGTTTCTTTTCAATTTGGATATATGCATGAGTATCATTATTATTATTATTACAAGTGAATAACAATCCAGGGGATTGATGATAATCAATAATCGAAGGCATAGTAGTAGTAGTAGCAGTAGTAATATTTGTCATCGGAATATTTACAAACATTGAATGTGTAATAAATTGATCTAGACAGGAGGAGGTAGATGTAGAGCAAGAGGAGGACAATGCAACTACTGGATGAAGTGTTGCCATCGTTGGAACATTTTGTGTCTGTTCCTGTTGTTGTTGTTGTAATATAATACTGGTAGTGTCAATCGATCCTCCAATGACGTCATCCTCAACATTATCATCAATATCATCGGTACATAAAGAATTTAAACGATTCGCTTCGTTGATTGCTTCAATGGCAGCAGATATATCATCGAATAGAAGATTGTCAGCAGTAACACAACCACCACCACCACCACCAACATCGGTTTTTTCAATACCTTCATGATGACTACAACTACTACTAATAATAGTATTGTGTTTGTGTAGACGACCACCGCCACCGCCACCATCACCAACACCGGTAACATTAATTTGTTCATCAAGCAGTATTCCAGGATTAGTTACAACATCTTGAATAGTCTTACGTATTACAATATCATATGATGATTCATTTGTTGTAAAATAGGCTTCTGTACAATAATCATGTGAATTAATCGATTGTGACAATGATGCAGATGAGGATGATGAAGATGATGTTGATGATGATGAAAGATGAACTGTAGAAACTGGCGGCAGGAGAATTTGTCGATGTGGAGATGATGTTGTCGTAGGAGTAGGAGTAGTAGTAGTAGTAACAACGATAGGCGTAGTGAATATTCCTCCCCCACTATTTGATGATTTCAACAGGTACATATTTTATCTGAGGATAGAGTGATTTCCACACGGATATATACAACTGTGAGCACAGGCACACGCGCACGAACAAAAAGAAAAGATTATACAATCAATCGATAAAATTCATATGTGCTGAAAAGAATTCAAATATATATATATATATATATATATATATATCAAGTATATACACCTAACAAATTTTAAAGTCATGAGGTCAGCAAAGACATCTCCCTTTTTGCGTAACTTCACTTCAAAGCCATAAAAATTAGTTATTATTTATGTATACATATATATATAAGCTGAAGATACATTGACTAAAGAATTGGAATCCTTCAGAAAAACTCTAATGCGAAAAAAAATGGATTTCCCACCATCGTTATCGACAAACAACTAAGGAGGATGACCGGTAATTCAGTGAGACCAGGATTTGTCAAAGAAACAATTAATTTTCAAGTATTGATTTTGTAGAGGGACTTTGTTTGATTGGTTGGAGGATTTCATCATGAGTTGATATCAGTTAGAGAACCATTGGAAAAACAGCCATAGGGAGTACTGGACAGCCAGCTGTTTCGTCAGTCTAGTCTGAGACTCTTCATCAGTACGCACCCACCCACCTCCAGTGTTCGAACGCAGAACATTCTGGTTACAAGCCGAGAGAGAGAGAGCTCGTAGACCATTAAGCAACTGGGACCTAACCGATCCAATGGCCGGCCAGCCCATGAGTTCCAACTTCTGTCAGTTCACATCATAGCACGACCACGTCGCAATGTCTTCGAATAGCGTACTCCTGAAGAGTCCCAAACTAAGCTGACGAAACAGCTGTCCAGTACTCCCTATGGCTGATTTTCCAATGGTTCTCTAAGTGATGTCAGCTCAGGATGAAATCCTCCAGCCAAACAATTAATTGTAATAGAAAAGAAAAGGCGTTCAGCAAAGAGTTACTCTTTTCGGCGATATCATTCTCAAGCTGTACAAACCGCAAATTTATAGTAATTTTTCTTGGCAACAAAAGGAATATTTCCAAAGATGTGTTAATGCAATTGTTAATTTTTGACAACAAATTACGTAATTTAGAAGGCGTTAATCGGTTAGAAACTAAAATAAAGTTACAAAAGTAGGTTGGGTGACGTAATCTGATTGATAGGGTTCAATGAAAAATGAATGAGAGTCAAGTTAATAATCTGAGTAGAATCCACTCAAAAATAAACGAAAATGGAGTCACCAACAGTCGTCATGAGGGTAGACATTTAATAGAAGGTGGGGGTAGAAAATAATGCAATTAAAAAACAGACAAACAAAGAAGAAAGAGGTAAGACAAAATTACGTATTTGGTGTTAAGATAGATCAGGACCATTGTAGATTTAGTGACTGAACAAACTTCTTTTGGATGCAGAGTTCAGGATTCAATATGTGAACTGCCATTGCTTCTGCAGTTTGAAGAAGTTTAATTCGTACTCTTTTGGCAAGATTCCCACGTATTGTGTAGATAACTGAGAAGTTGTTTTGTGGGTCTGCTTGGTGTCCGGATTCGATCAAGTGTTCTAGGATAGAGCTGTGGCGGGGGGATCTTCTTTCTCCTTTATAAAACCATGAAGGTAAGTGTTCGTTGATTCTGTAATTCACGGGAGATACAATTAGTGAAGTGTTTTTCCTGAGAACAATTCGAAGAACAGTCTTTACTGAAACTCTAAGTTTCAACTCCTCTACATATGTTCTTGTTTACAGGAATGTCTAAAACAAAGTCCCACTGTTTGGCAACTTCAATGTGCATTACTGACCAATTCACATTTTCTCTTTGTGGAATAAAATACACCTAGGCCGCACACCATTAGGATGTGCCCGTGAACACCAACTAGCATGATTGTCAAAAACACACTAGTGCAGGACAATCAAAAAGCTCAATTCTGGAGCGTATCATTATTATTACTTCTGGTCATGTAGAATCAGCAAAGACTTCACTCAGAGTCATACATAGAAATACTGTCAAAGTCGTTCAAAAAGATTTCGATTACATCTTCATACAACCGACATTGTAGCAATCCATAGAAAAAAAACAACAACTGGACTTTGTGTTCAAAAAAGGTTTTATCCGGGCTTTTTTTAACATTGTGGCCTTTGATTTATTTTGTCACTAACTGACAATAACCTTTGACCATTGTTATCAATTGATACTGTGCAGTAATTTTAACTGTTTAGAAAAAAAATTTTTTCACTGTACGTTGAAGTATCTGTAGCAGTGTGATCAGTTTTTTGAAGTAGAGTCGCTAGCTCCACGGCCAACCCTCCTTCTTCACCCGGGCTTGGAACTGAGTTTATTAAACTAGGAGAAACCTTTGACAGTATTGGCCAATAAATAATTTGGAAACTATTTCAACACTATGGCGTGCAGCCCCCCGAATCTTTATCAACCTCATTTAACAGCTGGCTAAATAAAAATGCCAAGTGACAGGTGATCCACAACGGAAAACTCAGCTGGGCGTTCGAAGTGCATACAGGAGAAAGACAAGCTGGCCGCCTGCCTATTATCAACAATGACATTCATAATTGTGGTGGATTGGATTCTGCCTCAGACTGTGCATAGGGAGTGAGAAGACAGGAATATGCTGGACGACAGATAAGAAAACTCTAGAAGATCTGGATTTCACGTGTGGACGATTTTATTTCCACACACACAAACTCGAAGACTTGTAGGCGAAAACCAAAAACTGACTTATGAGACTGGCTGGCAGATAGCGAAGACAGGACTACAGGTGAACACAGGGGAGATGGAGGTGATGAAGATAACCAACCAACCAACAGCGGCAACAACCAGCAACAATCACCATCAACGGGAGAAAGTTGACGGGGGTTACTTCCTGACTCCAATCATCCGGCTAGGTAACATCGTTTCGACCACAAGCAGTCGGAACGGATGAAGCTGTCAAAGTCAGTCAGCCAGCCAGAATCGGAAAGGCACAATACACCTTCCTCAACTTGAAACCAGTTTGGAAATCTTCTACACTCAGCATAAGGAACAAGATTCGGATTTTCAACACCAATTTCAAGTCGGTCATTCTATACAGGTCAGAAACTTGACCAGTGTGTAACGAAAAACATTTCCAACAAATTGCAGACCTTCATCAACAGCTGCCACCTTCGCTGGTTGGCTCCATACTGAACATCAAATGGCTGACTGGCTGGCTGGCCAGAAAGAATTAGCAACAAGAGACTCTGCAGTGGAACAAACCAACAGGCAAGAGCCGATAACTCAACAAATAGGTAGGAGGAGGCCATCGAATGACATCGCACACAATGCAGGCCATTGCCCGAGTGGAATCCGAATGGGAAGCAACTAGTAGGTCGTTGGTGAGAGGGTGACATGGAGGAGATCATGTGGGGAGGAGGAGGAGATGAGAGATTCTGGGCAGTAATCGTGGAGCCAGCCAGCCAGCCAGCTGAAGGGGACAGCAGCAAAATAGAACAAAGTGGAGATGTGTTGTTGAAGCCCTATTTTCCACTCGGAACCCAAGCGAAAAATAAATAAATTAAATATCAACTCTGCAGTATACACCTCAAAATAACTAACCGCACAGCTTTGGAGTGAAGTTACACAAAGAGTAGATCACTTTCTTTCCTTACTTATCATGTTCTTAATACACTTTAATCGAACAGAGTACAATAAAAATCAGCAAAGTTATGATATGAAAAATGTGCATACCGGTAGTAACAGTAATAATAATAATACCAATTAAGGAATACTTACCAGCTAGAGCTGTTTACTGTTAATCGATAACTTCATCACAGAAAGCTCACTCTGTTGTATTCATTCATCATTATTGGCCTATACACTCCGAATGCATTATATCGATTGCTAGAAAAAACAGGCCCTCCACCCCCACTAAGACTCGAATACAACCAGCACCCATCGTGTTTCAAAATGCCAAAGTAAGCATTATCCACTGCAAACAACACAACTTAGGCCACGATAATGGTTTGCAATTTGGAATGTACGCCGGGGGTGGGGGCGTTAGGGAGGGGGCAGAGGACTTGACTGCTGGATTCCAGTCTAAGTGGGAATACACCACCACTAATTAAGTAGGATGTGCAAGTACATATATCCAGATGAAGAGTCGCGAAAAGTAGGACAGAAATGTCCATGTCATAGATTTCACTGTTAATTACCATTCCCCCACCAAGAGTCACATCACGCTAGAAAATCAATTCTTTTTCTTCAATGAAAACAGGTTGTATTGGCATGAATATCTGAAGTGCTCAAACCTTCTAAAGATTTTTGATGAATTCGTTGGAAGCGGTCAATTAATTAAACCAACTTAATAATCTTTCTACATTATATAATGAATAGAGAGAAAAAAGCCTTTTAGTCATTTGATAAGAAATCTCGTCAGTGAATATTGTTCAGTGTCCCGCAACAATTGAAAATACATATCAGTTAAGTTGTATACTGGTTAATTTGACATCACACACACACAATAAGTGATACAGTATCAAAAGCCGAATGATGGCCAAAGTAAAACTTATTCCGCATAGACATAGTGTGTCGGTGGCACAGCGGTTAGGACTCTCGCCGACCATACACAAATGGTCCGGGGTTTGATCCCCTACCGACGCACACCTGATATCAGTTGATCGGCCTGAAAAATTTGGGCTACCGATATCACATGCTAAAAATTCCTTACTTGTACTAAAATTACGATGTGGAATCAAGCTATAATCAATCAGCCCGTTGGCGCTGGCTGATGCAACTTCCCAAATAAGTGAAGTGGTCAACACCCTCCGGCTTTGGGCTAGCAGAAACCGATGAAGTCCAGTGCTGTAGCATCACCCTACACTTAACAGGAGCGTATCAAAAATTCGAAGATTACCACTCCTCAAGGTGTTCAGAAGACTCAGCACTTTGTCAACATCTTCACACCTCTTATCCAACCTAATGCTATGTGAACTGACATTCCTCAACGAGGAAGGTGTAGCGACTCATAAATAACATACGAAACACATATGTTTTAGGAATCTCAATCGAA